GGTGTGCTATAGTCAAGCAGTGTTGTAATAGCAAACAGGGCAGCAGTGTAGAATAAAACACTTTAGAGTGGCAATGGGACAAACGGGACTTATGCAGATATCTGATCATTTTTATGCACATATCTACTGATATGGATGTATATCGAAACATTTATAGAATGTGAAAAAAATAGTACTAAATCCGCCTGGATTAGCATTATGAAGAAATGAAACAATTCTTTCTGTAGGGTTACGAGAGCAGTTTAGAAATAAAATTCAGATATATTAGCACAGTACCCCAGCGTCACCTAAACATTCTGCTCCTCAAGAGTACAATAAATACATCATCAAATACTGGTTTGAAGTATTGGTCAAATGTGCACACCTGTCCAAAACCAATGTAATTCCGATATCACCAACATGCATCGAAACAGAGCAATGCAGATTATTAAAGATTAAGCTGTTACGAATCCATAAACCAAAGCATTCTAATTGCAGGTGTCCATCAAAGGCATTTGGCCAGTGAAGTAAAAAGATTATGCCCAATCACTAAAAGATGAAGATGAGGTAATAGATCAGGGCAAAACACCTTCTGGGAGTGTTTCTAGGCATGTTTAGTTTATATTTTTGGAAAAATGGCACTGTCTTGGTTGAAAAACCATTTTCAGTTTGTGTTTAGGGGGGCCAGTTTCCTTTTCAGAAAGCAAAATACACACTTCATTAGATATAAATTAGGAAATCGACTTGGCGAGTGCAAAACTTTCCACTTTGCCTTGGATCAACAGTCATTTTAGCAGTGTGTTTTGTTTCGTCCTGCCCTGCCACCAAATACATCTGGAAACATTTTTCATTAGTACAGACAAAAAAGTGTTTCTGTACACTATTAAAGTTTTCTTTTAAGATCATCTTCAGTTATATCACCATTAAAAATGGGACACTTGTTTCACATAAGAGGTGTGTTTCACTTTTATCCACTGTTTAATCTTCCCATACTAATTAGCAGGAGCTTCTGATTTATTTTGTCCACTCTGCCAATACACGTCTTTTTTGCTTGGAACAGCTTCCCTTTCCAAAGCTTTGGCATTGTACTCAGTCATTTAGATTTTGAAATTTATTGTACTAAAATGGAAATTCCACCCATTTTTCAAAATTTCTACATTATTAAATGATTAAGATATAAAGAGAGTCATTCAGAGTGGTTTGATGTGAAATGCGCCATTCTAGAGAAACTTGAAAGTACGAATTGTTCAGAACCAGATGTCTGAAGAGCTTGTCACAGAATTTTTATGTACATATTAATAGTCTCAGATACATTACCTGACAACTGATACATTGCTGTATGATGTCTTTGAGATAATGTTTTGGCCTAAAGGTATTTTTTTTTAATACATTCATGATGAGCACTATTATTCTGATGAGCAGAATAATACCCAAAAACATTTTTTTTCCTGATTGAAATAAAGATGTGCAGCTAATAGAGCTGACAAGATTCATCATTTTTCTATCAAAATCACTATTTGAAAGAGTGCAAGAGTTGCCATTTGAATTATAGCCTGCTTAATTAATAACATTGTCTTAGCAAGAACCGCTACCACTATTTTACATTGCATATGAAATCCCACCACTATAAAGACAGAGTGAAGACGTTTGTCTACAGTGTAACATTTCACATCAAACCACTCAACGTGTACATCTCAACCACTGAAATAAACTGGAAAATCTCCTTGAATTCTGTAACGGGGAATATTAATTGAAACAGCCATTGCAAATAACACCTTTTTAAAATGTAAAATGATTTCTATCATTACAGTGTGATTTACATGAACATTCACATCAGATTTAAGGTGTCAGTAAGCCACATTCATAGTCTGGCCCTAAATTCTGTACATGCACTCATATTTGCACAAATTTTCAGCAATGTGCACAGACGTTAACTAGCTTGAATGGGAAATTCCAGCACAATAAAGTGAATGACACAATGAAGTGATAGACATAACACTGGTGTAAACCAAAATATTCCAGGAACCACTAAGCATTTTAGAAGAGGAAAAAAAACTACTCTGAGATCAGTATGAGGCATCAGGCCTCAATCATTAAGCTATAAAGTACTTGGTGAAGTCTCAAGTCTGGTTACTGGAGTACATCGGATTAGCTGAGGGATCTCAGCGAGGCTCTCAGCTCAGGAATCCAAACATTTTGAGCCAGCCCCGTGTCCTGGAAGAACACAACAGGAAACGTCTCCTCCTCGAGACTCCCCAATGCAGACGGCTTTTCCATCGAAGTGGTGGGATTTGGTTTGCTCAGGGAAGTTAGAGGATGCAGCTCCTAATCTGGTTCTCATTGCAGACAGGGTGCAGTTAGGTCCCGGGGGGGGAAGGTTTCTTGCGTTAATGCAAGCCACTGAAATCTCAGAGTTTGCTTTACAGGCTTCAGATGCAAGAAAAGCAACTTTGGTGTAGAGGTGCAGAGTACAAATGGTCCTTTAGCATAGGAGGAGGCAACTGCATGGATAATGTGACAATTCACAATCAGGATGTAGCGTAAATGACATTAATGAACTTAACATCAATGTTGCTCTTCCAAGCCCAGTTTTGCTTTTCCTTTAGTAACTGAGGAGGTAAAGCATAGTGAAAACAGGAATTTAGTCTAGGACCAGAACTTAAAGGTGACTTTCATAAAGAGCTTTATATATGCATATTGCAGATGTTACATTAGTGCATATCATTGCCAAGTAATGACTTTGTCATGATGCCCAAACAGCATTCCCTTTTCCCACCGTCGCCCCAACTCCAACGCCGCCACGGACCAAACACAAGCTTGTTGCTGAGGGAAAGAAACTCACCTTCCGCTGTGGAAAGAAAATTGCTGCGAAGCAAGGCAAAGTGTAGTGAGTTACTTTTCTTTATCCTCATCACTGAGTACAACAGTAGTGTGGTAGTACTCCAGTACTTTATTTTGTAACCTGTAATGAAATTACTTGCTATAAGCCTCCATGAGAGCTTTGTTAATGTATATTACTATAATAAATTATATACTATACTGTGCAAAAGACAGAGACAACCCTTTTTTCCAGTCAAAAACTACCATTACGTGCAAGTTTATTCATTTTCCAGGAGATACTGCTGAGGAGATTAAAGACAATCTGCTTGCATAAGGAAGAGGAAAATCAGTGGGGGGGGGGGCTGGCAGACCACCAAATCTTTTGCCATCTCATAAAAAGTTTATCCATCTACTTTACAAAGACAACTTAATACTATGGGTCTAAAATGACACGTAGCTGTCAAGCACCTGTTACTGAGAAAAGAAATAAAAAGAAAAAAAAAAACTGTAAACCAAACACCAGTGGCTTTCGTTCTCAGTACAATAGAAAATGCAACCAACTTTTAAGACTACGCTTTTTTTTTCTTTATTTTTTTTTGAAAAACTGAATGCAAGTCTCTTGGAAAGAATGGAAGCTGTAAAAGGCAAATGGTGGATACACTAAATACTGAAAAATGTGATTTTATATTTAGTTGTTGAGACTTTTGTAATTGTCTGTTAAATATGTTTTCTGCTTTTCTCCTGAGGCTGAAAAATGAATAAGTTGATTGCCGTTTTGACAGATTAAATCCATGAATGGTCTCTGACTTTTGGACAATACTGTACTTCTGAATTTTCCTTTGCTTACCCTTAGGTTAGGTTAATCATAATAACCGCTAACATTCTGATCTTCTAGCTGGTACAAAGATGGTGAGTTGCTGGAATTCTCTCACCCTGGCTACATCTCTCTGAAGGACGACCACATTAGCATTGTGGCTAACGCGATCAACGAGGGTACATACACCTGCATCGTGAGGAAGAAGAACAAGGTATTAACAAACTATTCGTGGAAGGTACGGGTGCGCTTCTGACGTCTGGAGTGGACTTCAGTGGAGATTATAGTCAGTCTTAAATGGAAAGAAGCACCGAGTAAAACCAGAATCTGGCAGTTCTGTTTCCTCCTGATCTAAAGAGCTCTGCCATTCTGTGATCAAGTGCTGTATAGGATAGTCATCTGCAATGAGGAAAAAAAAGTGGCAGAACAAATGAGATGGAACCAAACGCTTAAATTCATCACAGCACCACATGGAACCTCACTCTCTTGGGCACATATTCCTCTAGATTAATACTAAATCTACAGTGTTTTGATGTCAGGGTTGTTCTGTTTTTTTGGAAATTGCATTTCCTTAGGTACCAAATAAAAACTTATTCTGTGACAGTTGCCTATTTTCACTTTTGCAGTGAATCATGTTTGTGGGTAAATTGCATCACAATACTGTACGGTAGTAATTCCAGAGCAAAGTAAAAATAATTCCGGCTGGAAAACTTGGGCACAGTATTAGCCATAGCTAACTAGTGTTTTCAACATGTAGCATATTCTGTAGTACTTGGTATCAATCCATTTTATTTAGCCATGTCCTTTGCAAACATGATTAACCAGTGTCTGCCAATACCTTTTGGCATGGATCACGCCAAAAGATTTACTTCAGGTTGACCACTAGTGGCACTTCTGATGTCAACCAGCTAAATCACAGTAGCTAGTCTGCAAGTTTCCAACACTGAATTGGCAACCATGTTGATTTAAGACACGCTAGCAATTTAGTGAGTGGAAATACACGCAGACTAATGTTCAGTGGGAGAAAGCCAGGGAAACATCAGAAATCCAGAAGTCCACCATGAAACAAGGACTTGGAGAAATTATATAACATCAGAAAAAAAACAGGCAAAAGCTTCTTTTATCACTGAAGTTCATGATGCCCAAATCATTAAGTGTCTATGACTAAAATGGAGAAAATTGCCTTGAGAGGAAAGTCACCGTGGCTTCTTCTCTAATAAAATGGAGAAGCAGACAAAGATCTCTTGATTGTGCAGACTATGTGCAGTGCAAAGAATGACATCATTTTTGGACATCTGGTGCTGGGGCTGCTTTCAAGCCTGGTTGGCTATTTTCCCCCCCTCTTTCTTGTCGTTTCTGTTTTAAAACTCAGCTTTACTCCTCTTTAAATATGTTTGCAACATACCCAGAGGTTTCAGACTTCAGAAGTACAAGTGTATAAATAGACTTACGAATAGTTTTATTTCTCACAAAATTATGTCACCTGTGCCCGTCATTACAGTTATGGATCTAGCTTGTGTAGGAGGGAATGCAGGTGAATGGTCCCTCGTCAGTTGCATAAAACCAAGTTGGAAATTCCAAATCCATGAAACGCTGATGTGACGTAATATACTGAAAGCTAAAACTTTTACACAAAAATAAAGGAAACAGGAAACAGAAAGTGGTTCTATGAAGACTGCAAAAAGCATAAAGGAAAAAAAAGGAATAAAATGCGTTGACATCTGAAGCCAGAATCCCAATTTGGGCTTGTTTTTGATTATGAGTTAACGGCTTCTAACCGCTAGAAGAACATGAACATGAAGCAGTACGAAGTCTCTGAAGTTCTCCATCTCCCTGGAGAACAGTTTGCAAGAGTCTGTCTGTGTCTCACCAAGGCTCAGGGGAAAGATCATGGTCTGCTTTCAGTGAGTCTCTCTTGAATTGAGTCCTGGCGTTAGCGCCACAAAAACAGCAAGAATTCCCATTGCTCTGGCCTGGTACCTGAGTAGGGATGAGTCAAGGGTTCAGAACTTCAGACTGAATCCTGGGCCAGACTTGGACAGACCCTGGTTAGCCGTAGTCAGGTGGAAACCAGTGTCTTTTAGATCGTCGTCACCCTGGAAAGGACATGGAAATGAAAAAGATTTGTGAAACATAAAAGCAAATGAGAATTATGCCTAAACATGCATTCTGAATATTCAAGTTTCTCAAAATTTAAAGCAATTATTCAGCAAAAAAGTCTCAATGTTCCCTTTACTCCAAATGTAGATTAGCTGAGACATGTTTCATGGTTTACAATTTTAGTTTTACAGTGAAGCTGCAAGGCTAAAGTAACAAGGAATGGAAACTTTGATAACATCAAGAAGCCATCACATACTCGTTGGTATTTCTGAAAAAGTACTCGAATACTCTAATTCAGACTTAAAAAAACGAAAAACAATGGGTCTCATTCACCAACTGTTCTTAACAAGAAATTTCTTCTTAAAACCCACTTATGCAGTCTTCACGAAGATTTTGACATTCACCAATGTTTTCTTATTTGAAATTTGTTCTTAGTTAAAAACAGAATCTACACACTCAAGAGCACAAAAATGCAGTTTAAGAAAACATCATGAACCTGACAGACTTTTTCTTGGGACTTCCTCAGGAACAAATTTAAGAAAGACAGTTGTGAGTGAGGACCAATATTTACATGTCATAATTAACTATAATTTTAGGCGTTTGTTCATGCAGGACAAAATATATCCAGCAGGCAGCAACAATGTATTATTAGCCAGGCTGAAGTCCTACTGGTGACTGTAGCCCTCTCATTCAAAGATAGTTTTATGAGTCACTTACATAACCTAATAAAATAATTTTATGTATGTGTTACCATCATGGTTTTAGTGTAGTTGTTTTTATTTATTTTAGCAGGTTATTTAATATGGCTAATTCACTCTTTTAAATCATGAAAAACATCGAGGCCAACATACAGGCAGAGTTGAGCTCAGATATAGCTGGGTTGAACTCACTCATGCAGCTCTCTTCCACAGTGGCTAAAGTTAACTTCTCCCCCTCGCCTGACTTGTCTGCTTGAGAACACCCATGACACCAGCAGCGCTGGTGTTCCTCTCATCCACTCTCCACAACAAACAAGTTTAAGGCTGAGCTCCCCAGTTTTAGCACTGCACTCACTAAAGTCTAGTGAAACTTGGATAAGTATCACTATGCTTACATATTTAAGACGATTCATCCAGCTTGTCGTGCCTTTTTCCCTACGATTTCTTAGGTGTTTTTGCACTTTAAGAATAAAAGAACATTTCCAAATGCTTAACATGCAACCGAATCTGCCAACGTAATATATGAATACATGAGTATGAGAATCACTCTGGGTAGCCCTATTCTATACTGACTACCGCACACTCACCTTAAACGGTGTGTGTGGAGTAATCTTGCATACATGGATTAACTGTAGGACACTTTTTTATAAAGCAGAACAAGGTATGTTGCGTAGCTAAAAAGTAGTAGCAAGCATCTTGAACTCGAAATTGTGTCAATACTTTTGTCCATAACTAAACTTTGGATACCAAACATGCCTTGGCTGACTGACTGCATTCGAGGAAAACTGTGTAAATTGGATTTTTTGCTGAACTATTGCTTCAAACTCATTCGGTAAAAAATAGCTGAAAAAGCACTAAGTGGACTAAAATGATCAAGACCTCTGGCCTAAATAACTGACACTGATTTAAATCAGTTGAAGAACATTGTAAAAGAATGATGTTTCAGATTCTAAATGTACAGCAAGCTTTCCAGGCACAACATTGGCAGGGAGCTATGGTTTTTTCATACCAGCTGGCTGTAGCCCAGACCCCCCTCTGGGGGTCGAGGGCTGGTTCCTCTCTTCACCCGCTGTTGCTCACTCTTTGCCGGCCAAGTGGGGAACATGGATGGCTCGATGGGGAGCGGTGTTTCCCGGAAATACTCGTGCTTCAAGGCCTCGTCTGCACTGATCCGTTTGGCAGGACAGTAGGTAAGGAATCTGTGAGAGAGAAAGTAGATTTGATTTATTAAAGTGACAAAACGAGACTATGCAAAGCTGCCAACACTTCTGTTTTTCTTAGGTTTCTCTTTTATTTTAACCCCTTATCCAACAACCCACCTATACTGTAAAACAGCGGACTAAAAGTAAAATGCGCAAAGCTACTAGGTAGATTAGGCCATTATGTTTCTGTGTAATCTGGTAAACTACTCTACCAACAAGGACCCCCTGCCCTCCACGTCAACTCTTGCACCTTTATATCTGAGCAATATCAAACATCAGCAGGAACACCACTCATGGTTCAATGCAACCATTTGCTAGTTTAGTTCTGAACATTTAGACTTCATCAACTGAATTAAACTAGTACTTTTTTGTGTAATGCAGCAGTTTTGTTTATAAAAAAGTTAGCTGTCTAGGCTCCCGGGTAGCGCAGCCGTTAAAGTGTTGGCCCCATCATCAGGAGGTCGCCAGTTTGATCCCTGGTAATGCTACAGCCAGCCGAGGCCAGGAATCCAAAACAGCACAACTGGCCCAGTGAAGTTGGTGCCAAATCTGGACGTTGTTGATATATGGCTTCTGCTGTGCATAGTACAGTCTTAACTTATATTTGTGGATGCAGAGCTGAACAGTCTTCACTGACAACAGTTTGTCAAAGCATTCCCAAACTCATGTGATGGTGTCTATCACAGAGGCATGCTGGTTTTAATGGAGTGCCGTCTAAGGAAGGTCATGGGCATTCAGTTGTGGTTTTCAGCCTTGCCATTTATGCACAGAGATTCCCTGAATGTTTAATGACATTTCGCACCGCAGAGGGTGAAATACCATAAACCCTTGCAATCGCTCACTGAGGAGTATTGTTCCTAAACTGCTGGATTATTCGCTGACTAAGTGGCAAGCCTCAACCCACCCTTGCTTATAAAACATTACACCTTTCCCAAATATTTCTTTTATACCCAAATATGATTCCATCACCTGTTTTTTTTTTTAACAGGTTCTAGTCTTAAATTGCCTTAGAACATGTTGCGGAATCGCTTTCAGAATGAGCACACATTGACCAAAAAAAACAAAAAAACAAAACAAGGAAGCTGATAAGGTAAAATGTTAAATCTGTTTTCATTTAAATACGGATCAAAATGGATTCACAAATTACTGCTTTCAGTTTTTCACCAGCATTTCACAAAGCACCCCAGCATTTTTGAAATTAAGATTTGAATTACGGGTCTATATGGCCAAAAGCCATTTTTGTTTTTTTTTGCCCCCCCCACGCTCCCCTCATGTCAGCAATCTTTCTTAGCTTGTTCGCAGCACATTTTAGATCGTGAAAAAATGTGATTATCATTTTCCAAAATTGCTGAGAGCTCTGGGGAGAGATGAATGCTAGATATCTGCTAGAAACATGTTTGTTTATGCTTTTGACAGCTTATACAGACCTATAATAGTGAATCCAAATGTCGTCTCGGGAACAGTGGAAAATGAGCCGAAAAACAGATTTGTTTATAAATAAACTAAATGTTAGAAATGTTAACAACAGAAGACTGAAATATATGAGCAAATGACATCTACTAAAGCTACCCATAAAGCTAAAAACTAAAAGAAAGGGGTATTTTTCTGGTCTGGAGTGCAGCCTAGCATGTGTAATTTGGCTGCTGTTTCTGTCTGCCCTGTGTCTAACAGGCCAGGCAGACTCCTCAGCCAGAGAAGCTCCTGCTGCTCCAGACAGACCAAACACAAACTAACGGCATGTTCACCTGCTGACATACTGTATGCAGCACGACACACACACACACACACACACACACACACACACACACACACACACACACACGTGTGGTATTTGTAGCTAGGCTGTGATTTTCTACAGAGATATTTATGCTGAAAGGAGCCATACATTCAAAACGATAAGAACCTCACAAAGACACCTTATATAAACGGGTGTACCGATCTGTGTTGTGTGTGAGAGAAGAGACAATATAATGTATCTTAATCCCTATTCAAGCCAGATTTTATTTGTCTGGGGAGGTGCTATAATTACAGTAACTGCTGACAAGATCTGTGATTTTAATCCAGTACAAATCTGAAAATGTTCACATTTTTAAAAATCTGACAAGTAATGACTCCAGGAAGAATTACCTTCTGTAACTGGCTGAGCTCTTTCAGTAATAGTAGTCCTGTTTGAATTGACCTCATCCCAATGCAATAACAAAACCTGCTAATATACACAGCTGTGCAGCATATTGTTATTGTTACTGAATGTCACGCCTGTTGCATAACGCTGACTTGAACATCCAGGCTGTGACCTCTGAATCCAGGCTATCTGTTCTAATTTGGGGAAATTACACAGATACGCTATTCTGTATGAATCAGCCAGACAGATTCCCTACAGGTTACATTTCTGAACCTCCTCTGGTAAAACTAATTCAGCCTGAATAATGCTTTACTTTATTTTGCATGCGCGCATATTTCATTAAGACAAGCGTCACAGCAACCTAAGGCTGGCTTTAAACAGTGAAAATGTCATATAAACTAGTTGCATGCAACAATTTCTGTATGATATTAACACAAAGCAACTCAAAAAGTCACACAGAACACATTTGATTGCTCCACTGGTTTGCCAAGGTAGCAGTTTATATTTGTAAACATTTTTTTGTCCATCTGTATATAATCTGTCCAGCTGTCATTTCCATTCTTTTTTTCTTCTGTCCATCTATCTATGATTCTTTTCTTGTAACTTGTATACTCTGTTCTATGTATCTGTTCTTTGAAAATTAATGTTAAAGTAGATGTCACACTCATTGCAGAAGCATTGCAAGTTCACTGAGGACCGCATCTTGGTCTCCACTTCAATAATAATTTTCATCATCTTAGTTTGAAAGCAGTCTGCACTGTGTAAAATTAAGTTGCATCAGAAGAGGAGAAAATTAATAATTTAGCTAGGTATATCACGATAACAGCAGACTACCAAAGAATAAAGGGTAGCCCAAGCAGCACTTTGCTGTTACCGTTAGCTGGTTAGTTTAAATTAAATTCATGTCTATTTACTGTTTACTCAGTTAACTAACTAAATAAACTACCAACTCTTTGTTCACAATTTCTTGTTCACTGATCTGGCGTAATCAACCCTTTGAAACAATGTTATATGAAGTGATGTTTAATTGGCAGCACACCAATCAGGGTACAGCGCGCACTTTGTTTTGACCTGTTAGACATACCTACCCAGTGCAAGCAGACAGTTCAACGTCAAGTTTGGGAGTGCCTATTCCTATATAAACGATGGAAGAAACTCCTGACTCTAACCTAACTTTGTGTAAATAGATTACAATATAGAAATATGTACACATTAACAAATAATTAATCTTTTAGTACATTTGAAGGCAAATACTTTTGTACTTTTACTCAAGTGGAGGTCTAAAGGGAGGACTTCTACTTTTACTGGAGTAATATTTTACCTTGAGTATCTCTACCTTAACTCAAGTACATGGTTTGTATACTTCGTCCACCACTGCTAAACTTGCATGAAACCTTTCCTGTGTAAATTGAGACTAAGCAACTGAATACTTACTTGTTCATGAGGTCGAAGCCATGGTCAGACAGCAGTGCTCCAAAGCGCTTGCGCAGGTTGTTATAGGGGTACTCTGTAAAAGTCATCTTCTTCACTGCAGGCAATTCATTGTAGCCTGGCCAAATTTTCTCACTAGGAGAGCCTAGGTCCTACAATACAAGAAGAAAGAAATCACACACAGTCTCATACACGTAACACACAAATGGCTTTGTGAAGGTTTTGGGGCTCACTAAGTACTCAATGCAAATGTTAATAGTACACTAAATCTAAGAGAACAACACCAGACCTACATTAGACAGCTCGTCTAGCTGGGGTATACATGTTTGGGACTGTGCGTTGGCGTGATAAATGTACAAAAACTGGTTTGTGTTTACAAGAATAGGAAATTCCGTTATAAAACGTGTCCTGTGGTCAGATGAATCATCACAGTGATAAATGATGTACTCAAGTTGGACACATTTTTTTTCCTTTAGTTTTTATTTCCCCAGACTAATCCCATGCAATGACGGTGAAAAAGTAAATTCAGTAAACCATACCAATGTGGGACCATGTAAAAAATATGTTCTTTCCTTCTTCAAGTGCCATTATAAAGCATAAAGCTCACCTTAAATATTTTGTTGATTTGGTCAATCTCCGACTTGCCAGGGAAGAGTGGTTTCTGGGTGAGCAGTTCGCCAAATATGCAGCCCACTGACCACATGTCCACAGCAGTGGAGTACTCCTGTCAAGAAAAATTAAATCAAATCAATTTTTACTTTTTAACTTTCAGTAGACTGTCAGAGTATTCCCTGTTCTGAGCATTTTTTGGAAACAATGGATTTTCACATAAACAAAATAATAAAAATAACCAAGAGTTTAAACTTCTAGCACAGATTTTATTTATGTCCTATACTGTCTCACTGTTAAACACGCCTCTGAAGGTTGCTGCATGACCGCTCACTGACCTTTGCCCCCAAAAGCAGCTCTGGGCCACGGTACCATAGCGTGACCACCACCGGTGTGTAGGGTTTCAAGGGAGATCCATACTCTCGTGCCAGTCCAAAGTCTCCAATCTACAGAACACAGAAACCAGATATTTTTGTAGCTAAGGATGGTTTTCCTGATAAAGCCATGTCGAACAAAACAGTCTTTCATATTTTTGCCATGTAGGAGCAGTTTAGAAGAACATTTCCGAGTATTTATGAAGAACTTGATTAGATACAAGGTCTTCTAATACTTAATAAACAAGTAATTAATAAATTGAAAATTCTGAAGCTGTTTTTTTGATAGAACCAGAGTGATACCTTTAATATGCCTTTGTGGCTGAGCAACAGGTTAGAGGTCTTGAGGTCGCGATGTAGGATCCAGTTGTCATGGAGATGCCGAACTCCTCTCAACAGCTGAATCATTAGCGTCTTTACTTCACCTAAAAGGAGACAATTTATTTATTTATTAATAAAACTTTACATGCACATTAATAGGCCACGAACCGAATAAAAGTTTTGTAAGAATGCTGATTAAAAATTATGTACTTTACCTGGGAGGAAGGGCTGTTTCATGGTTTCCATTAGGCTCTTTAGGTCATGCTCTACGTAGTTCATCACTATGTAGATCTTATCCATATTACTGCCCACAACGATCTCCTACAAGAATATTGGTAAGAAAAGACATAGGTTATTAAAAGCATCACAACAATACCTACAGCTCACTCATGGAACAACTACAGTAACTCTAACCAGAAAATATATTTATGTGATTAAATAATACTTTACTCAGTACTTCCTGGAAAAAGTATTCTTTATTACTTTATTATATATTACTTTTACATTACTCCGTAAAATCCATTCATATCTGTACCAACAGTAAAGTACAAGAGAAAACCCAGTAATCATTCTCAGTCATTTATTGGGACAGGCACATCACCATTGGTACCTTTACTCTAAACACAGTTATAACAAAAATTTTGTACAACCAGTGCTGTGTGAAAACCGAAAAACCAGCCACTAGAATCCATTCAAAAACAGCTGCCTCAAAATGAAACCTCTATGAATAGGAATATAGAGCCGTTTTTGAATGAAAATCTTGTTTGGCCTGTTCAGTTAAGGTCGGCGTTCTCTTTAGCCATCAGTTTCATATTAGCGTGATTAGATTACTTCAACATTTGCTGAGCTTCCCAGCTCGCAGTGAGCTGGTCACTTTTAAATGCAACTCACGCAGTCAGCTGTCACAAGCAATTCATGTAAATTGTGTACAAGGACAGGCATGAATAATACAGACAGATAATGTAATTCTTTTTGAGTCAAAATTATGTGATTAAAAGAATTTAAACTGTATTATGTTACACTACTTACAGAAAAAAGTAATCACATTACTGTAACCCAAGGGTGCACAACTCCAGTCCTGGAGGGCTGGTGTCCAGCACAGTTTAGTAGTTGTTCGGCTCAAACACACCCACTAAACCTGGTAATTAGCAGATGAGTTGGATTAGCTGTATATGTGTAGGGAAGTCACCAAACTGTGCTGGACACCAGCCCTCCAGGACCAGACATGTGCACCCCTGCTGTAATGCGTTACTCCGTACAGCGATATCCCAACAGTGAGTAACAAATAAAAACAAATGTTGCAGATTTTCATCACCTGATGCAGGCAAGTAGAAAACATACGGTTTAAATAACTCACCCTAACAGTGACTATGTTGGGGTGCTGGGCCTTCAGGATGGTGTTGATCTCTCGAAGAGAAGTGATGGGAAATCCTTCCTTCTCTTTCTCCATCTTTAACCTCTTGAGGGCCACGATTTCATCTGTCTTTTTGTCCTTGGCTCTGTAGACCACTCCATATGTGCCTTCCTCTATACGGTTCAAACACTGGAATTCCTCCACACTACGACAGCCCTAAATGCAAAGCAGAAATGCGACACTTAGTGTTATATTAGACAGCAGATTATAAAGTTCTATTAAGTTGGCATTTAAATGCCTTTTAAATTTGATTAATATAAAGAACACACAGCACACAGTTGAACACAAACATTTTTACGGCTTTATATGATATGAATATGACATGACAGTCCAGCTGTGTACCTGTAAAGCTGGGAGATATTTGGGAAGCTCTTTCTTCAGTTCTACAGGTGAGACAGGAGGCGAGTCTGGGATATAATTTTCTTCTGGTGTGGCAGATTGAGAATGAGACTGAGGGGTCCCGTCTCCCCCTTCTTCTCCTTCCTCTCCCTCTTCCTCCTCACCACTCTCCTCCGAGTCATGATCAAAGCGCGACTCTGGGACTGAAGAGGAAAAAGGCAAAGAAATCAGACCAAACTGTTTGTAGCAATCGGGATACTTGTGTAGGGTTGGATAGAAAGAGCATTCTAGCATTCCTCATAGCTAACTAACACAAAACATCATTTTTGACCTACCAAGCAATATTGGAGAATCTGGATTACATAAAATACTATGGAAAGACTGTTCTACTTTAAAATGCAGCAGTTAGAGTACAACAAAATATAAAACGGAAGTATATAACGTATGTTGGAACATCACACTGCATTATCTACTACCAATTTTGAAAATTCTCTATTAAATGTCATTAAATGTATAATTTTTGTTCATATCTTTATCTGCATTTTTAGGCTTCTCTTACCACATTGTGATAAAATGTTTGCCTACTTTACCATGTTTCTTTATGTAGGCATAAAGTTAGATGACTATGAAAAGCCCACAAATCCCATAAGCTTTAAAGCTGAATTTAGTCAAATTGAGCCTGGTTGTGCAAGACCATCCTTACCAGCAGGAATGTGGTGACCATTCTCTCTCTCTTCTTCCTCCCCTTCTGATTGCTCCTCATCACTAATGTCATCTACAGAAAGAAAGAGGAAAAAAAACAGGGCAACTCTTAACCAAATCAGTTATTATTATGTTTAAGGCTGAACATACACACGATTCTACATTAAAAGTTTAAACTGTAACCTGTCATATTTGCTAGATCACTTAATTATGCTGTGATGATACATATTACACTGGTTTGAGATAAACTGATCCAACACAGTAAATAAAAGCTATTCATTGTCACCATGATTAGCATGCCAGTATCTTTCAATGAGAGCCAACAAAAATCCATATGTAAATAAGGTCATACACACTAAACACTAACAACTTCTCAGAAACAAACAAATTTTAAGAAAAGAAACGCTGACAAATAATAGTAAATTGTTTAACAAAGATGCTTTTAACTTTTAATCAAAGAAGAAATTATTTTTATCAGAAAATGTTTTACTATAAAATGTACATATTATTTTAGCATATATGATTAAAACTTTAAATTAAATAATTCAGTAATAAGAATAACTCAAGCCTTTTTCCAAATTATTGTAAGTACAGTATTAATTTTTATACATACCATCAAAGAACACTTTCATTTCCTATTTTTACTCATTTTTCTTATTTTTCTTTGATCTCAGGAATTTAATTTACACATTGGGAAATGCAACATTTTAAGTAGTATTAATTTCCTTGATAACAGGAATTTGATTTGCAAATGCGAAAAATTAAACATCAACTAGTAAAAATTTCATTTTAATTTAAAATGAATTCCTTTGTAAAATTCATTCTAAATTAAAAAACAGTATTAGAATATAAAAATTCTTGCAATAAAATCAATTCAAACATGTAATTAGATGCACCTACTTCTCACACACAGGAGGAGGATTCTCCAAACACTGAATTTGAAGCAAGAATAAGAGGCTGTTTTAAGCACAGCGCTAGTTTTAAGCACAGTGCTAGCCCATTGCTGCACTCCTCCGGAAAGTCTTTACATTAGATGTTGGAACACTGCTGTGAGGATCTGATTTGATTCAGCCACAAGAACATTAGTCAGGGCAGGTACAGATATTGGAAAGACATTAGAAGGAGTTCCACCACTCCAGAGAATGCAGTCCCACTTCTCCACAGCTCAATGCTGGGGGCCTTTATGGCCTTTATGCCCTTTAGCTGACATCTGGCATTGGGCATGGTGACCTTAGGCTCATGTGCGGCTGCTCCAGAGTGTTCCATTCTAATGACAATGCTTTTCTCTGGAGACTATACAAGCTCTCTGCAAGCAATTAAAGCCTGTGTCAGCAATGGGTGCAACTTAAAAGTTGTGTCTGTATACTTCTGAAAATACAGGGTTTGTTAAACCGGCTAGAAGGACACCAACCTGCACTCTGATCAGATCCTGAGTCTGAGCCTGACTCTCCCTCTTCGTCTCCTTCACTCTGGCTGCTGGACTCCTCTTCTTCATCGTCATCCTCATCCTCCGAACCAGAACCTGAACCTTTTATTACAAAAGTTATGAAATTAAGGGACGGTGGACAACAAAAATAAAATCAACTTGTACTAATGATGATGATGATGATGATACTGCTACTACTACTAATAATAATAATAATGATGAAGACGATGAGTATTCTGAGCACAGTAAAGACCTATGCATGCATGTTGTAGGGCGGCGTATACATTTGGGTGTTTTACATCTGCATTAGCCTGTAACATTTATGGTTATGGATGTGGTCATTCATTACTGAAGACAGCTTAGCAGTTGCTGTAATTGGCATAGCATTTAGTATCACGTCACTGTGTACATCACATTCATGCCGTTTAAAATTTCAGCACCCCAAATTTAAAAATCATCCTTAAAGGGCTCATATTATGGAAAACCTAAATTCTAATTATTTTTTTTTAATGAAAATATTTGATGTAGCATATAAACAAACACAGTTACAGATTCAAAATGTTATCCAATTCATGCAGTGCAAACATAGAAACCAACGAAATGGAGCCCAAACAGTCCAAACATGGAGACTTTGCTGCATAAATAGTTTTGAATTCATTGTTTTTGTGATGTCACAAAAACTAGCACACTTACATATATCGGCCTATTTAAAGCAGTTTAGCTCTGCACATTCACACTGAGGTTATAAAGAGTGTTTGAGCCCGCACTGCTTTGCGAACAAGATACAATACTGGGCAGCCAATCAGAAGTGAGCTCATTTAAAAATACCATTTAAAAAAAATAAATAAAACTAAAAAGCATAGTAACAAAAAAGCCCGCTTAGTTCTATAACCACGTTATATGTGAATCTCAGAGGCAAAAACAAAGAACATAAAAACATAAGATTTGGGTACAGACAAAACCTATGTGCACTTGTGTGCGTGTTTGGTTCTTACCTATAGAGGACTCTGCTGTACTGGTCTTTCTCTCACTGTCACTGATGTCCTGAAGATCAGAGAGTAAATCTCTTCCCTCTGGCTTCTCTTCTTTCACTGAGGGGAAAAAAAAAAACATTCTTCTTAAAACCAATTACAATGCTATGTTTTCCATTACACATGAGCTTAAAGTGTCTGTAATGTTACATAACACTTATTCACCATACAGCAAACGCTTATCACTTTTACAGTGACCTCGCAAATAAAAAAAGGTGAAGGAAACTGGGTGATATAATAGCCTCTGTGCAGCAGACCACAGGACATACCCCGCCAGTGAGGGAACGCTAATGGCTAGCACACACCACTAAAAGTGTCTTATTACCACACAAGCTGTCCTAGACTGGCCTATTAAGACTTGTAGGAAAAACTCTGGCTGAACTTCATTTTACAGTGTGGAAATAACCTGGTATGTACAAACAGATTACATCTACGAAGATAACGATAATATCTTATTAGTGTCTGTGACAGTAAAAAAAATTAAAAGCACAAAGAAGCAAATTACTGTGATATTTACTACTTTCGGAACACTCAAAATAACAGTAAGATTGCCCTGATTTGATCCAGGCATATTTCAACCCTTACAGGTTCACAATGTTATATATCAAAGAAGGTTGCACATAAAAGAAATCTCGGGAATTCATGCGACTTTTTCTTTTCCAAGAAGGGTAGCACTGTGCTGTTCCAATGAGGGCTCTGGTGCAATTCTATCCCTTTTCAGAAGCTTTGTAAAACAGCCTTGAACTGCTCTATTTTTGGAGACTGTATAAAATGAATCCATAATGACAAATCCAACACTGAATGTCTTCTGTGATTATTTATTAATTTCTCTTTGTTGAAAAGAGTTATTGTTGAGTTAGCATGGCTGTTAGCCACCCACTGATGCCTTGGGTTAAGTCTGTCAATCCAGACAGGCTGTGCTCCTGACTTGTCAACAATCAGAGGCTGTGTTCCTTATTAGTCGACGCTAACACTGCTCTTCTGGGCAAAATAAAAGTGTAACCCTGTAAGGGTTAACGGATCTGGAATCGGCTGTATGAAGCACAATCTAATTCTGATCCTCTGTTTATCTGCGGCCTACTTATTCCATTTAGAGGCCCCATAAATGAAACACAGGTCAGCAGTAAGGGCTCATTCATAGCCAAGTGAAAGGAGCAGTCTACTTTGCACATTAGAGCATTAGAACATTATTCAAAACACTACAAAATGTTTTTAAGCATAAATATCAATATACGAAATATCACTATATAACACCATTTTAAAGTGTCTGGCAGCCAAAACCATCAGATCAGTCAATCAAATTAAATCAGTAAAGCATAAGAAAGTACTAAACACACTATAAAATTGTCATTACAGTAGTTTGTATAAAATAAATCTAACTAGATCATGAAAAACAACAGGATGTGACATCCTTAACTGTAAGCATTGCATTTCTTTATGTACGTATGACATAAAAACCTCATTAGCAAAGCCTGGACTTGACAACTGCTCATAGGTTAAAACAAGCCAAACTTTTCAGACTATCTGTGGTTTATCAGAGCTCATGGAGTTATAATCTGCAAAATCACGTCTGGAGAAACATCCGCATAAAACCAAAATGGAGAGTTTATTTGGATCTAAGACCTGCCGTGGAAACTATGTTGCCTGAATCCCTTTTCAATGATGTAATCAATGATGTAACCTAATAATATAAATATATAACGTTATATCGTTGAAAGGCTAAAGGAATGAGATGGAAACAACTACAGAACTAAGGCATTAAAAGGGGGTCTAGAGTAAACTTAAGCTCCTGCATAAAATCATGTGGTTTAGTGGTCTACTAGGTCTTTTTATATTTCATTTAAATGACATAAGAAAAAAAGTATAATGCCTGGCTACTGTTTATCTTTCTAGGTTTCCAGTTAGTGCGACATAGGATTCCTTTCACAGTATCACACTGCATTAGGGCGGATGGAATCTACTTAGATCATCCTGCTCTTAATTATTCTGGCATAGAGCTCTGATGTCAGTAAAGCCCTTTGTCTGAAATTTAGGCTAAAATAGGCCTACAAAAGCACAACAAGGTAGAGTAGGCACCAGCAGCACTGTATCAGTAAGCCACATCTTAACTGGTGCATCTATGTACACACTTGACGTAGACAGTTTGATGTCATTTGGTTCATTATATGCTATATGTGCACCATGAGGTAAAAACATTTTGACCTATACTATTGTGGTTAACCTTATGATAGTAAGTAAAGTCAAGTCAAATGTTTGCAGTCTGCTTTTGAATATATTTATTTTAGCCATTCATGTGTACCATTCATCTACTGGGTCTACTCAGGGAACAGATATTATAATGGTAACCTTTTAGTTGGCTATGCTTAACTCGCCTGCCCGACGCTGTTCACTACTCTCTGGTCTTTGTTCTCTCTGCTGACGAACAGGGCTCCGGCTACGACTGCGGTGCCGAGGCTTGGCTTTGTCTCCGTACTCCTCTGTAGCACCCCGGTGGTGAGAGGGGGGGCCTACGGACAGAACAACAGAGTGCTGTTGAATAAACTAATAGGGCCAACATTACTAAATTACTAATAAAATTATATATCATTTTGATATTGGGGGCTTAAGGTCAAGCAATGTTACTTAAAACTCACAGCTCTCCTTTAAACCAGACTTCATCACATATAACTCCATACTTTCACACTATGGAGCTACATTATCCTCAGTGCTCTTCCCTAAAGCATATACGCACCTTCTCGCCGTGCTTCCCGTTCTTTGCGCCGTTCCTCAGCTCTCCTCTCTCTCTCCTTCTGCTCGCGCTGCTCCCTCTGTTCCTTCTGCTGCTGTTCGCGGAGCTTCCTCTCTCTCTCCCGTTGGCGCTCCAGCTGCTCCAGTCGGTCCCTGCAGGCCGGGGGAAACGGGGGAAGCCGATCAGCAGATCTCCACGAGCCCCAAACATCCACACAGGCAAGGTTAGTACCAGCCAGGCCTAGCCTTGGCTGTTCAGTCAAGAAAGGATACTCACTCACATCAAACATTCTGAATGGCCCAATACTTGGAACCAGCGATTTAACTAAATGTTTAGCACATTAAACTATCAGTCAGTAATAAAAGTGTTCCATAGTACAGTGTTTATCAATCCAGTCCTAGGGGCCCTCCTGGTGGTTCTACACATAAACAAAAATGTGGAACCATCAGGGGGGCCCCAGGCACTAGGTTGCGAAACACTGCCCTAATCGATACAGCAAGGTCATTTTTACATCCATGTTATAGCACCCCCTGTAGACAACAGTCCATTAAAATCAATTTCACACTAAGCTTAGTGAAGACTGGACCAAAGCATTCAGGAGTTACAGCTTTTATAGCCATAAAAGTCAATTCCACATTTGATTCATTTATGACGGCATGACATTTCTTTAGGCAGTTTAGTCTCCAGAGATTCTTTTGAGTCTATTTTTGGTGCCAACTACAAGAACAGCCTAGTGGCAGTTTATAAAAAGTACATTCTGCTTAAAAGGGCAGACTATACAGACAGCAGACATAAATACCAGTTTGGGCTCAACCTGTCTCCCTTCAACAATGTTGAATTTATGAGGCACAATTAAAAACGCATTATTCAAAGTTTGCCTTCTTTTATCACTACCTGGATGAGTAAAGAAAAGGGCGAGTTGTGCAGCTTTGACATAGATTTTTATCTAAAGTAAGTATAAGTAATTATACATTTCACAAGTCTTTCTTTTTAAAGAATTTAATTAAAATAGCATGCTTAAGGGTCATAAGGCTTTCATAATGTTAATGAAAGAAAAAAAAGCGCATTATTGTATCTGCAAGATCCTACTCAATGTATCAATATTTGTTTTACAGCTTTTATAACAGTATAAATTCATTTTAAACAGGATCATCAATTGTTCCACCCAAAAAATGTGAAGTGACACTACCATACATTAAATATATGTATATTCACAAACTGGCCACTTCATTAAGTATGCCTTCTTAATATCTATACTCAAGGTTACTTTGTTGAGCATGTCAGAATAAAGTATCTTTTGGTCATGCCGTGTGACATCTATGAAAATCAGATTTTACTGTGTTTTTCAATGAGCTGAATACTTTTAAAGCTGATCTATTTTGCAGCATGTCACATATATATGAAATGTACGTATAGCAGAAACAGAATAATAGAAAAGTGTGTGCGTGTTTCTGAAATCACCTCTCTCTGCGGGAGTGGGCCCTGGCCTGATCACGGCGTTTCTGTCTTTCATAGTCTCTCCGAGCCTTGTTGTCCTCTTGCCACTGTCGTTTCCGCCTCTCATTCTCCCTTTCTTTCTCTTTGTCTTTCGTGCGCATGTGTTTTCCAGCTTTGGAAAGATAATTCCCAGTCATACAATTGAAAAAATAATCTGAATAAAAACTACCTAGCAGTTCAAAGTCAAAGTGCAGTCATTACCTCCTTCTGTGGAGTGGCTCCGGTGCCTCCTCTTATCCTTCCGCTTCTCTTCTTTCCTGTGATATGACTTGTCCTTTCTCGCCATCTGCTGTGGGGGCTTTATAGCCAGGGATTCATCTTCCTCTCCTCTGGAAACAAAATCAGGCAGAGCAGGTTACGTGCATCGTCTGACGATATGAACAGATTCCATTAGATATTAAACACAGGCCCTATGTGCAATCAAAGATTGAGCAATAGATAGCACCATGTCATAACAGCGCACAGTAGTGGGGATGGGGATTCTTTTGCAATTGGAACATGTACATTTTTAAAATAAGCAGTATTCAAAAGAATTTTATATTTTATGTATAAACAAAAAATTAACACAGAATTGTACATTAATTTGTTTTCAGCTAGCATAACAGATCATTCCAGTGAGCAATCCTTTGAAATTAGTTATTTTTGTGCATTGTTTGTTATTTGTTATTTAAAATACTAAAAATTATAGAACAATGTCTTGCGTCACATAAAACCTAAACTGAGTAGTTTGTCTTTTTTATTAGAAATATTTTTATATACAGCTCTATGTAGATGTGACCAGTAACAACTTTGTGTCCTGACGCTCTGACTCAAAACGTATAATACTTCACTTCCATTTAGTTTTCTTAGTTCCAAACTATACATTCCTTTTTCACGTGTCTGATCAAGTGAACGAATACTAAGATTAGCGTGGATCTCCATATATTCAAATATCCATGCCCATCCCTCCACCGTAGTAGTAAAAAAGGGGATATGTGGCTCACAGCTGGTAGAAGAAAAACAGTTCTGCTTCAATACCTGTCTTCAGTGGAGTCTTCTCGCATATATGGAGAGTTACGTATTGTTATTTCCATTCTGTGGTCCCGCAGCTCTCCTTCCTCCGGAGTGTCCCGTTTGGATTCCCGATCATCCGTCTGTCCAAAGTGAAAGAAAGGTACTCAGCTACTCCAGTAAAAATCAACACTGACATAAGAAAACTGCTTATAATGTAGAAAAAAGTTATTACCCAACATACAGTGTACAAAACATGAGAGGTGCATGCTTTTTCCTTGAAATTCTTGAAAAGACTAATTACATCAGGGCCCTTACTCATCAAAGATGCACAGGTCAAATCTGATCGTAAAATGACTTTTGTTATTCAACTTTTGTGTATGTGTAGGATGTCTGGTAGGAGTGTGTGTAAATTTGAGCATAAGCATTTTAAAAGCCTGAAAAAGATGTGCTTAATTTGCAATTGCAAAAAAACAAAACCGTTATCAACATCATCTCTAATACTGCAATAAGAACATACCACTTATACCAATAATTTGTGCAGTCCAGTAGGAAAGTAATTTTTTTTTTACATGCGCATTGATATAAACAAATGCTGCAAATGTTCCATGTTTCATTTAAAGACTTAGTGTGCTTGTGTTTTATTCTAATTCCACTAAAAAAAATAGCTAATATAGAAGCATCTCATACACTGTAATAACACAGCATTAAATATATTATTGTAGGAAAATAATCACACCACACAATCACATCAATCTACAGTCTTAAAAAACTATAACTAAAGACATTCAGTTTATTTCACAATTAATTCTTTCCAGTCATTGTAATTTCAGCAGTTTGGTCAGTAGAGGGAGCAGTGCACTCACTGCTTGACCTCAAACTCCACTTACCAGCACAGCCATTGGTTCAGGAGCTGCTAAAGCTGTCATTTTACAGGCTTCCCACCAAAACAAAATTTGGTGTGCTGGTAAGCTGGCGCTGAATTTTACACAATGAAGCTGATCTATCATTTGTGCTTCAATCTCCATTTTTATTTCTACGTTGTACAAAAGTTTTATAAAATCAGGTTTTTTACGTCATTAAAAGGGGTCAAATCTGCGCTCTTGCTTATGCTTTGATGAATAAGGGCCCAGAGTTTCTAACGTCTTGCAACTCCTGGCCCACACAACTGACCACAAAAGTTTTCACGAGCTGCAAGAGGATTTAACCAGTCCAAACTTTTCAAAGCAAGTAAACATAACACAATCAATGTAACCCATCAAAGTTTACTTCAATGTACATTCATGCACCATCATAAACATAAAAAAATTGCTAAAAATGTCGGTTTGTGCTCATTTATCCATGATGGTTGAATTCCATACAATTAAAAAGAGAAAGAAATATATCTACATGGCCAATCATTGAACATGGAATATTTTTTGATGTTTTTGATACTTCTCAAAGACGACTTGGACTGCACTTACTTGTGCTTTTAAACAAAGCACAAGTAAGTGTAGCAAAAACAAAAAAGGAAGATGAATGAGGAAGGGCAAACGCAGATATCATTCTGCAGAGCTGGAGAAGCAGTTAACATGAGCTGGCAGCTGACCAAAATTGTGATGTGAGGGCTTGAATTTCTGGCCTATACATTATAAAGACGCTCACACTCTTGCCAATGTTCGACAAGCTGCCGCTCCACAGTCCACTCCACATGTCTATTCACCTTTTCTTGTCTCTCACTCGCTATTGCCTGAAATCACTCGTTCAATTAGCTCACTGACCATCTCACACAACAGGACTTGTGAATGTTTTCTGTCATAATCAAATGTTTGAGAATATCGTAAGTCCTCCAAAGACTCCCATGCTCAATCTGTAGCAATTGCTTCCTAGCAAGCTCTCCTGGAAATTCACTACCTATTGTGAAAATCTGTGAGGAGAGGTAAATTGTGGGTAAAATTGAACTAAAAAAATCACACAGTGCATGCTTGGCTTCCAAGAAGTGCAATGCTGCAATGTCCTTTGTGTAGCAAGGGTAAGACACTTGTTGCCTCAGCAAGAGTGCTCATCTAGGACCTGTTCCTGTCAGTAAAGCCACATCCATATGAGAAGAATCTGATCATAGATCAGCACTCCTTCTGAGAGGCTTTGTGAATATGGGCCATTATGTTTATAGTAGCTCCACAATAAAAATAAAAACCTGAAAAATATATTACATCTTTAAAAAGGATACAGACTACCTAAAACATTTAAAAGTTCATTTAGAAACGCAATGTTTTACAGTGTCCTCATATTGTGTTTTCATTTAATATTTATGTGAAACCACAAAGGAGTCATATGCTAAGAAAATATAGAAAAATATATGCCAAAAGGGTTCAGATTTTCATTGTATAACTCAGATAAATACAAGTACACTGTCTAAATGAATCCGGCTGTAGGAATATATGAACATCAAACTAGCTGACCTAAAGCGAAATATTACAGCTCCATACTTTTATTTTGTAAGCAGTTCAACTCAATATGTGATTTAGATTTAGACTTATGGCAAACTTAAAATTAAAGGATGAAAAGATTATTTGGAGCAGAGCTTTTAAATTCTGCATGATACAAAAATATTGACTGATATATTTAATGGAAACTCTAAATTGTTTATCTATGTGTAAATACTGTTCTCTGCATAATTTGTGGAACTCGCACTCAAGTTTTTCACTCACCTGTGTCCCTGTACTCTTGTGATGTGACAATAAATCTGATTTGATTTGATTTGAAACGAGTTGAGATGGAATGACCCATACGGAAAGGTCAGCCACATAAAATACATTCAACAAATGCCTAAGCTCTAATGAAATAGGTGAAAAGATTTAGAAGTGATCTGTACACACAAAAAAAAAAGTTGGTCAACTCACAATGCCAAAGCAAGGACCTTTGGTGGCTACTTTTAAAAAACTATGCTGTAACTAAGGATCAAAACTCAACCTACGTTTTTCAGGCGCTTGGGGTCAGTCTTTTCTTCAAGCTCTCGTCTGCGTTTCTTCTCCTGCAAAATCTCATCAAGCGTTTTAACTTTCCAGGTCTCTTTTTCGTCCCCCATCAGCTCCAAGTCACCACCTACTGTAAGACAAGAGGAATGAACCAGTGGTGAATATCTTACGGAAAACTTTACACAGAAAAAAATAACTTCTAGCTGCCTTCTATTGTCAGTCTCAGTTCACAGTCAAAATCAAAAGCCACACCTTGCCTTTACCATCTCTGATGTACAAGCACACCTATTTCCCTATAATCAAGTGATGAAGAAATCTAATCAAAATCAACTGGGTAAGCCACTTTCTTGAAATTATCATTAATTAAATTCTTTATTATGCTTTCTCTGTTCCTTAACGATTCACAAAACTATACGTTTTTAAATAATAGTTAGCAAACAGCCTGACTGGATTAATTACACTCATCAACCAGTCCATCACACTATCAGATATCTCCACAATTTGTCTGTTAAGAGTAGTGGGTTATGCAAAGTGGTTAAGCATAAAATGGTTCTATATAGAACTTATGGCTCTAAGCAGAACCACTCCCTTTACTAAGGAACCCTTGAAGGACCATCTTTTATTTAACAGTGTAGTAAAATCTGTTTTCAGGTGACGATTTCAGAATACCTGGAGATCATGAACCTTTGTTGACTGGGTGTTCTAACAATTTGTCCTACCCATCGAGTGGTCCTACTGAGCATGCGCATATCATTACTACAGCGTAGTAAGAGCAGTAACTTAGCTTAATGTTTCAAACGTTAATTCAGTACAGATTCAGCTCAAAATTATTACTTACCCCATGATAAGGTGATTTACGCGATCAAAATATAATTATTCTTTTAATGCTTTTAACGTTTTCTGATAAGGAGATGTGAGCTATCAAATTATCCTACCTATAGATTTCAGTGCTGGTAGGATTTTGTGATTGAGTACTTTAGGCCATCAAAATATCCTACCTACAGTTTAATGTAGAGCGCTAAACGCTACCTAAAATATGCGGTACGGTAGGACATTTCGACAAGGTAGCACAAGTCGTCAAAACACCGGCTTTACCTATAGCTACTGTCACGGAATGTGAAGTTCTGTCCACAGAAGTAGATTCCAAACATAAATAGCTAGTAAACTTAACACAAACCGTAAAAACACCAAACCAACTGTAGCTAAAACATTAAAACGGGAGCCCGTTAAGACAGAAACAGGTTTGAGATAAAATTACACGAATTCATCACTTAAACTACAACCAGGTGCTCATTACAGACAACAGTCAGCTAACTACGGCTGAACGCAGCGCTTACGTTCACAGCTAGCCTGAGAAGCTGCTCGAATGTGGCGAGTTTTTGTCAAACTGTTAGTTGGACCTGACATTAGCTACTGTTACACAGCACTAACGGTCTGTTTGTTGAGCAGTGAGCTAATTTAGGGATGGAAAAGTACTTTTATTTTCTCCACCGCTACACTTAGCCGCACTAGCAAACGTGGTTTAGCTGTTAGCCGTTAGCTCCGTTAGTTATCAGTCTATTACGCGGACGGGCCGCTCGCTTTCCAGAGAATTCTGTGAGCGCCTAACTGACAACACATCAGGAGCACAGCCAGAAGCCGATTCAGAGTAAGTCGCTCACCGTTTTAAGAAATTTAAAAAGAATCTACAAACCTGAAATTGACTCGGCGCGTCTTTAAACCACCGGAAAAACAAATCTCTTCTTCTGCTTTCTGAAGAAGTACTTCCCAGTCAGAGCACCAGCGAGATAAATATCGCCATCTAGCGCGCGACTCTCATCAGAGAACCCTGACTAAAGCAGAGAGAGCCGCGTCCGTAACTGAAGCGTCCGACAGAACCATACTTTGGTATTATCTGCTCAGTGTTTACCTCAGTGTGAAATACGGAGGGTTTCTAGCTAATAAGTATTTGATAACATATCTCACAGTTTAACGCCAACAGTCATAAAATACAACATTTTAAAGTCAATCGAAATGTCATGTTCACGTAAAGCAAGATTCGTCAACAGGGTGATTTTTGTAATGAGAAGAAAAAAAAAAATCTTGTTAACACTTTAAATAAAAACAGCTTAATGTGTAATGCATTTTGGGTATTTTACTGAAAAAAATATCATTTATGTATAAATACAGGGAATGAAAAGATGCATACAATTTGATTCATGTCGATTGTTAAGTTAAAATGTCACATAACAAAAATACATGTTAGAATTAAATTTAAAAGATTTAATTTTAGAGATAGCATAAAAACTAGTCTGTACAGATTTGAACACACTGTACAACAGATCCAATGAGCTTTCTACCAACATGTAACAGATTTTTTGGACATTTTTTTTTTTAATCCAAAACACAGAAACTACTATTTACTACTATCTTTAACTCATAAGTAATGTCCACTCGTGACGTGTCATTTATGAATGAGCTCTTTGAACTGGCTCTTTTAGATGAACGTTGGGACTCTGGAGCCGACTAACTAACTTCACTAATTTTGAGACAATATAGGTTACAATGCTACTAAATGCACTAATCACTAATGTCCACCTTAAATTCATGTGCACGTTAAATTGTTAGTATAAAGATGCATAATGGTTAATAGTGTTGACCAAAGTTAGCCAAACTTCTGGTCCAAATGCCACAGACACAAAGTGTGAAACCAGTGACCATTACACCAGTGACACCTGGGTCAAAATGGATCATCTCAAAATGGGATGCTAAAACAAAATGTTAAATTAGTAATTACAAATATTTATGCAGTTACACTGGAGAAAATTGGAAAATACGTTTTTAAAAAGTATGACACCAGTGACAGAAGCAACAAGTGGAAAAAATTGAAGTAAAAATAAACGTGACAACATGGATTCCATTTCATAGAAATTTATTCAAGATGAGTTTTTGAGATGACTTTCTTTTCGAATTAAGTGTACTGTACACCATAGCAATGTACAAATAATACCTTTAGACTTGACACAAAAGATCAAACCATTTATACAGAAAAGTCCTTTTAAACAGTAAACTGGTTAAATAGTATACGAAAATACATCTTAAGATTCAAGATGCAACCTATTGTTTTCCATTCCTACAGAAACAAATTTGAAATTCAGTTTACAACACATTTTAAAGATCTTTCAGTTTTTTTTGCAATTAAAAGACACATATTGCTATGTTCACACTTGTGTTAAGTGGAGAACATTAAATTATAGCATAAAAAGTATAACAAACATGTTCTTAGAAATTCATCCACGGATGTTAAACTCCTAGTCCACAGGCTCAGAATCAAAAGATCCATGTAAAACTCACCTCTACCCAAAGTGAGTAGAAGACATGAATCTGAGGCTCATGGTGAAGCATAAAATAACAGATGACACTGGCTATTTAACAGATGACCACACGGAATGTCTTTATCTCAGTAGTCTAAGGAACACAGGTTTGTTTTGAATTCAAGTCTTGTTACACAATACAAGGCAGCCATACAGGTGGAAGAAAGAGAGCGGCAGGAAACGCTTCAGTACAGACGAGATGAAAAAATAGCTCAAGTTAAACACAAAGTATGACGCTAAACATTAAAGAGCCAGAACAGACATGCTGCTGAATATTTAGTTTGGCAAAGACAACGAAACATAGATGGAAAAACTGAGAAGTGGTTCATTTTCACCATTTGCATTGAGGAATCATTATGGGTCTCCTAGAGTTAGAATAAAGAACAGTAGCAGTGTAATAATATCTTGTCGCTGTCATATCAAACAGCAACAACTGAATCAACATATCATGCACCGACACCTACTGGTGCAGCAGGGCATACGTGAATAACTCATCAAGACTAACGGTATAAAGAAGTGGTATAATCCATTCAATTATTATTAAATGATGATTATGTACATTACTTAATCAACCATGTGATCAAAAAGAGAGATTATAGTTATAGGCACAGAACATCAAGTAAAACAGACAAAAATGAAAAGGAATGGAAAAGAAAGAGTTCATAAGAGGTAAACTGATATTTTGGCAGCCCATGTCACGGCCACAACAAAGTACTCATAATAAACAATAACATTTAACAAGAGAGTGACTTTCTTCCTAGATGCTCTTTTTTCATAATACTTGAAATTACTAGGTTATAGTGACAATAGCATTTATGAGTTTAGGCTGTTTTAGCTGTATGATTACAACAATGTTTACTAAATATACAAGAAAGTGAAGTTGAGGAATACGCAATGTACAATTAATAAAAAAAAGCTACACCAAGTAAAGCAAATAAACAAAAACAACACAATAGTTGCGACAGTCCATGTCTGTGCTGTAGGGCAGGTTGAGCCAAAAGTGTGAAATAGATCAGATTACTTTAATTCTTGTTGTTGAAGATGTAAACAAAGTCAAGAGAGGTTTCATGTGAAATGCTTCTTCTAGAGAAACTTACTGAGTCGGTATTGTTCACAGTGGTGGCGATAAGGTGGCTTTATTAAAGGCTAAAGACTAATCACCATGTCACCACTTTAGGGGCGGCTGAGCAAAAAATAGATGCTGATTTGGAACTTCAGCTTGCTTCAGTGTGACTCACTGCAGCAAAACAACCAAGCTAAAGTGATAGGGTTTTACCTTAGAGCAGCTAAGTTAGCTTTAGCCGGAAAGTTTCTCTGATCCCAATCTACGGCTAGGAAACAGAATCAGAAACAGGTAACAAAGAAAAAACTGCAGTATTTTCTGCTTAAGTGTTCCAGTGGTTTAAATTAAATAGTTTTAGTTAAATTATGAAAATGATAAAACTATAATACTATGTGGTACTATGTGGTATCGTTGTATGAAGGCATCTATAGCTGAATTCCAGAATGACTCCACTATAACAACAAAAACACCTCATTTTTAATATGTAAACCATGAGGGCATGGCTTTGGAATTCCTTTGCAATCTGCTGTTCCTCTAGCAGGGAGCACTATTAGCAAGCAAGTCACCCTGAATCTACACCAGAGGGATCTCATGAAAGTGTCTGTTTGCAGCAACATTTATTAAAAACGACAAGTGAAGTAGTTCTCAAAAGATACTTAGTTATAATTATTCAGTATTGTACTATTAAATATAAGATTTTTATTAAAGATTTTCATTAAACCATTAATGTAAGAAACCATATAAACTGAAGGTAGAATAGAATGTGGCTTCAAATGGGACAGATTGATATAATCGATAATGGCAATTTTTAAACTAGAAAATATTGTGGTAATTATTTCTAAATATCACACAGACCAACGTTGAATGACTTTGTTTACATCTCAATGTTTGGATTATGCAAAAAATTTAAAACTTGGATGAAATTCATCTTTAGAGCCCAACACTCTACAGCATGCTGTCTTTTTCTGAATTACTCAGGCTACACCTATGAGCTAGATTTGATCTTCATTAAACAATAGTGCAAACAACCTTGGAAAATCCTTTTCTAACCACTGTCTCTAAAACACTGTCAATTTCTTACTAAAAAAATCTTGAAAGGTAAGAGACAAGACCAAACTACAGTACTACAAACACTGTCATTTTCAGTTTCTCTGAAAAATCCTGCATGATGGGAGACAAGAACAAAACCAAAGAAACAGGCTGAATAACTGAAAGCTAAAATTAGGAAAGAAAAAAATTGGTCCCATTGAACACAGAAGGTACCCCTGCCTCTTCTTACCAATTATTACCAAACTAGTGGGATGAACAAAAGAAACTTTTAGGTGATTACAAAAGTGCTCAAACATCTGATCAGTGAATGTCAGGAATAATGTCAGAAGTAAAAGGAAAGGAAAAAGTAAAAGGAATGTCATACTCCAGGCACAGAAGTCTATGTAGAGCTTGGCTATTTCATCATTCTAATAGAGCAGCTCTTCTTCTCCTTGGTCCAATGTGAATTCATTTGGGTCCCAACTTTATTCACCCAAACCTCGAAAATACTCACATCTTCGCTTCCCTTTTAAAGCTGAAATGAAAAATATCCATCCTTACAGGGTTCTAAATGCCATCAGAAGCAGCAGTCATTTCAGTTGTTCTCCGTTGATTCAGTCTGCTGCTTTGAGGTTGGACTCTTGAAGTAAGGATCTCTGGTCCAAGTCTGCTAATTGGGCGAGGGCTTGCAGAGTCCTTCTCTGAAATTGTTTGGCTTTGTTATAAAGCATAACTCCCACAACCACCAGTACTGTACCCACAGCAGAGAGGGCTGTGATGGGGTTACTGAACACGATGATGCTGAGCCAGATGGACAGGGCATGCTTCACTGTGCTTGCCACACTGATAAGGAAAACACACAAAACACAAAACTTAAAAACACTCATTTTTGGCAGTTTTCATCAAAATAAAATGAATCCTTTATGCCCAAAATGCTAATAACTGCTAGTCATGAATAAAAGTCAGGAGGTTATAACATTGTGTAAATCAGTCATGGTAATTGTACCCATTAGCTTTTGTTTACAATCACTTACAGAAGTGTCTGAAGAAGCAATAACCTAAACTAATGTACACTACCAGTCAAGACACACATATTTGCATGTATGTTTTTCATAATCTTAAACTGAGCTTAGTGTCACAAGGTCAAGCTCAGGCCACAGCTGACCTCTGGCTATGCATGCAACTGGCGAAAATCATCAGGGAGCTTTTTTAAGAGGTTTTAGCCTGCCATTCTCGCCACTTCCTCTGCAGGCACTTTGCCACCCTGCCTTCATCCCGTTTCCTCCCTGCTGTGTCTGATTTGTTTATGTTTGTTGTTATTGATGTCTGCTCTGTTTGCATCCCAATAAAATGACATGCTTTGTTGATTTTCTAACTGAAAATCAGTCAACACATGCAGACAACACACTTAAATATGGCATTTTCCTGCAAATTTTAGTTCACAGTTTATTTGTTTGCTAATTTTAACATATTGGGGAAAAAATATAGCATAACAAATAAAAATGTGCCAACTTTTGCATAGGCCACATTTTGATTCATAGTTTGATGTCTTCACTTTGATTCTAAAATGAGAAAAACAGTAAGGAAAGGAAAACCTTTCTATGAGTGTGTGTCTAAATTTCTAACTGTGTATTTAAATTCCACAAGGGTACCAAAAACATATACTGTTGTTACAACCAGAAGTACACTGTCAAAAAGGTACTGTGCAAGTACATTTTTCATTCATTAAGGTACAAACAATGTAAAATGTACCCTCAAAAGGGGCAACAGCAGTTTTAGGGTCCACCTTTGTACCTTGAATATGTTTCTCACAGGGTAGAGATACATATTTGTATCTTTTTGTGGCCTAATAAAAAGGCTGGAGACGAGAAAGGGTGTATGGAGTCAATACAACTCCAAAAATATAAACGCAATGGTTCAGACATGTTCCCTAACTAAAGGTATTGTGGATGTACCCTTGAGGGTGATAGCCCAGTGATATGAGGGGCACCGCCCCATTGAGAGTTAAGCACTTTTCTTTGTACACTCAGAGTGTATGGTCACTCAAGATATAGCTCACAAAGTTACCATCTGTGGAGAAACAAATATGTAAACTAAAACGTACAAAATTTTGGAGGACCTGGATACATCTGTGATTTTATCGGGAAAACATAACACAAAGAACATAGTAACTGCTATGGGCTCATGCCTTAACAGTGCCCCTGTTATGTAATGGTTTGGATGTTCTTGCTGTTCCTTTTTGCTGCTTTTACTTTTTCCTAAATTTGTCTTGTCCTGTTTCTGTATGTGGATTCTCTACATTTTTGACTTAATGAACAATGATTTTATTGTAAGCTGCTTCCCCAGTGTTGGAGTGCAAATCAGGCAAGTGTGTTCAGATGTGAAGTAGTTTTGGAGGTAATGTGTAGTTTGGTGAAAGGCTAAAGTTAGCTAGTTTAGGTTTTGGAACGGTGTGTGACAAGTGACATTGTAAGCCTTCCTCCATTTTTAGTTATTTTTTTAAAAACCTTTTAGAAGACACCACAACTCAGCCTCTTGTTGACTATTGGCTCATGCTTCTGATATTTCACAAATTCAAACTAAACTTCTACTCTATTTTCCATTCAAGTGAGTTGGCTTTTTCGCCAGGCAAACTTTACTTGCATCTGGGGCTTAACAAAGACAGATGACACTGCCTGGGTGTTACACTGAATAAATGAATTAATGAATAAATAAACAGGTTCAGTAAAAAATAAATAAAAAAAAAAAGAAAGCCATATGATTTCTATGCAAAATGATCTGGGTAAAAATTATCTGGATGTGTTTTTTCTTCTGAACGATAACAACTATAAAAGGTCAAGTGGGTTTGTTGTTATTTGAGAACACTCACAGATCCACATCAGTAGTATCCACCATGCATGCCTTGGATTTTCATGAAAACTGTGACACTGTTGTTTTAGGTATCATTTGTTAGTGGTTAATAAAAGAAACACAGAAACAAATAAAGTGTACCATTGCTTTTGCCTCTGGATAAAACTGCGATTTATCAAGTCATTTTGAATGAAGAATGAGTTTTAAAACTGTCTGAAACAGATGGTGGTGGAGTCCACACCCAGCTATCAAATGACCGTGTGTGGAGTTCTCACCTAAAGGTGACAGGTGAGATGCGTCCCATGAGCGCGTAGGCCGTGACACTCTGCAGGTGAAACAGGACCCCGTCCAGCAGCAGCAGCACCACAATGTCCTGGCTCAGGCTGAAGCTCCGCCCACTCTTCCCCATCAAAGGTATGTCCTGAAGACAAATAAAGGAGAGCAGTCATCATGACATTGTAGTTAACATTTTGACTGCACTTGATGGAAATCCTTAATTACACCAGACATCAGTTACTCCCATTACAAGGAGTAACTTCTGCTTCACTGCCTGAACAAATCTTAGTATTAATTGTGTCTGTTAAAGGGGTGATTCCTAGTTAAGGTTGTAAAAGGCACCTCAATATTATAAAATCTGAGGAAACTTTGCGGCGTTTGGAAAAGAAAGCACGTTCACTGTCATGTTACACATGGTTAAGTATTTCCACAATTTCAAATGTTGAAGACATCAGTTTTGTCTTTTAATATGAATACATAATGAATAACAATACACATTAATATGACATTCCTCCCTTTAAAAGTGTTCATTTTATTATTTATTACTTTAGTGTGCTTGTATGTAGTTTGGGATGCAGCAGAAGCAATGAGTCATGAAATCTTAGCCATGAGTTCATCCTTCATTTATTATCACTACAGCAATAAATCAGGGCAATTCATTCAAATATATTGTTGAATGCATTCAAAAAAATTTCCCAGAGGTGTAATCTGTGCTACTAGAACCACAGACGTTTAATTAGGGTCACACGGGGTATCGCAAAACCATGGAACTTTATTTGCAGATGCATTGCAGGGGAGTCATGTTATGAAAAAGAAAAAAAAATGCTGAGTTGCCAATTTTCCAATGTCAACACGTTAGCAAAACTCTGGGGATGTGGTAGTTTAAATACATGCTCCCTAGCAGACTGAAAGTTCTCTGGTCACTTAAATGAGGAACTAGTTGTGTATTCATGAAACTTGTCAAAGTAGGAGTGCTGATCTCAGCTCAGAATCCTCGTATTACAGGAACAGAACCTATTTCAGCACTCATTCGTTTCATGATTATGGGGAGAGGCCTACATGTATCAAACTTGTGCTGCTTCAGGTTCAGCATTTTTCTTCCATACCCCAAATAATATGAACAAGCTGGTTCTATATTTGCATTCTAACAAGGTTATTCCAGATATTCTTCTATTTTTCAACATTTCTACACAAATAAATATAAACCAAGTCATTTGGATTGTTCACAGTGGTGGTCACACATCTGATTTAAACCCTATAGAAAATATATGATCTCACATTAAACACAAACTAGCTTGGCTGAGTGGAATTATTTAATGATTTGTTGTTAAGACTACAATGCACCATTAACATCAAAACACTCTTGTTTGTATCTCAAACAATTAAACAAAAAATAATTGGTGGAATTCTCCCTCAATCTTGTGACGTTCAGCACATGCAGACGCTGACTTTATAGTTAATGCAGAGAACTGACTGACCATGAGGAAGACCCAGGCAGGAATCAGCATGATGACGGCAGCAGCGCTGGTATAGAATTGCAACTCTGGGGGGCTGGACAGGAATCAAGGACAACATTAACATGGAGCCAACTAGGTCGCAAAAATGTCCTATTCAGTTAAGTTAAAATATAAAGATTCTCAGTTTTTATAACTCAGACCTTATTACTATCATTGTCTTCTATCATGGCACAACCTTGTTGATAGCTTTGTTAAAAAAAAATGTAATTGTTTATGCAAAGAAATAATTATTTATTTATTATTTTTGAAGACAGGAAACTCACAGTATAGTCAGCCTAGAAGCTTGTCATATCATCTTTTTTAGTCTGTTTGTCATTTTGCATTTTGTAAAAACACCATATATTAATAAACTCAATTTCAACAAATAAAATAAATGCAAATAAATATAAACACATTTTTTTAATACAAAAAAAAAGAATTTCTTGTTTTAAAAAATAAGGTAGTTCATATCTTTTGAGCTAGTCCGAAGTTTGATTCCTCATTGCCCCCAGACATCACACAGGTTTATCAAATTCCAACACCACAACACGTGATTTAAAAGTAGTAGAAGTACAGATTAACCAATTCAGGTGTCAGATGAAATTATACTGGGCTATCTCAAGGAGAGGTTTGGAAATGGTTAAAACAAACTCACTGACATTTATAAATCACTACTTGCTGTGTAAATACTATTTATATTTATTCTAATATGTGTTTTTCTGAGCAAATAAAACACTTCATGCCCAGATAATGAACTTTGTTAAATCTATTTTTTTCAGTTGCCTGAAACTTTTACACATTACTTCACACCAAATGCTGTTTAGTCAAATATTCAAATCGGCATATGAAGGTTTTATTTTCCAACTAAACAGCCAGTTTTAATTTATTTTACAACAACACTAGAAATATACTAGGTGTCATTTAGATGTGGTTCTAAATTGGATTTACAGAACGAACATGACTGAGCATGAAAAAACAAAATTTGATGTTGTGGTGTCCCTGGCAAATTTCCCAGTCCTTACATCTGAAAAGAATAAATATATGGCTGAGAACACAAAACACTCACCTGAATCTATATTTGTCCCCACTTAGCAGCTTCTTTGAGAATACATTTTGTAAGCTACAATAAAAACAGAAAAAACATCAGGCTTTAATGAGTATTTAAATCATACACCCCTACTCCATGTTGCAGTCTCAAGTACTGCTTGAATGGGATTAGTTTAACATTAGATGTTTCAATGTAATTATTGCCATCATCTCTGTGACTTCAGTCCTGTCCCAAACAGTCTTTAACTATCCAAAGGCTATTTCCATCCAAAGGCTTTTTTGCGCAAAAATGCTGTCGATGTAGTCTATGGAAACGGAAACTGTTGGTAACATTTTATGAATGATGACAAAATTTTTTTTCTCAAAAAAAGCCTTCAGAGATATTTTGCCTCATAAAAAAAAATAAAACACTGTGGCAAAAATATATGCTGCTTTATCCAGTCATTTCACTTATTCAGTCAGTGAATTTATCAGCACTACTCATCACTGTATAGCTGTTTATGTAAAAGTACCACCTCTATGATGATGCTAATCCTCCCTAACATCTGTTTGGGAATTTCATTGTTATGTTAGTGCCAAGCTAGCACTTCAGCCAGTTAAACTCATCTTAATAATGACCTGCACATCTACAATGTGCAAACAAGCCCATTCATTGACAATGTAAATTTTAATCAGTTTTCCTTTTTGTAATTGTGACAGCCATGGTGTCTACAAATCTTAAAATCAATCCTTCACAATGGCTCTTAATATCACATGGCAAAGCCTTATAAGCCTTATAAGTAAGCCTTATAATTCCCATAACAACAAACCTATAACTCAAATTAAAAAAGGCTGGCTTGTAATACTGCCCTTAAATATTGAAGGACTGTATCGAATCTCTTGGCATATCATCGTTTACTGCGATTCTCTGCAGCTCAAATCAAGCTGATAAGTATTGGTCTACCTTAAGTGTAAATGAAATACTTTAAAACCTGTTACACAACAGAAAAAATACCTCCTGTAGTTTGATTTTATCGATTTTGTTTGTTTAGTTTGATTCTGTTGGTTGGCTGTGAAGCCCCTAGCTAACGACTATGCTATTCACTAAATTCACTAAAGACAGCTAGCTAGGTAGATAGTTAGGATAGGAGAAATAACAAAAGTAGAATATGTTTTCAAACTGTGAGCAGTCGAAGCTATTACACATGGAATAGTTTTCGTGTGATGACAAAGCACAAACCAAGTAGACACTTCAATCTGTGCAATTTATTCACAGAACTCTGTGTTTTAATCTGTTATAAACATTACAGATGTGGTAAGATAATTACAGACATTCACAAACGTGGAAAACGTATTCCATATTTAACAGTACATACCAGTCCATGATGTTTGTAGAGAGAGCAGCAGAGAAGCCCAGCATGTTAAAGCTGATTTCAGTGGCTGTGCAGAGTGCAAGACCGGCCATAATTGGAAACAAAGACAAGTTCACCCAAAGACCTGTTGACCAAACAAAACCGCTTTAATGGATGAAGTCTGCATGGAAGACATTATATGTACGCCATGCAGCATCCATTGAGAACAGATGAGCAGATATGTCAGCACACACTGAATAACTGAACTAGTCAAAACCACTCAAAACTCTCTATAATGAGCAAAATTAAACATGAAATGTATCATTCACAAAGTAAATGTATCTACTAGGCCTGTCACTATGTGCGGGTGATATGGCAAAGGTATATGACAATACTTGATATTTTCACAATACATTATAGGAATCATAATAAATTGATTTTTTCATAATAATAAATAGATTTAACAGACAAAATAGAAACTGTAGTGTCACAAATACTATAAGAATAATAATTAAATCCAATTAAACAGGACTAATTATGCTCACTTTGTAACGCAACGTGTATTTTATATATATATATATATATACATATATATATATAATATATAATATATATATATATATATATATATATATATATATATATATACATACACACACACACACACACACACTTACATATACATATATACATACATATACATAAATATATATATACATATATATACATATATATATACATATATATACACATATATATATATATATATGTATATATATATATATATATATATATATATAGCAGGCCAAACCCCTAACTTAAAATTAGTTATTTTAATCTACCTTTCTCTCTTCTCTCTCTGTATTTACACGACTTTTAAAGTTTGTAGTGATCACAAAAAGACTGGACATCTCACACTAACCAACTGGTTTCTGCAGATTTTTTTTGCAACTAAAATATTGGGGATCACATACACAACTCAACTTTTAAACTGTGGCTGAACCGAACTGAACTCACTGAACTCACTTGAGGCAAATAAACAAACGTGGAGCAACTCGCTGCTGTTATCTCTGCTGTTCGCGCTGACACAGTAAAGAAGCAATGGGTAAACATATGCGGTATGGGTAAACATAAGGGAAATGGATGTAAATATGCAATCAGTGTGGTAGTTTTTTTAGAGTTTTAGATGTACATAAACTTGATTGTGCTCGTGCTTTTACTCAGTTCACTAAAAAGCTGTGCTACACATGTGAGTGACTTTTCAGCATTTTTTACTTGATGTTTCATTGGCTGTTGGAGAAGTCTGCTTAAATTTGAGTTGCTGACCAGTATACACTACTAGATTATGCTCAGAGTCAGGTTGAATATCAAACATGATCAGGAGGTAAAAAAAACTCTGAGCCCCACACACACTACTCAATTTGCTCTCCCAAATGTCAACAATGACTGACTCAAAGACTGGAGCCAACCAGCACAGACTCAGCCAGACTGAGGACCAGGGCTAGAGTTGGGGTAAAAGTTGTGTAATGTAACCCCGGCTCTCACTCATGTCAGGTGCACAGACATAATCAGACTACGTTCAGTGTTGCCATGCGTCTCCACTTCCTGTATCTGTCTTTAATTAAAAGCCCTCTGCAGAGTTTTGTAATTGTGACTTCTTGACATTTCATAAAATTCTGAAGCAGCAGCTGGGGGCTGTGAAATGTGGGCCTGCCACCACTGCTGAAAGATATCCTAATGGAAACACTGTATTGTGACATAATTTATCATGATAGTGATAAATTATCATCACACTGCACACATCTAGCGCCCACTATTGACCATATTAGTGCTCAGGTAATTTATTTTGCAGCTCAATCGAGTAATCAAATGATAACATAGCATGCACAGCTTTTCAAAGTATTTCAAAGAAATATTTTACTGAAACAGCTAAAAAGCTTTGGAAAACATTTAATATAAAAAACACTGCTTTAATGCTGCTTCTAGCCAGTCATCTCATGAACTTTTCACAGCTACATATCATTATATAGCTGTGAAGAAATCTTTAATTTGTTAATGAGTACCATCCCTATGATAATGTTAATTAGCAGTTGTATTGGATTTTGCTGGCAAGCAATTCTCATCATTAGAATAACCTGCAGATGCCCTGGTTATCATTTCAATTGCAATCAAATGACTTAACCTATTTGTCACAAAGCTAATTGAGTATTTGTGACAGCCCTAGTCTTAAACTTTTAAAATCAGTACTTCATAAAGGCTTTTAATAATATCACATGGCAAGTCCTTGTAAGTTAATTTACATTATACTGATGTATATCTTGAATATACATACAGATACAGTGAATCTATTAGCACAAATTTGTTCAAACAGACCTCAAATTCACAGCACTGGAGATTAAAAAGCCCTGACTGACTGCACTTTAGAAGAGTGACTACCTACAATTTTTAATCTTTAACTTCAATCAATTTGCACTAGCTTTCATTACACAATTTACTGCTATACCAAGCTATGCAAACAAAATGACTACTGTGGCCAAGATGATAAAACTGGCTGCTGTTCAAATGGAGACAAACACTAAGCTGAGGAAAACAGATGACCAGGGGTACACAAGTGCTTTGTTTAAGATTGTGAAAAGGGTTCACAGATATATCATCCTCTTTCCATACTGTTCTTTTCATTCAGATAAGAAAAGGCAAACACTGAATGTGAGAAATGTAATTCATATTACCCCAGGGTTTTGGTTTTTAGAGCTTTTCTCAGTGTAATGTGACAAACAGGTGGAAAAACAATATGTATTGACTTTGGCTTATTGACTGGAGTAAGCCTGTAAATATAATATTGCAATACATCAAGAAATCTTCACAATAGATGACATGACATTTCTTTTTTCAGACTTATGATCAGTTGGAACAGAAAAAAAATGACCAGCAGTGCTACATTGTAAAAAAACACTATCAAAAACAGCGATTGATTTTTTATTTAATACTTGCACTAAACCCAGTTAAATGGGGCTAATTTTGCTCTCTTTATAATGCATAACGCACTTGGTCAGTGTCTACAAGTACTAACAATATGCATAATATGTTCAGAAAAGCATATTCTATTGTGACATAATTTATCACAACAATATATACTGTCATGTTGCCCAGCCCTCTTTACAACAGAATGTTAGATGGTTAAATGTTCCACCTTAGCTGGAGCGTCTCTTTAAATTACCATGTATGAACATGTTTAGAACATTTTTCATAGCCTGTGACTCATGCACTGCAAGTTTAGCTGGGTGTTCCTCATGCATCTGTACATTACCTGTGTATTCCCCAAGTATCAGTCTGGACATGATAACAGTGAAAATGGGTGCTGAACTTTTCACGGTCTCTGCAAATGACACAGCTACGTTCTTCAGACTAACAAGCCCTAGCACCACAGTGGTGAACCTGAGGGGAAAAGAGAAAAGGACCACTTTTATTATTAAAATATCATATTTCATACTGCATTTTATGTTGGTGTAACCTATTGACACCAAATAATAGGCAATGCACTGACACTAGCTAATTTGGTTACACACACACACAATGTCAAATGTTGAGGGGTCCATTTCATAAAAAAACAGATTTCCCTCACTTTTCCTTTAAACAAAGAAGTCTGATATTGTACGTAACCATGATGAAGTTTTAAAATGCATCATTTACTTGACAGTCCATATGATTTACATATGGAAATTCAGGCAATTTTCAAAAGTTGTTCAAATCATTGTTTTTGTGATGTCCAACACATTTACATATATTTGCCTTTTCAGCCCAGACTGCTTTTTGAATGAGATACAATACAGGCCAATCAGATTACATTTACATATCAGTCGTAAAGGCACAATAATAAAACCAGCCTGTTTAATTTTAATGCATATAGGCTGGAAAATCAGATTTTAATTACATGCGGGTTAAATCTATTCTATCCTTTTCTGGTCATGTCCCCAATGAAAGACTTTTCAGGTGCCATGACGTTCAGTGTGTTCTTCTTCTACTGCAACTGCTTTGCAATGGTGTATGAAGGACTGCATGGTCTACGCTAGGGTTGCATGATAATCATATTTTTGTTATTGTGATACAAGTTTCCAGTATAAACACATCATTAAGAGCTGCAAATGATAGAACAGATCAAATTACCTTATCATTGCTGGCACAAACCGTGAGAAACCTAATGAGACCTAAACCCTGCTCTCCCATGTGGGGGACGAGTAACAGCATTACAAACAGACATGCACAGCTTCATTCTGAACTATAAGCCTGTATAAATGTATCAAACATTAGGACTCTTCTCACACCCAGTATTGTGATTTAAGTGCGCAAGGCAGTAATTTCTACTGTCACAACAAACATGTTTAATAACTAAACAAAACAGTAAACAGATTTTCTATTAATTCTACGGTTCCTGTATATAAATAAAAAAAAAATATATATATATATAAAATAATAATAATTATTTATTTATTTATTTTGGTAGGCTTTATAGAAAAAGCTGTTGAGGTAATGCTAATTGTTTTCCAGCCTTTCAACGCACAAAAAATGTGCTTGCAGTTCTGATGTAAGTTGCTGTTTGTATTTCTTTTCTTTTGATTTTGCACTACAGTATTTGTGGGACAGCGGTGCTTTTGTAATTTTGTATTTGCTATTTGCCCAAAGGAAAGGTTGGCTAGATTTCTCTGTTTACACAGTCAAAAAAACAAGTCTGTGCTTGCATCACACCCAGTCAGAGGCACACTATTTTAATAACAATTCATCACTTCTCATACTGTCACTGTGATATCCAACAGCTTTTATATATTACATTTTATGCCCATGTTGTGCAACCCTTTTAGATACTTCACAAGATTTAAGGACTCATTCTGATGTTTTCCTTCTAGCTGTCAAATTCAACAGAAGCTCACTGCAGCTTCATAGTCTGGTGTCACTCAGGGTGTTTTCACACTTGGGCCGTTTCAGCGTCTGAAGTGGACTCAGACCGCTGAGTCATGGTTTCTTTTGCATATGTGAACACGCCAAACGAACTCAGACCCCCCTAAACGGCCCCCTAAACGAACCGAACTGAGACCACTACTGTGCTATCGCCAGGAGAGGGCGCACTTCCGAGTTTTTTGACATGTAGTTCGTTTTGTGGTTCGATTAAATTGTGCATTGTGAAAACAAAACGGCCCCAGTCCGCTTCAGCTGTGCTTTATGGTGAAGACCTCGATGCTCGCCGTACACACAGCCACAGTCTTCAGCACTTTAGCAGGTAAAACAGACCAAGGATCATTTATACGGTTCTACTCAGGATAAAGTCTGTCCGTGGTCTGAGACAAACAGCAGCGCTGACTTATTAAAGCGATCAGATGCGAGAGCTCGCGTGATTATACCGTGTTAAAGGCTCGAGCTGGGCATGCAACGCAATTCTCAGCTGCTTTCACACTGAACGCTGAATGAATGAAAATTCGCCGGGTGGAGCTTCAGTGAGGAGCACAGCCGAACACGGAGCCCACCGCGGCAGACCCGCAGGGCCGTTTTTCCAATTTTGCGCGATGGACTGCGGCCAATAGGAGAGCAGCAGGAAGGTCTGGTGGTTCTTCTCGCCACCTGATAGCTCGGATTTATCCGAGAATGCGGCCCACGTGGCGAGCGCTGTGCACACCGTGAGTGCTGTGAAAGGGGTCCGAGTTCTAATGGAGTTGTGGTCTGAACAAGAAGTGGTCTGAGATCTCAATGGACCAGAAAGAAAACTGAGTCCTCTTTAGAGTTCACTTACATTGTGAACACAAAAAGAACTGAGGTCACTTGCAGTTGGTTCCCTTCCAGGTTCTCTTTAACAGAACTCGGTTCGGTTCTTTTAAAACGAACTATATGTGAAAACACTGTCAGAGGAGGATGGGGTCCCCCTTTTTGAACCTTGGCTCACCTCTTCTTCTTATTCCTTTTCAGGGATTTTTCTCTGCCACTGTTGCTGTGGGTTTCCTCATTAGGGATGCTGGATCCAGACATTCGGATGCCATTTTGAGACACTGTTTTGTGTCTCTGTGAGACTTGTAGTATATTTATATGGTATTTGTTCTATTCTTGAACATCATGGAGAGTGACCGTTCCTTGAGAAAGTTATTGTGACACAAAATAAGGCTTTGTTTAATCCCATCTCCAATCTATCCTACCAGTTGTGGTGGCAGCCTATGGTGCAGGTGAACCTAACCAATGACATGGTGTTCATGTGACATGTTTCTGAACCAATTCAAGTCTGCATTACAATAATTTGTTGTAACAATGAAACAGCAATTGTATGTGTAGTTTGTGTAATTTTCATATAATTTGCACCATGCTATAACTGCTTTGACCAACTCAATGGTAAGTGGGGAAGACCACCTCACCCGCACCATTCTCAGAGTTTTAGCCTGCTGATTCCTTTCTTTAAGCTTTTGCCTTACTTAAGCCTTTACACGTGAAGTTATGTGTGTTCGTGCGAACGTGTTGACCTCCTGAGATTATTTCTCTCCATTTTTCTCCATTCTTTTTAATTATCGCTGCTGTGGGAACAAAACCTCATATCTCCATTTTTGCCGTTTCATTTTGTCATCCATTGAGTAGGCAAAAGTTCTAGTGAGGCGTGCACTGTTGCTACTTTCAATCACAATATTTACATTAGTATTACTGCAACAGCCCACATATACACATTGGTCCTATATAAATCCTCATTGCAGTGTAGATAAAATCTGAAAGGTTGCCTTTCAGTATCCCTTTGTAAATATGTCCATTCACGACATGGGTGTAATTGTCAACACATGACATAAGCCCTCTATAAAGCCTTCTATAAAACTGGTTCTCAGATAAACAGAATGGGCAGTAGGGAGACCTACCTCATTAATCCCACAAAGAGCATGATCATGAGAAAGTTGGGCGGGTATTCAGCTCGGGACTTGTGCTGGTACAGGCAGCAAGGCACAAACATCTTAATGCAGCCAATGACTGTGGTGGAAAGCATCTGAACAGCACCTAACAAAGACAAAGGCACGAGGAAGGCATATTTGAGAGATATGCAGAATGTCTGATGACCTTTTGAATGCTCCTCCTTAGTAGAGCTGTGTGACAAAACCAAAACGATTATGAAATCCTTATTATAGCCTAATAAGTGTCTCTATGAGCAGCTTACGCAAGCTGTTTATGCGGGTACAGTACTGAAGTGTGTGCAGGTGCAGTGAGGGACAAATCAGTTTTGTCAAGGGAAAGGCCTAGTTATTTTCCTGGTCACATGACTTTCACTTGGTTGTTTGCCTTGAGATTGGGGAGGGTACTGCTTCTTACTGTAGGAGAGAGCTTATTCATTAGCAAGGTCAATTTTAAATTGACTGTCCTATTTAAGTACTTTACTGATTTTGTATGAAAAGAGCAGGATATTGTTTTTCCACTGAAAAACAAAGACGATAAAGAATTAATTTAGTTACACAAACAGGTGCACTGCGGCTTAACTAAGGTTTCAGGCACTGTAGAAGAGGTATCACATGGCTACCTGCTGGCACCAACTCTATGCTGGGCAGGAAAGATAATTGCTTCTTTCTAGCCTTACTAACCTTTGGCTGTCGTCTTGGCGATCTAAAAGAACTCTGAAGGCCAAAGTGCTCTGTCTGATAACTATGAAATCAGAGTAATCCCTCCTCTTGAGGGCCTAGAGGCGACTGCAGGGTTAAATTGGAACCCTTTATAAATGAGGGTTTAGTAGGGGTGTGCATGGATAACTGGATACATGGTTAATATGGATGGATGTCAGTGTACAAACACCATAGGGGGAAAATATGATGACGAAAAAGAAAAAGCATGTGGCAATATTTCAACGCTGAATGCAACACTAGTTCTGTTTAAAAGACTGTTATGCACCTGTTTACGTATTATGAGTAGGGATGGACGTTCAACACTTTTCAATACTGGCAGCAATACCGATTACCATGACCTCAATATCGAATCCCGAATAATACCTTTTTTGATACTTTTGTTAAACTTACTAATTGACTGTGGGTGTGGCTTAAACCAGAACCAGAGATGCTGTAAGTAGGTATATTTACTGTGCCGGATTGTAGAATAAATCAAGAAGCGCAGGTGTTAATAAAATTCATTCAGAATGTAATTTATACAGCTAATCAGCAGTCTGGACTTTGGAACAACTATGCTTACTGGCTCACTGACACTGGTAAGACTGACAGCTTAGGTATTAAAATTTGGTACTGAATGACATTTTGTGATAAAAGTATTGGATTTTGATACCTAATTATGAGTAAGAACTGAACAAAGTCAAGTGGTGACATTCATTAAAGCTTTTACTGTATGCCGAACATTTCAAATCATTATTTCTCTGGTCTTTATTGCTTTGTTCAAACACATGTACTGTCAGCTGGGAAGTAACCAGTGAGAAAATGACTTTTTATGATATGTTGACAGCGGTGCTTTCTTTACTCTCATGTAGAGCTGGGCGATATGTTATCACGATAAAAAATCATATCGTTTGATATCGATACATACCGCAATAAATGTCAAATTATTTCTTTCAAGTTTGAAGGCTGATTTTTGCTCCTGGGTGGTTAATTGCTGTTTTAAACTATCCTTTATGGTCGGAACACGACAAACACTCACCAAACAGTGGAACATTTCACAAATCTGTCATGGGAGAGTGGGAGAAAGTGTCTGGTGAGCTGTTTTTACCAGCTGGAAAAGCACGGCTATTTTGTAATAGTCATAATTTAAGAAAGAAAAGATTATTTGTAGCTGGTGACGAGCGCTCGGCTACCCCGCTATAAATGACATCACAGTATTCAGACACCAGCTAGCGACGACTGGATATTCAATTGTAGTAGTTTAAGGGGTGAACCGCAAAATATCATCTTACTCGTAGCCCCCTCCCTCTCTACTCATGTCAAAAAACTCGGAAGTGCGCCCTCTCCTGGCGATAGCACAGTAGGGTCGCTTCCCTTGCAGTAGAAAATGCCACCAAGGCTTTCACTGTACGTGGAAGTGTGAGAATGGTGTATTATATCAAACATTTATCGAACATGTGGTATCACATCGCGATAATTATCGTTATCGTTTTATCGCCCAGCCCTACTCTCATGGTTAACTGAATAACCATTCATGAACTGTTACTGAAACTGGAATGTCGAATTTAGTCATGACAGCCAATCCACAGCATCAACAGTGGGAAGACTGATCCAAGCACTTTATTAGGGATTAATAACCATCTAACACACCTCTTACAGCAAACAAAGAGTTAAATAAATGCCATGTGATGTCTAACAGTCACAATCTACCCACCTACCTACAGCTGTACAGTACAAAGACTATTTCAGACCACAAATGGAAGTGTGTGCACACTTGTAATCAGCGCTCATATTAATCATTAGCCCCGTTCAAATCAAGCACTTCAGCAGGGTTATAGCACAAACAGCATGTCTTCTTCTGTTTCTATTGCCGTTTCTAGAGTCCTGCAATCAACATGCCACTATATATTTACACAAGAACACTTCTTATTACCTGCTGGCACTCCTACAACCAATTAACATCTCAACATGACCTCCTATCCTCACAAACATCAGGTATTTAGTGCCAAGACAAAAAGACTTTCAAAAAGCTTCTCTAAAATTTCTTTTTGTTGGGGATGAAAATGAACTCTATATCATAAGTTGTAGTAAAACAACTGATATGTCATTGCAGTCATAACAAAAATGCTAACTTTACAAGAGAAGACACGAAAAAATTCGTACTCTAAAATTTATGTTACTGTAACAAAACTTTATTCCAAATAATTTGGACTATTCCTACTGGTCATCTAAAAAAAAAAAAGTGTACATACAGGGCAAAAAAAAATGGGCTTAGGAGTTTCTGATATGACCACTTCCATATGTAGCTCTATGTATGAGCTCATATGTGCATCCAAGTAACACACCGGCTGCCACAAGCAAAAAAAATGTTTAGCTTCTGTATTTCACTCCACTTCATTGCCAGCTGGAAACCTGGGGTCGTATTACAGAAACTTCCTATCTTTCTGTCTTAGCTGATCTGACAGGCCAAGATAAGGTTTTTCACCAATTCGTATTACAGAAGCAAATCTAATTTTAATTCAGGAATTTTATCTTACAACATCTCATCTCAAGTTAGGAAATCTTAACTTAGTCAAGCAAAGCTGACAATCAACTGTCATGTCTGCTATCCAGCAACCGATCAACGCGCACAGCTGAAATGCAAACACAATCAAAATAATCAACTTAGTTAGCCAGACAGCTAACCGTGGAGTTCGTGTCTGCAGTGTCTGGGATTTTTAGAACGCTGCTAGAAAAAACCCTTATAAGTGAAATCACCGTTTTCGGTGTAGGTAAGTGTAACGTCATTATGCCAGTTACAGTGAGCTATGCTGTCTGTCACTGCACAGAACAACAGGAACAGATGGTTAAAATAGAGTTAAGACGGCTCTGGGATGTCTTAAAGTTAGGACAGAATTTTTGTTTCTGTAATACTGTTTTCTTATCTGGAGTTAATGAATAAGATTATGAACTTAAGAACTGCTGTTCTGCAATAGCTTCTGTCCTAAATTCAGTCCTAAGTGAAGTTGTCATGATAACTAAGCAGACGAGATGTCAGAGTTAAGAAGTTTCTGTAATACGGCCCCTGAAGATTCTCCACAGACAGCCCACCTTCCCGTTCCTTCTCCACTTACCCAGCATGCTTGGCTCTCCCTCCAGGAGAGAGAGGATGTACTTGTTGAGAAAGAGTGTGGAGAAGCTGAAGAAGTACCACAGGCCCAGATAACTCAGCGCTCTTGAGTTCCACACCCCTGAGTCAGCTTCGATAACCGTCGTCTCAGTGATCGTGATCTTGAGGACCTGTTCTCCTGGCATGCTCTCGCTGCGAGCCAAAATCACCCTCTCCTGCCGGGACCGCTTGAAGGGGGAGAGGAGCTTCCAGCACACGGACCTCCCCAGTCGCCCGTTGGCACGCATGGTGCGCCGAGTTGTGGGCACCAAGCATACAACGGGCTGGGAGGGGGGCTGGGGTTGGAGGAAAGGTGGAGAGAGAGATCTGCGTTTCTACTCCATCTTAGATAATGTAACGTCAACCTTTGAACGTGGAGGGGCCTTGCTGAGGACCCTAGTGGTGTCGGGTAGACGTCCCTCTGCACACAGGGAAAAAGCTACACTTCAGTGATGGCACAGGTGTTCAAATTTCAAGGCAGTAACAGTAAAATAGAAAGATGAATGCCAGCTAAATCGTGTCATAGAACACCACCTCAAATACAGCTCTCCTCACATTCCTGTCCCCACTCACAAATCAGGTTCACACCGAGGACTTTGTGAAAAGGGGCAGGAATGTGAAGGGAACTGAAGTATTTCAAAACAAGAACTTGATCTGTGAAAAAAAATTAGGTCACGTGCAAAACTATCACACTATGACTGTAACATGTCATAAAAAGGCACTGAAAGCACAAAAATAACGTCACCTCCAACTGAACACACTGATGTGTCTGGTTAGAGACAGAATGGGGTGGTTTTACATTCACGTAAGACCGATTTCCTCTTGGCATCTACATACATCCTGCACTGCAGCTGACCCGATATAAATAACACAATGTGTTAAAGAAATGAGAGAAAGAGCCTTACAGGGCAACTCCACCAATTTTTCAGAAGTTCCACATAGTAAAATGGTGAAGATGTAAACAAAGTCATTCAGAGTGGGTGGAGTGTAAAATGCTCAGTGCTAGAAAAACTTATTGAGCGAGAATCGTTCTCAGTGGTGGTGATAGGAACCAGACGTCTGAGGAGTTTAACGCCTCTAAAAGCTCCTTCACAGAAAGTTACTACAGAAAATGGCTATGAATACACTGTCCGTTGTCTGACACTGCTTAACGATGGCGGAGGGGTACCTGCAGGGTGTCGTCTTCAAAGTAGTCCCCAAAGAAAACTTATTTTTTTCTACTTCACCATCATTTGCGTTACATATAAAACCCAGAGGGCACAAGCAGGTTCACTGGCGGTTTCGATAGGAAGTTAAATAAAACGGATATATTTGCATTGTAGAAATCATTGCTGGTTTATATCACCACCACAGTAAAGAAATCTGAGTCTGTATGTTTTCTCGAAACGAATCATTTCGCATCAAACCAGTCTGAATGACTTGGTTTATATCTCAACTACTGGATCGTGCAGAAATTTGGAAAATCGGCGGAGCTCCCCTTTCAGCAGTGAAGCATGGTTACACGAGTCAAGCAACTTAGCTCGTGCAAGACATAAAGACCCGGAGCGGACAGCTAGCATTAGCTAACAATAACGAACAAAAAATGACCAAAGACACAAAAACCGCGAAACTCAAACTACCCAGAAGATCACGGTCACTACCCTCGACCACAACGCAGTCCAGAAGCGACTACGTTCACGTGTGAAGCCAACTCAGCCGGAGAAGAGGACGTTAGGTTACCCGCTGCTGCCACATTGGCGACTCTGTCGGTGAGAAGCGTCCGAACTGTTCAGCTCATCCCGCCACCGCCAAACGGCTCCTCTCTCCCCTCAACACCACCAAGTTAGCCGCAGACTTCAGCTTTTATAATCAGAGAGGGCGTCTCCGAGCTGTAAAACATGGATACGCGCTGCTAAAGTGTGAATTTGAACACGTATCCTCCCTGTTTCTGTTATTCTGCGGTTCCTGAGGCGCTCCTCCTCCGCCGCTCTTCTCCAGACCACTGTTCGATCCTCACAGACTGCCAGAGAGAATATGTGAAGCGAGAGCCGCCTAATCAAGATATTTCCGTGAACGCGGTTACGTGGTCTTGGCAAGTGGGAGGGGGGAGGGGGGAGGGGGGGGGGGGGGGGGCTCTTTCCGCCCCTTAAGCAGACAACAGAGAAATGAGCCTCATTCACACAAGCGGGAAACTCTGCTTATTTCACCAAACTTTATCGATTGTTTTTCCCTCCGTTAATATTACAGCGAACGTTTGTAACTGTCAGAATCCTATGAGCACTTCGAGCCTAAACACACATTTTTGAGCTGATTAAAAAGAAAACAGGTTTGTTTGGGGTTTATTCATCCCAATCTTATTGCACAGGATGCTGCTGTTACCCCGGGAGACGGGGGGCGGGCGAAGCCGTGGACGCCAGACTTAAACAGGAACTGAACCCCTTTTCACCCTATTGACCCGAGTAGTCATGCACCATCTTGGTTCATTTTATATATCTTTGGTACTGCTTCCCTACTGCGGGGTGATGTTTGTCTCCTCATCGCCGGCGCTGTTTTGCGCACTCCGCCTTCATATTATTTTCTCACTCTAAAATAACGAATTCAGCTGTACATATTTCTGGCATGCATTATGTTCCGACTAATGCAACCACACTGAAATATATTCTGGTGGCTGTTGCAGTCTGCGTTTGGAGAAAATCAAAAGCGTCCACAAACACGTATTGCGATATACGCACGCAGCATTGATGTGGACAAAATCCATGGTCTACGTTACGACGTGCGCACGTCTCCCCGCCCACTCCTTGCATGTTTCTCCCAAAATGTGAAGAGCAGGTTTGCAGAAGTCAGCTGATGGAGAAATAGAAAACAAAAGTAGCTTCTCCAGATTGGTACAAAATGGACGAGATTCGGTGAGTGTTCAGTAAACTGGCTCGTTTGGGTGGTCGGAGGGCGGCCTGGGGGGGGGGGCAGTGACAGTGCTGACCAGTGGCTGTAGCTGTAGCATTAGGTTTAAACACACTAGTTGTGGAAATAGAATGAGGTCTGTAAGAGGAAGTCTGTGGATTAAATATAACCCCGTCGGTTTTGCTGAGCAACGCTGGATTTTCTTTTTATGCCTCATGAATCAAACTATGTTGAGCTGGGCTGTAATTAGTGGAGGTGGAGCTGTGAAATGATCAGAGATGAAATGTTGTGGTATTTTAATCATCAACTGGCTGCAGCTCATCAAAGCTCAGATGTGCTCTGTGTCTGCGAGCTGTGTCTCTGTTGGGAAACAGCTGCTGCCAACGGCTCCCTGTGAGACCCTGTGAACCGGTTTGTTAGTAACTGGTCTTTACGCTCACCGTCCATCCTGTATTAGAAACTCCAGCTTTACCTACACTCTTAGAAAAGGTCCCTTCAAGGCTCTTTACTAAAGGCAGTGCCTCTATTTAGAAACATGAGTTCTTTATAGAACCATTTTATGCTTAAAAGGTTCTCTGCATGGTGGGATGGTTCTCCAGACTGATGGAGAATGTGTTGAATGTTCTGTGTATCACCAAAAAGGGTTGTTCTGTTGTTTCACGCTTGACATCATAATAGTAAAGGAACCTATTTTGGTGCTGTATAGAACCATGTTCAAAAAGGATCTATATAGAACCAACACACTTTAAAAAGATTCTTCCTCAGTGATTCTTTACTAAAGGCAGTGGTTCTGTTTAGAACTGTGAGTTCTTTATAGGATCATTTTGTGCTTAAAAGGTTCTCTGCATGTTGAAATGGTTCTTCAGATTGATGGGGAATGTGTTGAAGGTTCTATATATCGCCAAAAAGGGTTCTTCTGTTGTTTCACGCTTGACATCATAACAGTAGAGGAACCCTTTTTGGTGCTATATAGAACCACTTTCAAAAAGGTTCTATATGGAACCAACACACTTTGAAAAAAGATGCTTCCCCAGTGGTTTTGTACAAAGACAGTGGTTCTATTTAGAACCATGAGTTCTAAATAGAAGGATTTCATGCTTAAAAGGTTCTCTGCATGGTGAAATGGTTCTCCAGACTGATAGCGAATGTTCTGCATATCACCAAAAAGGGTTCTTCTGTTGGTACACGCTTGACATCGTAACAGAAGATGAACCTTTCTATATAGAACCAGCACATTCTCCATCAATCTGAAGAACCATTTCACCATGCAGAGAACCATGTAAGCATGAAATCCTTCTATTTAGAACTCGTGGTTCTAAATAGAACCACTGTCTTTAGTACAAAACCACTGGGGAAGCATCTTTTTTCAAAGTGTGTTGGTTCTGTATAGAACTCATGGTTCTAAGTAGAACCATTGCCTTTACTAAAGAACGTTTGAAGAACCATAATGTATTCCCAGCAGGTACTCAATGTCATCACAATGTGAAAATTGTGTTATATCAATATCATTACAGTGTTACTATGACATTGTCTTCAGTGTTGGATTATCAACATCATTTTGAAAACAATATCATTAATTTAGTTAATAATATTAAAACGAAAGTTAAAAAAAGAAGTTAAAAATTTGCATATGATGATATGAAAAATAAATCACTTAAAAGGAGAAAAACATGATATTTGTTTAGTAAAAGTGAAAATGAAAAAAGGGAAAAGCACTTAGATAATAAGCAAAAGAATAAACATTTTAAAATGATAAAAATATGTTTTTTATATATATATATGTATGTATATATATATATATATATATGTGTGTGTGTGCGTGTGTGTATATATATATATATATATATATATATATAAACAGTTTTTATAACTAATAACTGAGCAAATTGAAAGACCAAAAGTTAAAAATCTGCCTATGATTATAATTTATATTTAGCCTTTAGGTGGGTCCTGCCCCTTTAAGAACCACTTGTGTGATTTCACTAAAATAAATAACTGCTGGCTGTAGCTGCACAGTGAGCTGACCAGTGGAGAGAGAAGCTGAGGAGAAAGAGAGAAAGAAATATTGAACTTAAGTCTTAATTTAAATAACTGTTTTTAATTTGAGGATATTAAGAAGTGGACGGTAAATGGAGACCTTGACAAGCAAAAAAAAAACAGGTTTGGTCAGTTTATTCATTCTGTATTGAGCCTTTTGAGCCTTGTGGTTATTTTCATGTCGTGATTAAAAGTAATAGTAGAAGTTTATATTGTTCTGCTGAATATTGTGAAAGGTTTTTTGTTTTTCATATAAAGGGAGAAGTAGCCCACGATAACGTTACATCACTCTGTCATGTTACAGTGCAGGAACCACTGCAGTCATGTTAATATGAAAGTTGTCTGATGTGACTGCGAACACTTGTATGTGTGTATCTGCCAAAATGAAAAGTAATAAATCTAATAAATAAATGCATACGTAGCCATTAGTGTCTGCAAAGCCCCCTCAGTATCATAAGGACAACAAAAAAAATAGAAATAAATAAACAGGGACACAAATGCAGAAATGAATGATTAATCAGATTTTAAGATTTGTATTTTTATTTAATTTATATGATTGTTTACAGTATTTACAATACAATAAGCATTTTCTGGTAATATCTCATGATATTTTGCATTAATAGTGTGCATTCCTTAAACTGATGCACTCCTGCTTCCAGACTACTGGGGTGCTAAGAGAATGTCTTGCAAGCCTTGATTTGATTGGACTGTTTTGTTCTGTTTTCATTTCCTACAATGACACCAAAGAGAACCTTGCACAATAGTGTAAATGTTAAGCAAACAAAAGCCACATTCCCACAAAAAGAAACGTATCTTTTGTATGTTTGTAGCACTGAGCAATTGGCATATATTTCCGTTCATGGGTGCCTTAAGTAAAGTACACAAAGTAGACTGTTTAGCAACAGGGATGCTGCTACATTATGTGTATTATGGCTTTGTTTATTTCTTATTTTATTAATGTTTCATACTGGCAGAGCCTGTCCACTGTAGCGCTTTTGTTTTTCATGGAGGTTTGTTCAGTTGTCCAGTTTCTGGACATTGGACAGTCTTCTCCTGTGGCATGGAGTTGTGCACTTCAAAGACAAATGAAACCTTGGTGAACTAGAAGTGTGCACACTGCAAGCTTTGGATGCTTATTATGGTTCGTGAAACGTAAGAGTTTAATTGTTATCATATTTACACTTGAGTGAAATATAATATTCCATGTTTAGCAGATGTTCAGTTGATGTTTATGCAGTGTTGGTATTTGATGTCAGGTGGCTTTAAAAATTGATGTTGGGGCAACAAGTTACACAGTTTCAAATTTCAAATTCAACATACTGATGACTGATATACCACATTGTGACAACATTGTGTCTCGGTGTTCTGGCAACACAACATGCCTGCTGGGAAATGGGGCATTCTGGCCAGAAACTATCACTCAAAAGAGGGTTCTTTAAGGGTTCTTTAGTGAAGAAAATGTTTCTATATATAACCATGACACTCCAAGAACCCTTTGCATGATTAAAGCGTTCTTTAAATAATGAAATGGCTCTTCAGACCAGTGGAGAATGTGCTAGAGACAGTTTTAATATAGAACCTTTTCAAAATTGGTTCTATATAACACCCAAAAAGATTCTTCTGTTGTTATGATGTCAAGCTTGTAACAATAGGACAATTAGGTGCTATATAGAACCCTTTTCAAAAAGGTTCTATATAGAACCATGTATGGCACTTTCATGCACATTTTACATTAATCTGAAGAACCTTTTCATGACACAAAGAACCCTTTAATTATACAAAGGGTTCTTGGAGTGTTCATGGTTCTATATAGAACCATTTTCTTCACTAAAGAACCTTTAAAGATCTCTTTGCATGTTAAAAGGGTTCTTTGCATCATGAAACTATTCTTCTTACTGATGGTGAATGAGAATGAACACATCGAAACCTTGAGGAGGATGGGCTACAACAGCAGAAGACTTCTGTCAGCCAAGAACAGAAAGCTGGGGCTGCAGTGGGCATGCTCAAAAACTGGACAGTTAAAGACTTGAGACATGTAGCCTGGTCTGATGAATCTTGTTTTCTGCTGAGGCTCACACATGGTAGGGTCAGAATTTTGCACTAATCTTGTGTCAACAGTCCAGGCTGGTGGAGGTGGTGTAATGGTGTGGGGAATGTTTTCTTGGCACACTTTTCACCCGTTGATACCAATCAATCATTACTTAAATGCCACAGTCTGTTTGGGTATTGTTGCTGACCATGGGCATCCCTTTATGGCCACAATTTATCTATCTTCTAATGACTACTTCCAGCGTGATAATGCACCACATCACAAAGCAGCAGTCGTCTCAAACTGGTTTCATAAACATGATAATGAGTTCAGTGTTCTTCAGTGGCCTTCCCGCTGCTGCACTGTGTCAGAATATTGTGATACATATCATGTACTTTGAAAATGTCTTGAAGTATAGTGACATGACATTTCTGCCATGTCACCCTTTCCAGTTACATGGCAAATTTGACATGTGTCACTTTTCACTTTTCAGTCCATTGTTGTCGCCTCAGCGGCTACAGAGCGTTGATCTGCCTTCTCCAAACCTGCAGCCCAGACACAGAGACCTGTTACCAACACCATGCGGACCAGTGAGTATGATGTGTAGTGCACCATTACTCATCAGAAGCATCCCTTTCTTATATTCCTTTTCAGTCTTTAAAGACCCTGACAACATGGTTAATAATTTATAAATTTTATTTTAGAAGTTAAAATATGCCACAGAAGAATGTTTACTAGTATTAAATTTAAGAAGTATATATAAATTAATACAGTTTAATAGTGGATAAATGCTCCATATAACTATGTATGCACGTTAGAACACAAAGTGACTGACAGTGGCATCTCCCAGGCAATGTAAACAACCTGCAACACTGCCAAACTGTGTGGTTCAGCCCTACACTTTTGACTTTAACATCATTTCAGGCAGCAAATAAACTCACATTTTCACGTGCAGCACTATGCCTGCTTTCCTTTGTCCAGATAAAGCGGTGGTCAGAGCTGCCGTGTCTAGTGAAGATCTATTTCTGCTTCACGCTCAGCTCCCTGCTGGCTCTCCTCATCCTCACTGTGCTCAACATCCAGAGAGAGAGTGTCAGTAAAGGCAGTGATGACGATGACCTCACGGTGTCCCTCATCCAGCTTGTCAGCATCCGTAAGTGAATGCAAGTACTTTCTATGTGCTGAACAGTATTTTTTATCAGCATCAGGTGCATGCAGCCCTTTCACCGATGTCCACACTGTTAGAAATAAAGGTTCTGTGCAGGTAGTTTTTTTGTTCTTCATGGTACAAACAATGTAAATGTTACCTCAAAGGTACAACAATTGTGCACCTTAAGTAAGTTTTTCCAGGTGAGAAGTACATATTTGTACCTTTTCATAACCTAATGTTTTAAAACAGAACAATAAAGTAAAAAGTCTGGAGACGAGACGGGGTGAGTGTAGTCAATACAGCTTAGAAAATATCCTTTCAATGGATTATGGCACAGTTATGTTCCCTGACTAAATGTACGGAGATGTACCCTTGAGGGTACCACCCCAGTGACAAGAGGAGTACTGCCCCAGAGACACATTAGTACCTTTTTTCTGAGAGTGCAGTATATAGTTGGTTCAAGTATAAAGGTGCTTTGTAGAATTAGGTGAGGCTGTTTTCCAACCCTCAGACTGAACATCTTGGCAATGATCTGTGCTGAGAATTTGGTGATGGACCCTTAACTTTGCTGCTAGAGGAGTTACTGCATTGATCACTGTGTAAAAGATGCATAAGACCTCCCATACTGTTAGATGCACTGTGATTTTTTGGGGGGAGTCAGTTGGGATCCATAAGCTCTTATTTTTGATTTGTTTAATCAATTACCTATTTTTACCCACACTGTATGGCCAAAAGTATGTGGACACCTGAACATCACGTCAGTATGATTATTAGTATCTTATGGTAGGGCTTCCCAAAAGATCTTGGGGTGTGCCTGTGCGAATTTGTTCCCATTCAGAAGAAAAAACATTTGGGACGTCAGGCACAGATGTTGGACGAGAAGGCCTGGCTCACAATCAACATTTCCGTTCAAACCTGTCAAACCATGTCCTTATGGAGCTCACTTTGTGCACAGGGGCTCAATCATGCTGGAAGAAGAAAGGGCCCTCCTCAAACGGTTGGAAGGTGGAAGTATGTACTTATGTAAAATGTCTTTGTGTGCTATAGAATTCACTTTACCCTTCACTGGAACTATGGGGTGGAGCCCAAACCCTGACAAACAACCCAAGAAGGTTGTCCCTCTGCCAAACTTACTGTTGGAACCATGCAGTATGGTAGATAGCATTCCCCTGGCACCCACCAAACCCAGATTCATCCATTCATCCAGATTGCCAGATAGTGAAGTCCAGAAAACCTGTTCTCACTGCTCCAAAGTCCAGTGGTGCCGTGTTTTACACCACTCCAACTGATGCTTGGCATTGCACCAAGTGATCTTAGGCTTGTGTGCAGCTGCTCGGCTATGCAAACCAATTTCATGAAGCTCCTAATGCACAGTATGCTTCAAAAGGCAGTTTGGAACTGTGTGCAACACTCTCAGAAAAAAAGGGTACTGAAACTGTCATTGAGGTGGTACCCCTCTTGTCACTGGGATGATTCCGTCAAGGGTACGTCTTCAGTACCTTTAGCCAGGGAACGTAATAAATGTATTATTATACATTAATAATAATAATGTATTATATTACCATAATGCATTCAAATTAAATGTTTTCTAAGTTGTATTGACTCCACATACCCTGTCTTGTCTTCAGGCTTTTTAATTTATTGATATATTTTAAAACATTAGCTTATTTTTCCCCTGAGAAAAAAACATATTTAAGGTACATGGTTGGACCTCAAAACCATTGTTGTACCTTTGAGGCTACATTTACATTGTATGTACCTTGATGACCGAAAAACATGCCTGCATAGAACTTTTTTTCTCACAGCGTACATTTTTCAGCACTCGGCAGCCCCTCTCAGGGAGTTTGCATGGTCTTCCACTTCATGGGTGGAGTGTTGTTGCTCTTTTATGTCACAACATCATTTACAGTTGACTTGGGCAGATCTCGCAGAGCAGAAATTGCACAAACTGACTTGTGGCAAAGGTGACATCAGTACAACTTGTTTTACTGCCTGTATTTGTCTGTGGAGATTATACACTTGTTAGCAATGGGTGTGGCTGCAGCACCTAAAGTTAGTATAGGAGGGATGTACACACACTTTTGGCCATATACTATACGCCCATATTTAATTTCCTAATAAAATTCACAAAAACGGTAGTTTGTGACGCAACCTTAATAAAAAAAAAATGGTAGATAGATTTGATAGATAGTGTTCTTTACATATCATATAAATTCACAGCATTTAATAACAGCACTGAGAAGTTATATCATTAACAAAGAAGAGCAGATTAAACAGCAGAATCATCCACATTTTTGCATCAACCTTAAACGGTTAAACTAATTTGAGGTAAAACTTTCTCCCAGTCGTTTGTTTCATGTAACCAATAGGATCACCTCCCAATTTTCAATGCTGTTGCCAGTCAGGAAAATTAAAAGCAACAGGCATGACTGGTTCAGCTGCGTAAGAATCTGTTCTTCTTTCTTTCTTTTTTTTCCTTTAGTGCTGTTAGTTCATAGTAGTGCTGAATATGAAGCCACACAATCAGAAGTCAGATGGTGTGAAAGGAAGTCTTACAACATGCACACTTACAACATGATTAGCCAATATTGTTATACTGATACAAACTCACACCCACTGACTGTTTCATTCTCTAATGCAAACGTAAAGGCCTTTACAAAGCATTTTGTTCTATTTGTCCTATTATTTCTTTTGGAGGTCTTTCTAATGGTGTCAGTATTTTGTTTTTTTTTTGCTATATAAGCGTGTAAAGATAAAGTTTTGACACAATTTATAACTTAAAAAAAGCCTCAAAAATGTACATTTGTGAAGAAACTTTTAATGCCGAACACATTTTGGAGCAACATATGCTGCCTTCTTGGCGCCGTCTTTTTCAAGGACACCCATGCACGTTCCACAAGACAACACCAAGCCACATTCTGCACCTCTTACAACAGCATGGCCATGTAATCAGAGAGTGCAGGTTCTGAATTGACCTTTCTGGAGTCTGCTGACCTGTCTCCCATTGAAAACATGTGTCTTACAACAAGGGCCTTGTATAGTTGCACAGCTGAAGACTTACGTATAATAGAAGACTGCTAAGGAATTCCACTTTCAAAACTGGATCAGTTTGTGTCTTCAGTCCCAAAATGTTTATTAAGTGCTGTTAAAGGGAAGGTGATGTCACACAGAGGTAAACATGCTCCTGTCCCGACTTTTTGAGTGTATATTTACCAAAAAGTTAATAAGGTAAAACATCAGATGTTGTGTTTTTGTACCGTTTTCAATTTAATGCAAGTTAAACAAAATTTCTGCCGTTACAGTACAAGTCAACAAGCTTGGATTGGATGCTTTAATTGGTGCAGAGTGGAAAACACTTAGTTTTGTGCTTGGTTTGGGGATGACCCCAGCCTTGCTTACCCTACATCTTTACCTTCCTTGTTCACCTGCTCGTCTGTTCAGTGCAGTCAATCTCTGACCACCTCTAAATGTGGTTTGAGTAATCCCCTCACAATGTGTCCTGCAGGTGTTTTCACCTGACTTAAACAGGCTCTATATTTCAGGTATGATCTGAGGCTAATCTGAGGTGTGCTATGGCTCCTTGTCACCAGGGTTAAAATACAGAGGGAGAACCTGAGACAGTAACTGTAACAAGAGACAGTAACAAGCATTATTCTGTTTAGTGATCTACTGTAAATAAATAATATGATGTGATGAGATAATGATTTGACGTTTATACAGAGATAAGAGTTTGTCAGCATTTCTTGTGCGTAGTTAGAAAATGTCATCATGCATTTGTGTCTGTGTGATGTTTCTCCTAGTGTTCTGCATGTACTACATCACACGGGGGGTGCTGCAGGAGAACAGGCAAGAGCTGATTGTCTTTGTGCTGAGCGTGCTTGTGGTCATGGTGCGCTCAGTGGTCAACTTCAGCGTGCTCACAACACACGACCCGCTTCTATTGGTATGTCACTGACCAACATAGCTCCATCCCAGCACCACCAAATTGAGGATTAGCCTTTCACACTGACACTGCTTTATGTTCCATATATCAGGGGCTGTATTACAGAAACCTCTCTTTTGTCCCAAGTTAAGAAGCAAATTGTATCTTCATTTAGGAATTATAGGAATTATAATTATATTATAAATTATATCTCATATAATAGTATCTTATTCAAGTTTTTGGGAGGGGCATTTCACCAGTTTTCTCCACAATTTGGGCATGTCCAATTCTTCCCACTAGCTAAGTCGTCCCCAATCACATGATCATCCCTGGGAGGGTGAAGGCTAGCACATGTTTCCATGAGTCATGTGAAGCCAGCCAACATATCTTTCCAAAACACCACTACCACAACGTCATTGAACAGCTCAACACAATTGGAGGAGAATGCTTAGTGCCAGTTCTGTTACACCAGCTAACAAATGCCTGAGCTGCTGAGCTGAGTGGTGGGAGGAGAGGGATGACAATCTTACTCACCCACAGAGAGTGATGTCAGCTCTCTTGGACTCCCAGACACAGATGGCTGCTGCGTCACCTGGGATAGTACTGTTGATCTCCTGATGATTGGGTCAACACTTAGACAGCTGCGCCACTCAGGAGCCCGTCTCCTACTGTTTAACAGGGCCCACCACACCTAAATTTCCATTTACCAAGGCTTTAGCTGGTTGTGCTAAGGTTATTCCTCCTAATAACCTGCCACATATTCAACTCTCTTAAATCACCAACGTCATGCCAGTGTTTTACTAGAAAAGTTTTACAATAAGAATGCGTTATGCCGTTATGGTAGTTAAACTGAAATTATTTTACTGCCTGTCACAGTTGCTTAAGAACAAAAACATTCTCTTTTCAATAGAATGGCTCATGTTGGGAACAGATGGTTATAACATAAATTAGGACAGAACTGGGGTTTTTCGAAAGTTAAGACAGTCTTTATAAAATTTGGTCTAGTTAGGATGCTTATGTAATACTGTAATAACAAATTCAGTCCAAACTGAAGCCATCATGGTGACTAAAGACATCAGATTTCAGAGTTTCTAAAATTCCTCCTCCATTCCTGTGGATCCACTGCCTTGCACAGCTTTAATTATTCAATGCTCCAACACTTCGGCTGCAAATAACTATTTCTGTAGTCAGATTTTTTATATATGGTGCAAGGAAACAATAGAAGCCATGTCACCTCCTATCTTTTTAATCTGTCAGAAATACCACAGACATTATATTAGAATCAGAATTGGAGTTTTTGATCGGCAAGTATATGTAAGAGCATTTTTTTTTGGTGCAGGTGTCAACATAACTAATAAAATAATAATAATAATAATAATAATAATAAAATTATATATAATAATATATTATGTAGATTATATAACATAATCTCCAAGTAACATAAAATATGTGCACTGGGTGTTATGCACAGTTACCTTTTATATTTGGAAGTTGTGTGCAGTTATTATATCTCTATCATCAGGAGAAGTTCAGTCCCAGGTGATGCCACAGCCATCCATGGCCAGTGTAATGAAAATAGTTAACACCTCTCAAAAGTTGACGTGAGCTTCCCACAGGGTCAACTTCTCACGTGTAGAACTGTAAAAGTTGATGCAGAAAAAAGCTGACATTGTACAAACATTTATTTATGGTATTTAAGTCAGTATTTGGTACCTAATAAACTGACAGCTCAGCCTTCTCACTCGGTGAAGTGTATTATTTTACTTAACGTTATCAAAAAACACAAGTGTCTTAAATTGCCACAGACATGACTAAGAGGTCTGAAGTGGTGCAACTAGGCTGAGACATGATGGCTCATGTTAAAGAGTCAGCGTTTCCACATTATTCACTAAGCAGAAAATTACTTGCTGCCTCTCATCTAACGTTAAACTGTTAGCTCTAGCGTTAGCTCATCTACTGATTTAACCCATAGTGGATAAATAACTTTCCTTTGCTCCTGAGGCAGTTTGCTTAATTAAAGAAAAGTCATGTTTGTAAATGTGCTCCTCTGTCTGCTTCCTTTGTGCTACTGAATTTGAAATTGTTAAACAGAAGAGTCCAAAAGTAATGTTACAGCAAATCTCGGACAAAAAATCATTGTCCTTCTCCGCCATTCACAATTACAGTACCTAAAGATGTTACTTGAGTGCTCTTTTTTGGTTTCAGCCAGCTAAATTCTTTCCGTAGGATAACGGCTTCTTCTCCGGCCTAACTAAACACAGACAGCATGTTTAGCCCCAACACTTCTCAGGCGAGTGTCAACTTTTTATGCAAGTTTAGCTATATGTACACTGTGCATGCGCAAACATCTGTACATGTAAATTTAAACTGAATGAGTCAACATTTGACCGCAACAACTACTTTCATTACACCAGGAACCCTTGAGAGCGTCTGTTAGTTAGCGTAACAGAATTAGCAGATGTAGCAAGTGTCTTGAGCTGTCAAATGTTGCATCAGTAACATTTCGAAAAGATGTGGTGACTAGCTATGTGACTGTGTGTTTTGAGGGAAGCACATCCTGGACTTTGGCTTGGTAGCTTTGTATGAGACAGAGGAAGTGGGTGGGAACTGGCCTTGAATGACTGAATTGGGGAGAAAAATGTAAATAATAATAATAATAACAAAACACATATACACTCACTGAGCACTTTTTTAAAACCTGTACACCTACTCATTTGTGCAATGATCTAATCGACTAATCGTGTGGCAGCAGTTCAGCGCATAAAATCATGCAGATATGGGCCAGCAGCTTTAGGTAATGTTCACATTGACTATCGGGCTGGTTTAAATATTTCTGTTGATCTCCTGGGATTTTCACACACAACAGTCTCTAGAGTTTACTCTAGAGGTGCAGTAAAGAAAAAACATTCAGCGAGCGCAAGTTCTGCGGATGGCAATGCTTTGTTGGGAGAGAGGCCAGCAGACAATGGCCGGACTGGTTCAAGCCGATAGAAAGGCTACGGTATCTCAGATGACCACTCTGTACAATTTTGGTGATCTGAATGCATCTCAGAATGCACAACATGTCAAACCTTGAGGCAGATGGGCTACAACAGCAGAAGATGTCAGATTCTGCTTCTGCCAGCCAAGAACAGAAAGCTGAGGCTACAGCGGGGTCAGGGTCACTAAAACTGGACAGCTGAAGACTGGAAATACATGGCCTGGTCTGATGAATCTTGATTTCTGCTGAGGCACACAGATAGTAGAGATGGACCCAGCATGCCTTGTCTCAACACTCCAGGCTGGTGGAGGTGGTGTAATGGTGTGAGTAATGTTTTCTTGGCACACTTTGGATCCATTAATACCTAGGAATCATGGATTGAATGCCACAGCCTATTTGAGTATTGTTGCTGACCATGTGCATCCCTTAATTGGCACATTTTGCCGTTCTTCTTATGGCTACTTCCAGCATCGTAATGCAGCACATCACCAAGCAAAAGTGGTCTCAAACTGGTTTCATTAACATGGAAAGGAATTCAGTGTTCTTCAGTGGCCTTCCCAGTCATCGGATCTGAATCCAAAAGAACACCTTTGGAATGTGGTAGCATGGGAGATTTGCAGCATGAAAGCCACGAAGAATTGAGGTTGTTTTGAGAGTAAAGGGAGGCCCTAACCAGTATTGGTGTTCCTAAAGTGCTCAGTGAATGTATGCAATATTTAGAGTTGAAAATTTGCAATACATTGAACATTGTAGAGCACTTTTGTTTATAAGTGAACACATCGACTAATTAACTTTATGGACTAATCATTGTAGCCCTACCCAACACACCAGATCCAAATCTCTGCTATCCAAACCTCTGCTATTCACAGTACTTGGTGTACTAGGAAGACGGTAGTTGAAACTGGGCAGGGCAGTGGCTCTCCTGTGAAATGACCAAGCTTAACAGCTTAACAAGCGCATTGGAAACCTTCCCGAGAGTAAAAGCAGAAGTTACAGGTGAAGTCTTAAAACAGGATACACTGTCACACTGACATACATTTGCACATAACACATGATCACACTCACTGACTCATCCTGTAAGGCAGATGTAGGTGTTTTGTGACCCACCTGCTATATAACTTAACTATGCCAAATACATCTGAAAGGGCAGGGTCTATGACAAGTGATAAGTGAGTTTATGAGTTTCACTGAGTTTATAAGTGAAGTTTATGTATAGCAGTTAATTAGTATGTCATTGCCACATCAACAGGGATGATAAGAATCTAGTGCCCTTATAAAACAAACAGCATGGCACAGTGTCAAAGCGTAGAACGTTGGTAAATGATACCACACCTGCACTGGTGCATGTCTAAGATATGTAAACTATACAGCGCTTTATCTTTATAAAATTTCTTTGAACCAAAATCAGTGCTTTTCAGCTTTTTTTTAAACTCTACTCCAACACTTACTTAGACACTACCCTCACACCTACATAGAAAAAAGCCACATTGTTTTTTCACAATGTAGTGGTTGAGATATAAACAGTCGTTCAGAGTGGTTTGTTTTGAAGTGGTTCATTTGCAGAGAAACTTACAGACTCAGATTTCTTTACAGTGGTGGTGACAGGAACCAGGGGTCACAATGTCTACAACATAAATATAGGCATTTTATTTATCCAACACCAGTGAACCTACAAATGTCCTCTGAGGTTTTATATGTAGTGTTGGTGATAGCAAAATAGTGGAAAGTCTAAAAAAAATACATTTCCTTTGGGGACTATTTAGCCTCACAATGCCCTGCATGTACCCCACCGCCATTAATGTATTCTAATAAATGGATTAACAAGATGTTTTAGGCCAAAACTTCATCACAAAATTATCATTAAACAGTATCTCAGGCAGTGTATGCCTAACCACTTTGTATAGTAACTTTCTGTGAGGGAGATTTTAAACGCATTAAACTCCTCAGATGTCTGGTTCCTATCACCACCACAGAGAACAATTCTGATTCAGTAGGTCTCTCTAGAACTGAGCATTTCACACCAAACCGCTCTGAATGACTTGTTTGTATCTTAACAATTTAATTATGTGGAACTTCTGAAAATAGTTCCCTTTTAAGTAGGTCGCCGCCGACTGCAGGTGCAGACCAGTGGCGGCTGATGCTTTCTGACGTCAGTAGCTACTGTTCAAAAGTTTGGCTGCCACATTAAGTCAATGTTATTTTATATTTAATAATAACTTCTACAGTATAGATTTAAATATAATAAACTAGACACCAAAGATATATTTAGATGCTTTACGTAGTATTTCAAGTATTTTGAGGGGCTTTTGACACACAAGGCATTCAAGATATTAACTTATTATAACTTCATTCTTGATATTATAGAGATTTATCAGTCTACAGGTCTGTTCATCATTCAGACAAATCTAACATGGTGGAACTTATATTAGTTGCATGTGGTAAGTTGCCTGCAACATAATTTCCGTGCACCTTGACAGTTACACAAAGGTATTTGATTTGCTGTTTCATGAAACTTGTTGCACAGAGTTGAGACACTTGCAACTGTTTCGAATGAGTTGTAGAAGGCGTTACATCATGCAACTCAAGTGCAATTTAGTTTCTCGTAGGTTTCAAGCAACTAAAGTTGCATAAAAGTTAAAAAAAAAAGCCAGCCTAACACTGGTTGTCTTCTTTTTCAGATTCTCAGTTTCCTACTCATGTAAAACCTGTGAAGGTGCACAGGACCAGCATTTAAGAATCATTTCACACATTTATCTGAAACCAATTTGTTATATTGTATTGAAGACTTTGATTCCAAACTTTTGAATGTGAATCTATTTTTTAATTCTCTAAAAGAAGGTTAACAACAACAGCAGTTTGCCCTACTGCTCCAACAAAGCAGCTATAACTGCTAAATTATGAACTAACAAAAGCTAGTAAAGGCCTTATTGTTAACAAACCAAATAAAAAAAAATGACCAAACCCAAAACTGTATTCACAATTTTATTCACAATATTTTACAAATTGAAAAAGACCATAAAACATGAGAATTATAGTGAGCCAGCAATGCCAGTGCTAGTTTGCAGTTTGTTACAAGTTACCCTTTAAGAGCTCCACCAGTCATCTCATACAGAAGCTGAGCTTCCAGGGGGGACAAACATTACGTTTGAGAAAGCCTGTTGTCCAATAAACATTGAGCTGATTTTCATATGCAAAAAGCACTCTCAATAAAATCCCAGTGAAGTATCCGGGCAGGAGACAAAATGACACTGTAAAAGTCCAAAAACAGTGATCTTTGCTCCAGTAAACCAATGTGTATTTGAATCTGCCATTAACTTGCGTTGAAGCCTGGCTTCAGTTGAGTTCTATGGGCTGTGCTTCCACTGGCTTCCACAAACATGTTCACACAGACTGTACTGTCTAACAGATGCAGATCGTGTTAAATAAACAAACGGCGCCAGAGTGCAGAGATGTTTCACACCTGTCTGAAACTAATGAAGTGCAGTCAGTGTGAGTTACGAGTTACAATATAGAGATGTGGTTAATAATTTCAGTGACGTGTCATAATAAAATTTTATGGGAAGTCGTGCTTCCTGTGTAGTCTTGAAACGATATATGTGATATATATAAATCACATAACATAAATCAGTTATATATGAATCAGTTTTTAGCTTTGTTAGCTCATACTTTTTACATACCAAATATACTCAGAAGTTTGGAATCAGTTGTCATATTATTATTCAGTAGTAAGTGTGGTGTGGTATAGTATAGTGTAGTGCAGTATAGTAGTACTTTTGTTATTACCAAAATGTAAAATATTGTTATATTCACAATTTAAAGTGGTTTAGGAACAGCAAGAAACTATAACAAGGTAAAAAAAATGTATAAATCATAAATTGCAATCATCTATTTATAGTTTCTTGTCACAAAATGACTGAATAGCGGTTATCAGTGAGATTTGCTCTCTGTTTTTCTGTTCTGGATATCCATGTTATCATAAGTTTGTTCTTGTTGCACAGCATTCTCAACTATTATACAATCATATACAGCCCTGTTCATCTTTAAAAAAAAAAAGGTCTTCATTTTTATGTTAACTACAAATTGTTTGAAAATTGTAGAATATTAGAGTCATATTAAAATTGTTCCTTTTTTTTACAACAGAATTGATTGGTTAAAACGCAGTAAGCTGCATTTTTAATGCTTAATAGTTCACTATTAATTTATTTCAATATTAAAGAAGATGAGTTAATTGGGTAGGTTAAGTTTAATGTTGAAAATTTCTGTCACCAAGATTTGAAGGTTGATTTAAGACAAAGATTTCCCGCCCATTACAGCCTACCTAGAACAGGACCTTACGAGCTTACTGTCAGTTTACTCATCAAGGTTTGTCAGTAAATGTTTGACAGGTTTATGTGTATTTTTTGCAGCTAAGCATCTCTGCTGGAACTCTTTGGCTGTATGTGTGTTTTGCAGGTACGGTTTGTGTGTATCCTGAGTGTGGGTTTGCTGCACGTGATCTGCGCCGTGCTGCTGATCCGGAGGCCCAACATGATGGCCTTCCGTGTGGGTGGAGCTCTGGAGAGCATGCAGGAACAGTACTTCATACTAAACCTCTGCTTCTCCATGGTTACTTTTGACCTTCAAGCCCAGGTGATTTACCCTGGAGATGCAGCAACACGAGTTAAAGCACAGCCATATACACAATGACATGATTGTCTGCTTCTGTCCATTTAACTCTTTCAAATTGTTCATTGTTGCTGCTCTAGTTTCTGTCATTTGTGTGGATGTATTTTGTTTCATGTAACGGCAGTAAAAGCACGGACGCACTGAAGTGGAAATTCCTGGCCGAAGCCAAAACTGAGATTGAAGACACGCCTGGCCAAAAACTCAAATCGAAAACCGAAAGAGTGTTTTTTTTTAACTTTTCCGTTTTATGTATGCCTTTGAATTAGTAAACGAAACGTAAAACCTACAAGGTGATAAAGAAACTATATTTGTATTATTAATCAAAAGTTATAGGACGAAACTGGGCTGACAGTAAAAACGTAATAAAATTATTACAACATGTAGGTGACAGTATGAGCCTATAAAATCCAATGTCTTCAACAACAGAATGGTCATCAAAGGCAATGAATTCCATTGGTCTGAGTTATAATCTGCACGTTTGTACTCGTTTGTAAATTTCTTTGTCATTTCAAAAACTTGCACAGATAGCATCAGCATGCTAGTGGGGACTTTTCTTTGTGCTTCTGATATTTTGTTGTGTTCTGTGTTTCAAACAGGATGTCATGTTTTCAAGTGGTATCAAACCTGTAATCTAGAAGTACTTGCATTGTATCTCCTCTTGATATTTAAAATGAACAGAGATTATAAATCGATTGTCTAATGTCTCTCGTAGAAACCGTTTATTTATAAAGTTCATTTCAGATTACTTAACTTGATGTGGAAACATGCCCTGACTTAGTGAGTGCATTTGGGTACAGAAGAAAATTAAATAATTTAAAAAATGTTTTTTTTTCCCCCCTTTTCACCAGCTGTGCCTGTGCATCCTAATCCTAACGTCAGGCACCTCCATTTCCTATACTCACACTGTCATTCTAGGAATTGGAGTCGTCTGGGCCTGCTTCACTGCTGCCGCTGGAGCCATTGCTGTGAGTCTGTTTGCTTTATATAATCTATCATATGTATGTATCCATGTTATTCCTTAGAACTCGACTCCTCTAGTCCTCCTGCACTAGTTTCTTACTGCACTAACACACCTGAACCAGCCCAGGAGGGACTTTAAAGGGGAACTCCACTAATTTTTCAGAAGTTCCATATAATTAAATGGCTAAGATGTAAACAAAGTCATTCAGAGTAGTTTGGTGTGAATGCTCTGTTCTGGAGAAACTTACTCAGTTAGAAATTTTCTAAGTGGTGGTGATAGGAACCAGACATCTGAGGAGTTTAATGCTTCTGAAAGCTCCCTCACAGAAAGTTACTACACAAAATGTAGTAGTATATGCTGCCTGATGTCTGAGACACTGTTTAACAATAGTTTTATGATAAAGTCTGGGCCAAAAACCTCTTGTTAAACCATTCATGGCGGAGGGGTACATGCAGGGTGTTGTGAGGCAAAATAGTTCCCCAAAGGAAATGTATTTTTTCAGACTTTCCACTTTTTTACCATCACCAACATTACATATGAAAACTCAAAAGATACATGTAGGTTCACTGGTGCTTATGGATAGTAAATAAAATGGCAATATTTGTGTTGTAGACATTGTGACTTCTGGTTCCTATTGCCACCATTGTTAAGAAATCAGAGTCTGTAAAGTTCTCTGCAATGAACCACTTCAAAACAAACTGCTCTGAATGACTTCAGCCTCTGAATTATGCATAAATTTTGAAAAGTTGGTGGAGTTTCCCTTTAATCAAGAGCTAATAATGTGACTGAAAACACACAACTGTGAGGGCAAGTGGACTACACTAGTGCAAGTGGGAAACGCTGGTCTGGTGCATTTTGCATTTGCAAATGCAATACTCTTAATGCCCACAGGGGGCATCAAGTAACCTCTTACTTTATGTGGTGGCTGGCTTCACATATGTCAGAGAAAGCATGTGCTAGTCTTCACCCCTCTAGCACTGGTGGCATCATGTAATTGGGAGATCTAGCTGATGGAATTGGACATGGCTAAACTGAGAAATTGAGGAAAACTGCCCAAATAATGGCTAATGACTATTTTTTAGGTATAAAAGATTTGAATACACAATTTTTCTTTTTTTCCCCACAAATCATCACTGTCTGCTGATAATTTCCTTCTCATCTCTTTTTAGGTTCTAAAAGAAGTGAAGCCCCTGGTTTGGATTTTCGTCCTCATGAACTTGCCACAGCTGGCTTATTTCATTTACCTACTTTACTCGGTAAAAACAACTTACAGGCAACTTTTAATCTTTCTTTTTTAATGTTACAACACAGAAAATAGTACAGTTCTATCATTTACTTCAATACTGCATGCTTTTGGTGAAAAACAGAAAATTTGCTATCTAGATATATCAGTATTTTCTTTCATCTGCAAATACACACTACAAGCCAAAAGACTGTAAACAAACACTTTTTACTTAAAGGAACAGTTCAGCGAAAAATTCAATTAATTGCCTCAGGTGCAGTCGATCATCAAAGACATGCTTGGTATCAAAGTTTACAACGGGAGATGCTAGGCTAACATTGCTAACAAACACTGGACTTGGACTGTCACCAAACTCATCTCCGTAAATACATAAAAACCCAAAAACGTCTCTCAACCTTTGTTTCATGCAGAAACACTGATGTGGTTTAGAACATGATATGACCAGAGAACCAGAGAGGAGAATTACCCCTCTGGAATGTCTTCTCTGTGATATCCTACAGCATCTCATCTCAAGTTCGGAAATCTTAACCTACTCGATCAAAGTCGACAATCAACTGTCATGTCTGTTACCTAGCAACCAACCATACGCACACAGCTGAAACGTAAACACAGAATCAAAATAATCTAGTTAGTTAGCCAGATAGCTAATGTTAGCCACCGTTACTGATGTAAAAAGGTCAAATAAAACTAAATCACCATAAACTTGAAGTTCAGAATAAAGTGTCGGCGCTTCATGCTGTTTATCAGAGCGTCGCCGCTCCACAGTTTCAGTTTCAGTTTCCCAGACGATTTAGCCGAACGCACTAACGTTATTCCTCCTAATAAACAGACACACGTTCAGCTCTGTCTCCTCATTATTCACTACCATCACTGCAATATTTTATCTGACGAGTTTTCATCAACGTAAAAACACAGAGGTAATAAGAGGAGACAGTGGAGATCGTGGGGTCTGGGGGTTAGAACAAAAACCCCTCATAAGTCAAAGTGCAGTTTTCAGTGTAGATAAATGTAACATCATTAAGCTAATTATAGTGAACTATGCTGTCTGTCACTGCACAAAACAATAGAAACAGACGCATAAAACAAGTTAAGATGGCTCTGGTGTGTCTTAAAGTTAAGACAGAATTTAGAAAAATTCTGTCTAGTTAGGATGTTTCTGTAATACTGTTTTCCTATCTGGAGTTAATGGATAAGATTGTGAACTTAAGGGCTGTTGTTCTGTAATAGCTACTGTCCTAAATTCAGTCCTAACTAAAGTTGTCTAAACAGATAAGATTTCAGAGTTAAGAACTTTCTGTAATACGGCCCCTGATTACAGTTCGATACTGATAGTCAACTATTGTTAGCTAATCATATTATATTCATATACATGTAAAAGACAAACAAACAGATTTAAGTCAGAAATTACATTTTATTACTGAGTCAATAAGAATTTACAAACAGTGCAAAGTTTATGTGGAGAATCTGGAGTGTCACCAGAAGCAAAACTAATAAAGAATCAGTTATACACTATTGCTGCACACATTTAGTCAAGCCCTTTTGTGCTCTTTGTGAATAAACACATTACTGTCTATTATCTCTTGAAAAAATATAATTAGCAAACATACATTTTCATGTTTATTTTCACGAAGGTAGTGTTGCTTCAAAACTTTTGGCCTGTAGTGTATGTACAGTCATATGCAATAGTTTGGGCACCACTAGTCACACGACTTGTTTTGTTGTATAAGTTAATGAAACAAATAAGTTACCACATCCTCTACAGAAAACACACTAGTGCACATTTTAATGCACCATTCTTGCTTATTTGCTGAATTTAACTCATTGGAAAAAAAATCTAAATAAAATGGCCTGTACAAAAGTGATGGCTTATTTAATATTTTATCTTTTTCCCAATATGTTAAACTCAGTAAATACATAGAAATTCTGGACTAAAATGTGCAGAAAAATGTCATTTTTAAATCTGTTCTTTGTAGATGAGGTTTTAACTTATTTTCACCTGGAAAATCAACAAAGCATGTAATTTGATGAGGAGTGTTCAAACTTTTGCATACGACTGCAAACCCACGCACGGATAAGTGTAGAAGTGAGAGCTTGAGTGACCCAAAAGCGGCCCACTGGAGCAGAAAACATATGTCTCTTCTTTTGCAGATCATTTCCCAGTGGGGCCAGAGTAAGACATACAGTCTGGAGGCTGCTGCCATAACAGGCTGTGTGTTCTCGGTGACCATCAAAAGCGTGCTGTTCCGGGGCCTGTACCGCCTCTACCGCAGCTTCGGCCAGGGTCTGCGTGAGAGAAGTAAGCTTCTCTATCTGTCTCACTAATTTCATTTAGGCTGCATTCACATTATGAGCCTCATTAACATGATGGTATACATTCATTTAGGTAATTGGCTCAAATCGGTCATTATTGTGAACGAACCTGTTTCCTGAATAGACCCACATGCGCACATTCTAGTTAATAACATCACATGAATGAACCATGTGTGTCCACAGAACAAGCTTATTTAAGAAAATTTGGTCTGGGCAGCTCTCAGGTGTTCATTATTAGAGCGAGATGAAGGAGAAAAAGGGTCAGGTGCATTGATTTCACAACATTTACTGGCTCTAACTTCTGATTAAAGGGCGATTCCACTGACTGTTCAACATTTCCACATAATTAAATATTTGAAATGTAAATAAAGTCACCCAGAGTGGTTTAATGTGAAATGCTCCATTATAGAGGAACTTACTCTGTCAGAATTTTTCACAGTGGTGGTGATAGGAACCAGATGTTCAAAGTGTTTAACGCCTCTAAAAGCTCCCTCACACAAAGTGAAATGGTTACAATATATAGATTTGTGATCTGAGTTTTGCTTGAAATATATTTTATCGTTATCAGATTTACATATAAAATGTTGATAACACGTGTCGGTTCTCTGGTCTTTTGGGACAGTGAATAAAATAAAAAGGCTGTCAGGATGCTCAACTCTCTCCCTACTTTTTCCAATCTGGCAAACCCAGCTCTATTTGAACAGCAGGGGGCGGTGCAGGAGGGCAGAGGGAACAGCATCTTTTTAAAAAAAAAACAAACAAAAAAAACATGCAAACTGGGGACTTTTTAAGCATTAGCTTTACTGCCTGGTGCAGTCTATATCATTTTCCCGTATCTCTGGTCAGCTAGCTAGCCAGCATGCGTGTATTCCTGTGTATGTGATTACAGGAAATTTTTCATGGCATTTTCCGCTAATTTTAGTGCACTGTTTCTATTTACTTGCAACACACTAAACACACTAAAAAATAAAAAATGTGCCATAACTGCACAAACCACATTTCATGCTTTATGTTGTTCCCCAAAATGTCAAATTCAGCATATAAACAGTAATTGCCCATTAAAATGTGCAGACATGTGTGGGACTTGTACTTATTTTCACCTAAAACGTAGTTTGAACAGGACGCACAAACTTTTGCATCACACTTTAAATACAGTACCAGCTCTGGCACCAGAAAATACCATCACCATGAAGCGTTTCCATACACGAACACTGCTGAATGATGTTTGCATGTATGCCAGTAACTGGCATGTATGCAAACTCAAGCAAGGAACATGTTGGTGATGTGGGGGAATTATTTCACACTTGAGACGAGTGGCAGTAAAAATTCTTACTGCAGAATCTGTAATAGCAGAATTACACAGGAAGGCACGACCAGCAGGGATTTCAATACGTCAGATTCAATCGAGCGTTATGAAGATGTAAAATGTAAATCACAGTGACTTTTTATAGCTTTGACACCATTCAAATGTGAAGTTGTCCAACCAGTACCTGCTATTTATTCAAGCTTTGTATCTTGTACTTGTGACACAGAACACCTTCTTTTACCGAAATAATACAAATAATACCGAATAATGCACACTCCCTGTTTATTTGCTGAGCTTAACATAATGGAGTAATAACATATAATGTAAGATGTGCAAAAGTTGTGGCACATTTTATATTTTATGTTTTCCAATATGTTAAACTCATCAATAAAAGAATGTAAATTCACAAGGAGTGTTCACAATTTTGCATACGACTGTATATTTTAAAAAGTGGAATCATCAGGGTTTTGTTGTCACCTATCGAGTAGTTAGACAGAGTTAATAGAATAGATAGAGTTAGTATTGGTTTTTACTCAGTATTTGCTGATACTTTACTGGAATCGGAGGGGAAACAGTGGTATCAGTGCATCCCTGATCGAAGGTAGTAATTCCGCAGTAGAACGTAGTCGTTCCTTCAAAGTCTTTTGTCTCACAGAAGTATGAGTTTGTTGATTATACATGATGTTTATGCTCATAATTCCTTGTCTCTCTCTTCTTTATCTGTAGTGTTTGCTTCAGACAAGCAATGAGCACCTTTTGAAGAGGACTAGCGTGGGGACACTGCCACTGGGGCTAGTCTGTGAAGACTATGACAATGCCACAAATTTGTTTTAAGAATTGTTTTTAACATGGACTATTTGGCAGCTAGCACTGCTTTTCAAAGCTTACCTTACACATTATTGTAAATCTGAAATGCTTTTTCAGTGGAAAGGCCTTTCAACTGGCCATAATTATTCCTTTTTTACTCCATTGATCATCAAAAGAGGTTCGTTTTCAGACATGAAGTGCAGGAGGTAAGTTAAGCTTATCCTGCGATTTGTACGTTTCCATTTTAGAAGTTCATGCCAGTTCATGCCATTGTGCCAAATTTGTTCAAGTAGAGTGAATGTGATGGTGTTTACTGCTACAAATGCACTGAATGGATTGATTGAACAATATGTTTGATCTTCCAGACTTAAACATGTTCCCACAATAACTTTTTATTCCAAATAACAGTTACAGACTCTGAAAGCACACATACCATCACGTGGCTGTCTCACCTAACTTTGTTAAAATTTTGAGTTTTTGTAAAGTCAATCAGCCAATTGGCAGCAGTAATAGATATGCTTTAGCTATGTAGTTAGCCTATCTGTTACTGCTTTAAACTTTAGGCTTTGCAAAAGTTTAGCAATTTCTTTTAACCAGGCTTTTAAGTTGTATTTTACGTTCATGAACATTAGAGCAAAGCGCTTTGGATGTTCCTAAAACAAAATCCCACTTATTTTGTCGTTGATAACATCTAACTTTTGCACGCTAAATTTGTAGATTGCATCCAGAAGCTGATATACACATGCATATGCATATAGATATACAAAATACCTATACATAAACATGCACATATACAATACATATACTTATAAATACATCCATATGGCTATTAAGTCATTTCATAAAGATCTAATGTGAATTTGTACCTTCTTGAATGCAAACAAAAGACCTCTCAGTGTAAAAATGTACTGCTGGTTTGAATCCCACTTGTGCCAGGTACTGCGTTTATGACCGGAGTTGTTAAGAATGAAACTGCTCATATTGTGTGAGTGAAAGGATGTGGCTGAGTGACTGACCAGTCACTCGGACTGGGCTGTATTATCCTGCAGCAGAGCTAAGTATGTAGATTTGCTCTCAGAGCACCTTAAAAAAATTTATTTGCACTGGAGCTATGAAGCTAATGTGGCTAACAAGTAATGGAACTCCATACTTAAAGCATCAGTTGCCTCAAACCAGGTCAAGTTGCAAAATAATGTGAACATATTTATGTGGTTTCTGACATGGTATTACATTTTATATATATATATATATATATATATATATATATATATATATATATATATATATATATATATATATATATATATAAACATTACTAGCTACATCTACATTTACAAAAACTAAAGAAGCAAACTTAACATCAAACATGTCTTGGCTGATTGACTACTTTTTTTTTCTTTAATGCTGTATCAGAGATGTTTTCCGACCTTCATCCACTCCTGCTGAGCTCCAGTCATGTAAAGGGTGACAGATCTGTTACAGTTGAAATTCATTTCAACAATATTGTTAAATGCATTAAGTTGAATTTGATTTTGTATATTTTTAGGTGCACAAACATTTGCTGTACAGTATTTGTCTTTTTCTCTGCAGCGTGATTGCTGCTGCACTACTTTTTTGTAAGTACAGTGCTGCCCCCACCTGATTTCTTCTGTTTTTGCTAATTTATCACATTTTAATGTTTCAGGTCATCCACTTAATTTAATGTAAGATAAAGACAACATGGGTAAAATCGAAGCGCAGCTTTTAAATGATCATTCCATTCATTGAAGATAAAGATTTATTCAAAACCTGTATTGGCTGTGTGAACAAGTAATTGCCCCCTAAACCTTATAACTGGCTGTGCCACCTTGGCAGTAACAGCTGCAGTCAAACGTTTGTGATAACTTTCGATAAGTCATTTAAATCGCTATGGAGGAATTTTGGCCCATTCTTCTTTGCAGAATTGTTTGATTTCGGCTACAATGGAGGGTTTCCAAGCATGAATTGCTTGTTTGAAGTCTTACCACAGCAGTCAGGGCTTTTACTCAGCCACTCCAAAACCTTACGTTTTTTTTTAAACCATTCAGAGGTGGACTTGCTTGAGAGCTTCAGATCATTTGTCCTGCTGCATAACCCAACTGCGCTTGAGCTTTAGGTCACAAACTGACGGGCGGACATTCTCCTGGATTTTCTGATAGGGAGAAGAATTCGTGGTTCCATGGGTCGTCCAGATCCTGCATAAGCAAAGCAGCCCCAGACCATCACACTACCACCACCATGTTTGACTGCTGCTTTGATGTTCTTATGGTGGAATGCGGTGGTAGCTTTGCGTCAGATGTCACAGGACCCATGTCTTCTGAAAAGTTCCACCTTAGACTCATCAGTTCACAGAATATTATCCTAAAAGTCTTAAGGTGTTTTATAGCAAATGCAAGGCAAGCCTTGGTGTTTTTTGGGGTGAACAGTGGTTTGCACCTTGCAGCTCTCCCTAGGATATCTTTTCTTCATTGTGAAATCATGTACATTGACCTTAACTGAAGCAAATGAGGCCTGCCGTTCTTTAGATGTTTGTCTGGGTTCTTTTGTGACCTCCTGGATGAGTCATTGATGTGCTCTTGGTGAAATTTTGGTAGGTCAGCCACTCCTGGGAAAGTTCACCACTGTTTTCTCCATTTGGGGATAATGGCTCTCACTGTGGTTCACTGGAGTCCCAGAGCCTCAGCAGTGGCTTTGTAACCTTTTCCAGACTGATAGATTTCAAAGACTTTGCTTCTGTATTTGAATCTATTTAGTATGTGGCATCATGTGCTGCTTTTTGGGACCTTCTAGTCTGCTTCACATTGCCAGACAGGTTCTATTTGAGTGATGTCTAGATTCAACAGGCAGTAATCATGCCTGGGTGTGGCAGTGAAATTGAACCCAGTAGTCAATTGAATTAGGTCAACTGTTTGATTTTATAGCTAGGGGGGCAATTACTTTTTCACGTAGGGTCAGGTAGGGATGAACAGCATTCTTCCTTCAATAAATGAAATTTTGTGTTTATTTAGGTTCTCTTTTTTCGAATATTTAAAGTAGCCTGATGTTCTGAAACTAACACAGTTTTATACGCTGTGTTATACAGAGGCCACCGCAACTGCTCATCATTATAACATCACCTACACATCAGGGGTTGCTGAAAAATCGAGTTGCGCAGCCTGATGTATAGTAAGCAAAGAGTGGTTCAGGTTTGCCATTTTTTCACCTTGTTTTGATCAGGTTAAGAGGAGGCATTACTGTGATATTTTCATATTGCTCACCCTGTAGAGAAACCAAAGTTCCCTGAGATTCATAAGACTTTTTTAAAAGCATTTATAATGTTTTTTGTACCATTTGTCTCTTTTTATTGATACAATGCATGGTTCATTGGGGTTTTACTCTGTTTCTATTGTATGTACTGTAATCACCAGAGCACTTCTAATATGTATTAGAAACAATAAAGCAACTTAACTATGGAAGCCCATTCATGCCATGTAAAGGAGGAAGATAATTACCTGCATTTTTTTTTTCTTTTCTGATTCTGGCAGCAGTATGGTACTAAAATTTTGGTTTAGTATCTCAAAATAATGACTTAGTATCTCAAAATGAGTTTTCTCAAAGTATTGACTTGTCTTCTCATTGTAAGGACTTGCTGTTTGAAAAATAATAACTGTCTAACTAAAAAGAGTCCTGTAATAATGTCGTATCATGTCAGAATAATGACTGAGTATCTTGTAATAAGGACTTATTAGAGTATCTTGTAATAAGGACTTATATAAGACTTGTGTTGACTTATGTCAAAATAATGACTTACTATGGCAAAATAATGATTCATTTTCTCAAAATAATGACTTAGCATCTTGTAAGGACTTATTATCCCAAAATAACTAATAATTATTTTGACACAGTATTGCAATATCTTGAGAAATAATTCATTATTTTGAATACAGCTGCCAAAAACAGAGTACATTTTTTGCCTCCTCTACCTGGAATGAATAGGCTTTTGTACTTCTAATCCATTTCATATGTGCTGTTTTCAGTTAGATTTTGATAGTATGATTTTCAGTACTTCCAAAAACTTATTTGTAATACAAAAATACCCAATAAATACATTTTACACAGTGGTGTGTCACTGGGTCATACTGGATCATGAACTGTTCATAAATGTTGATATTTGTATTTTGCAAAAACTAATACTGGGCCTCAGCGGAAAAACTGTGCAGTTGCTAAACGGGAAAGCAAGCAGGAAGTCTACAAACCTGGAAAATACAAAACTGTGCAACACGCAGTCTGTTTCATCCACCACACAGCAAATATTTGTCTGTTTGGCAATAATTGTTGACACAAAGACAGCTTTACTGTATAAGTGTGAACATGTGATGTTAAATGGATGGACTGAAATCTTATTTCTCCCTGAATGAATGAATGAAAATCGACAGTCATTTATAGAAATGAGAAGTCTGTGGTTACATAGGCTAAAAAGGAACGGTGCAGGATGAGGAACAAAAATCATGACTTTCTTTCAGTGAGAAAAAGAAGAACAGAAGACCATCAATTGAGAAATAGAAGATTTTAAAGGGGAATTCCACCCATTTTTAAAGTTTCTGCATCTTAAATGGATAAGATGTAAAGTCATTCGGAGTGGTTTGAAGTGAAATGTCCTGTTCTAGAGAAACTTTTGGTGGTGGTGATGGGAACCAGACGTTTGAAGAGTTTAATGCCCCTGAAATTTCCCTCATAGAAAGTTACAAATACAGTGCCTGATGTCTGAGACATTATTTTCTGATAGCTTCGAGATAAGGTTTTGGCTTTATATGTACTTTTTTCAGTTCTTTCTTGGTGGGGAGGTACATGCTAGGTGTTCTAAGGCAAAATAATCCCCAAAGTAAATGCATGCTTTTAGATTTAACACGATTTCACTACTATTATCATTAGGTATAAAAACTCAAAAGACATTTGTATGTTCACCAGTCAGTTTGGACAGTAAATAAAATGGCAATATTTACGTTGTAGACCTTGAGACACCTGGTTCACATCACCATCATTGTAAAGAACTATAGGTTGGGAACTTTCCATGTAGTGCACCATTTAGCACCAAAACAATGACTGACTCTGTTTACATCCCAGCGAAAGAATTATGTAGAAATTTCAAAAAATCTGTGAAATTCCCCTTTAAAGGGCAGTAAATGACATAATATGTTAACATTAAGTTTCAAAATGTACTGTTAACTCTCTGGTCCACACAGTCCATCTATTAAAACTATGCTGCAAAAACAGCCTGTTTAAAATTCATTGTTACTGTGATGTCACAAGAACTGACTCCTTTAAATACATCCACCTATTCAGCCTACAGCAGTTTAGCCCCGCCCACTCACAATGAAGTTAAAAGCAATGGGCTTGTTCGAGATGATCTGCACCTCGCCTTGGTGGTCACTGAGAGTGGTTGCAGTTGGAGGAGTCGTCGAGAAGTGAGATGTCAAGCCGGACAGTTTTACGGGCAGTACCCCACATGGGCCAGTAGTTTACATAACAGATTAAATATTGCGTCAAAGAATACACATGAATTTCACATGTAAAAATAATAACCACATCAGATTCCTTTTTAAATAAGGCACAATACAGGGCATCCAATCAGAATATATATATTTTAAAATCATATATATATATATATCTTAGAAGTCACAGTAACAAGCAGCTTTGTGATGAAGAGAGGTTGGAAAATTGGCACATAGAAATGATCATTTCTGACCTTTTTGGTTGACGAAACCACACAAATGTTATAAATGGACCTCAAATGAAAAAATAAAATACAGGAAAAATTTACAATATAAGCCCTTTAAATGCACTATAAAGCAACGGAGCTGCTGCACGCTACATGCAGGCCTCATTCTATATCCACAAATGTATATTTGTGTCAAGGAAAAAAAAACGCTTAGCGACACGTTTTTGGATCATTTATTAAAGTGCTATGTAAAAAATGCAAAACCCATTTTTTACAATATATTCTCAAAAGGTGAGTTACAAAAATTGATGAAAAGCAAAAAAAGGGAAAAAACTAGATGAAAGGTTTGTGTTAAGGTTTGTATTAAGTATTAAAATTTCACTTTAGAAGACAAAGTCAATTCATATTTTCACTCAGACTAGTTTTAGGTAGAATTGTAAAGAAAGACTACAGGTCTGGCGTCAATCAGTTATATAAATATATATAAATGTGAATGTTTATCATGAATAACTCCACTCATGATTAACTCGTTAACTCGTCAGTGGGAGTAATTAAGACTGTCGAGCTTTTAGAAATGTGTTCGATTCAAACAGTGAAGACTGACGTACATATTATATATATATATATATATATATATATATATATATATATATATATATATATATACGAATTACACATCTGAGACCAACATTTAGTGTAAACCAAGTGTGAGGAAAGGCTACATCAAATACAATCATTCTCAAAAGAAACAGTAAATCTTTTAGTGAACTGTATACTGTTGAATGATACGCTGATATCACTGACAAAGAATCAAATCCTTTTTCTACAAATTTTCTAACATGGAAAAAAAACCCACAATGCTACTTACTGACAGTTTACATTTGCTCTTATGCAAAATACATAAACCTCATTTTACAAACAATTGTATGATTCCACCAATTTTTCAAAATGTCTGCATAAATAAAAGGCTAACATGTAAACAAAGTCATTCAGAGTGGTTTGATAAGAAATGCACCATTCAAGAAAAACTAAATCCAAATTATTCACAGTGCTGCTGACAGGAACCAGACGTCCAAAGCGCTGCCTCTAAAAGCTGCCTCACAGAAAGTCATCAAATGGTTACGAACCATCAAAAAATGGTTACGAATCCTTTTCCTGATGCCTGAGACATTGTTTTAAAACTGATTTGATTTTAAGTTTTGACCTAAAACAGATTTTTGAAACCCAATCATAGTGGAGAAATACATGCATGTAAATGCATGATGTAAAGCAAAATAGTCTCCAAAGAAAACAGAATTTTTTCTGACTTAATGCTATTTTAACATTATCAAAATGTAGGTTCAGTAGACATTTTGATAGACTGAATACTGGTGCCTGTCACTATCACTGTAAAGAAATCTGAGTCTATAAAACACCATTTCACGTCACCACTCTCAATGATTTTGTTACCACCTCAACATTTGAATTATGTAGACATTTTGAGAAATATATAAAACTCCCCTTTAAGTACTGATCCACACTTGAGAACAATCTTTAAGAAATGTAAGCAGAAGCTATTAAAAAGGATGGCTCTTTAGTATCATAAAAACACGAGAATAGCCATACTTAAGATATTTAAGGGGCAGAATCAGTGATATGACATTATTGACAACTTGCTTCTTACATTGTTTGAACAATGAATGGAATTAAAAAAGTAAAAGACTGTGTAGCTCTGCTATTTGGCCATGTCGGTGAGCAGGACGAGGGTGGGGCGGAGAATGAATGTAAACACTTTCCTCTTTTTTTTGTTCCATGATGAGGTCACACGGCTGACTTGACTTCAGAATGTACAGCTGTATGCACACTGTTAGTAAACCGGTTCAAGTGCATGTGATCTCACAAAGCACAAAGTAGTAACATGGAATGAGTCCCGTTGATTATCTTTCTTCATTTTGAGGAGTGGCCTGTTTAAATGTCTGGAAACCTGGTAGCTTCTGGGCAAGTTCAGTGGTTTGTCAGGTGAAGGACACTTCAAAGAGGACACAACCTCCTCCACAAGCAATTCCCTAACACCCATTATATACAATTAGACAAAAAAAAAAGACAGATTACATACTGCTACTATACAAAACACAATGGAATGGGAAGTTTATAAATAACTCATTAAAATATTGCTCATAATGTTGTTTGAAAAAAAAAAAGCAAAGTTAGGAATGATCCTAGTAGATCTGGAATGGACTGGCTGAGATATGTTAATCAAATGAAATACTTCAAGTTGGTTGACTAGCTGTAAGATGGAAGCCAAACAACACAGTAGTTTTCCAACACTTCATAAACGCAACAACAAAAACAGTTCTACAAATATTCAAGCTTTTCAGATGGCTTGTTTCGCAGTGTCCTCTGCAGATGAGTCACTCTGATTTCATATTTACAGAATATCTGTAACGATGACGCACGTATTAAGTACAGTATAAGACATTGCTTCCCAACCCCTTAAATAATTTCTTTGTAACATTCTAGGTGATTTAAGGCACAATTCTATCGATATTCACTTATTGCTGTGGTGTTTAAATGCTCCTCATGTGTTCGTGGACAATACCTGATGTTTCGTTCGATCTCGTCATGCTGTCTTACTGTAAAACTAACTCATACTGAGTACAATATTTCTGCTTCATATGACAGTAATACGTCATAGGCAAACTACAAAATATTTTAAAAGATTTTTATAGACAAACCAAAACAAAAAAAAAACACCCCAAGAAGCATAGCAACAGCTTCACTACAGTCTGTGGTCAAAGGGTCGAGAGGAGGAGAGGTTCCAGACAGGCCAGAGAAAGCAGAGAATACAAGACAAAGTGCTTCAGGCTGGTATCCGCTGGGCGAAGCCTCAGAACTCCTCCTCTTCCTCAGAGCTCAGGTGGCTCTGCTTCTTGCGGACGTTCCAATGCAAGCACTGCGCCAGGCTCTCGAACCAGTCATTTACAGGGTCTCGGAAACAGATGGAGGGAACAGGGAAGCAGGAAGTGGTGATGGTGATGCTGGAGAAAGGAAGGAAAACCTGTTAATCGTCATGCTGGGTATTCTTTCCTCAACACGCCCACAGGCCAGCTTCAGACAAAAACACCTTTCATGCTTCATTGTTACTTTCCAGCAATGTATCTTCACATCAATGGATTTCACATTGAGGAAGTAATTCACTCACAAGCAGGAATCACCTAAGAGAAACTACTGACTTACATAATTAAGGGATCAATTTACACCTCACAAACTCTCTCTCTGCTATCTAGCAGACAAAGCCTTTTAAATCCAGAACTGTGACTTTTCTCCTTTTTGTGCCTACTAGCCTGTTTTAACGACAGTATTATCATGTTTGCAATTGCGATGCGCACAGTCTAGTTTCATATCTAGTTCTTGGGAAAAAATGGTACTAATGCATCTCTACTTGGTAGAGTATGTCTAAATGTGTGTAACCAGAATGTCTCATATTAAGTGGTGATCTTGAGGTAGACAATTGGCTGTAAATTATAGCAATTACATACATAACTCGATCCTTAAATTGTTGAATAAAATATCAAAAAATACCTTTTGGTGTCTTGTTTCTAAAATTTAAATCACTGTGGTTTTTACTTAATTACTAGTAATAAAGAAATTAATGTAGTAATATAATAGTAATTAAGTAATTACTGTACATAAAATCTATAAAATAACAAATTAACATAAGAAAAGAACATAACATAAGAAAAGATTCAAAGAACTTTTAAACAGTAGTGTATATCAAATAGGCATCTGTAGCCCTCAAACAACCATTCAGAAAAGTATTTCTTAGTAAATAAATGTTGCTAGTACAGTAACTACAGTGACATTACGATTACTCACCTGTCCCCGTGTCCAATCTCCTGCCGTTTCCTACCATCAAAAGAAACCCAGGCATTGTTTCTGGCTTCACGTGAAAGCATAATCTAAAGGCAGTACCAGAGGATGAGTCAATAACTTTCCAGCAAAATTTCAAAAGAAATATTTCCTTCAAAAACACTGTCATGGCTGGCAATTAATCAACCTGAAGGAGCATGATCTCCTTTGTTTCACACCATCATTCATATTTAGCAACACTAGTATAAAAATACACCATATTAGGAATAATCTCCTTAAATTTGCTTATATGTTCTCTCTGCTGCTTATAGCGCCCTGTTATCTTTTTGCTGTGTGGATGCTAGTCCGCTAGCAGGCACTCTGTGTTTACAGAGGCTCTCTGGAGGTGACAGCATTCTATGAGATTTCTCATTATGTTTGCACCAAGCCAGAGATGATATACATTAACATTTAAGTGCTGGCTTAAACACAGACATTAACAGACATTCACATAATGTTGTTTTGTATTTTAGAGGTTTATAATAAGTTCAAAACTTAAATCTGTCTCTTTTATTAGAGCATTTATTTTTCTTTTATTAGATGAGCCTGTTAGGGCAGAATACATTCCAGTTAGATGGACCAGATTAAGAGAACCCCTTAACTGCAACCAAAAGTGTCAAATTCTTCAACCTGGTTGCATTTGGTAGGCATGAATTTCAATACAAACATGATATTTGTTTCACTGTTGCAGTTTGAAAGAACTGTGTTAATAAAATGATTCGATCTTCCCACCACTAACATGAATAAAGATGTCCAAAGCTTAAATACAACGACATTTTGAAAACATATCTACCACACATCAGTAACATTAGGATTACATACAAGCACATATTCATTTTATGTCAAGTTGTGTTTGTTTTGGGAATACCTTCAACTCGACACCAGCAGGAACTACGATGGGTCTAAAGGAGAGTGAATGGGGGCAGATGGGGGTGATCAAGATGGCTGGGACATTGGGGTGGATCATGGAGGCCCCTGCTGCCACTGCATATGCAGTACTGCCAGTCGGAGTGGACACTATCACACCTGAGACAGAGAGACAGAGAGACAGACAGACAGAGAGTGAGCATTCTAATCTTTGAAATTAAACTACTAAGATTAATAATTTAAATAAAAGCAGGGTCTGAAGGGGAAGTACATATATACAATATTCAGACTGACCATCGCCTTGTACTGTGGTGATCAGATGACCATCCAGAAAGAGGTCAACATTAGAGAGGTAGGACGATGGGCCTCTGTCCACAACCACCTCATTCAGCACCTGTGAGAGAGAGGGGAGGCAGGGGAAAAGGGAGAAAGAGAAAAGGAAGGAAGACAAGAAACTGAGCATTATTACCACCACAGAATTTTTAAATCCACTGAGGTGTCTACAAGGCAAAACTCATGTACAAGGTATTTATCACTGCAATTTGTGGTATGTGCTCATAAACCACAAGGCTTCTATCTAGGCCAAACACTGACTACTGCACTGGATTTTTAAATAATTAATGGATTGAAACAGAGCCAGCAGGAAGCATGCTCTAAGTGAAGATATACATTAACTAACTTTTTAAAAATGGTCAGGATTGTGGTTGTGGGGCACTTAAATACATCACACCACACAGGACAACTATCCACAAAGCGTGTACACAGGTGCTATAATTTTAACACTTCAGGAGCCAACGGACTGGAAACGTACATGTTCATTGTTACAGAGGTGCAGTCCCACACACAGGGATGCATACAGATATTCTTCTTTCCTGAGACTGTTACTCACTTGATATTGCATAGTTTTTCGACTAGGCTCAGCATCCCCGTTAGTGATGATCAGGTTCTTATCCTTTGTCTTACTTTTCTCACGACTCTCCTTCACTACCTTTACTTTCAGCCGACTCCGCAGGATGATGGCTGCGTTACCTGTAAAAACATTTATGAACCATATTAAACTTGGGTTCTGGCGACAGAACAATAGGACAATGTTAATTCTACTGTGTGTGTGTGTATGTGTGTGTTTGTTGTGTGTGAGAGGTTAAAGAACAAAGTTTGGTTCCAGATTTATCCTGGATGCCTTCAGCTATTGCATAGATTTGTTAAATTCAATCAGCAGCATGCATGATTTAATATAATAAAGCACTGATTAGCCAAACCAGTTGTTGGATGATTACTACAAGTAATACTGAGCTGCTGTTTGGACATATATTAAAAGAACAGACTGACATACATGAAATTGTACTGTTGTTGTGCTTTGTATTTATTCCATTATTTTCCTGAGCAAATAAACAATTCCTGCCCAGATATACAATTTTTTAATTCTAATTTTCTCAGGTGCCTAAAACTTTTGCACAGTATTTTGTATAAACAATTAATCAAGTGAACATTAGCCTGCAGGGGTGTAAATCTATGAAATCTAAATTCTAACTGGTTGTGATTCTTTAGGAAACTATTCAATGTATCATGAAATCTCAAATTTCACCATGACTCATTTTGGCTGTTTTGCTAAGACTCAGGATCATTTTTAAAAATACGCTAATTGCACAAATGTAACTGGAGGAACTATTTATTTAGAAGTGGAACATAAAAAACCAAAATAATATATCAATCTTTATATATCAAAGCCTGAGAGTTTTACTTTGGCCAGAAAATTAGCTTGTACTGTGTTAAATACTACTGATTCTAATTGACTGTAACATTCTATGATTCAAAGTTGAACCGGAAGCTTCTCTTAAAGCCTCTTGAACTACAAAGGAATATCAGTTGGAAAGATTAGTGTTAAGGTCTTATTGTTCTCTAGAATCTCCTATATCCAAGGATCTTAAACGTAGATATTGTCTTCGTACGGGCAGGGTGTTTTGAACGTGAACCATATCACATTCATGAATGTTGCAATATCAGTAAACATTGTTAGGAGCTACAGATACAGCTGACAAACTTTGCTTCCTTATGATGTCATTGTCCTTTTCCCAGCGCTTGCATAATACTGCATAATACCTCCCTGTATGAAAAGGCAACTCTGAGATATACACACACATAGACACAATTGTATACAGCACGGCTTGGCTGACGGGAAAGGAAAACCTCCTGAAGAAAACCTTCCTGGAAAGAAACTAAGCTGGCAAAGAATGTGCACAAATCAAACACACACACACCCCACACATGATTAAATAATTACCTGTTAAGGTAGTGCAGGCAGAGTGACTATACATCTAGAAAAGAAAAATCTCATTAGAAATCCCCACACACTTACCTTCAATAACCTGTGTGACCTGAGATTGGTATGTGTCAAAATTGAAAGGCGTCAGAAAGCCCAGAGAACCTAAATGGAAGGCCATAACTGGAGGAACGCTCTCCTGCAACACACACACACACATTTACAATGTTAGCCCAAAAGTAGGGGAAGCCACCCAAACAGTTACTTGTGAATGTCTTCCTTTTGGTTACAACTATACATCTTTACAAATGACTAACTGTCAAGCTAGAATTACAGGTTCAAGCTGTTAAAACGTGAGGATTCTCATCTCAAGGCAACACCAGAAATGAGCAAGGCCTCGGGGTAAAAATGCCTCTAAAAGAAAAAAACAAATAAACTGGCCCCAAAATTTTAAATGCAAGAGCAAAAAGTGCTTTCATATGAATCCTATTTTTCAGAAAAACAAGTAATGCTTTGCACTGTAGATGATCTACAGAGCTGCCATGTGGAAAATGTAAAATACGTAAAATATGTAAAATATGCTGTAGTGCCTTCATAACAATGAAGGGGTTCAAAGTTAAAACACAAGAACAAAATGCAGGCAGATTCGTGTGTTTTTGTAGTTTTCATAAAACCTCACTAGCTTTCAAATGTCTGGAATCACTTAGCATATTTAAATATTTTATTAGTTTATACACACACACACTAACACAGCTCTACTATATAAGTGTCGCTGTAGTGCTGAGAATGATCCACCATCCAAATAATATCTGCTTTGTGGTTGTCTTGTGGGGGTCCTGACCATTGGTGAAAGAGGCTAACAATGTATTCAGACAAACAGATGGACTACAGTCTGTAATTGTAGAACTATGAAGTACATCTATATGGTAAGAGGAGCTGATAAAATGGACAAAGAGTGTAGATACAAGGAGGTGTACTTAATGAAATGGCTGGTCTGTGTATACAATAACATATAATGTGGATTTAAATATTACAAATGATAAATACTTGTAAAAGTGTTATTTTAAGAATTATTTCAATAATTGAAGGACTGAATAAATATAAGTAACATAATATATTTAAATTGGGTTTCTGTCAACTTACCGATTGATAATTGTTCGCTACTTTTGAAAAATAATGAATTCAAACCATCACTGTTTTTCTAACTTCATTCTCGATTATAATTCTTTCTCACTCTATCACTTTAGAATCATCTATAGCTCTGTTCATTATTCTGGACACAACATTTTTTAACTTGTATGTACAGTTTCCTAGGCTCCTACCACTCATTAGTTAATTACTACTGTTATTATTATTCGTTAGCACATGCACTATTGAAAAATATGAAAAATATGAAAAATTTCTGTTAGAGACCTATTAGAGACTGTAAGCTGTGCACTGAGTGCAAAGGTTTTGTTGGGCAATCTCTCTGTCAAACATAAATCAACAGTTGGTGCCCGATGGCTTGATAACGAATTGTTCATTTTAAAACCCACAGTCAGACCAACACTTTATGTCCATTATTCATACCTGGAAGAGTGAGGAAGCATACAGCAAAGTTCCATCTCCTCCCAAACAAATTATGAAATCTACACGATTGGAGATGTCATCAAAATCTGCAGCATGCAAAGAAAACCAAGTCAAGACAAATATTACACAACCAAACACGCCACACGGTGTAAAGGTATGGTCTGCAAACATTTCAGTGGTAATCTAGAACAAAACAATTGCTTACCTTCTCTAAAAGTGCAAAAGTTCTTTTTCACGGACACAAAGCTCTCATCATTGGCAATAGCGGGGTCCTCCAGAACTTTCCTCTCCACGTAAACAATCATATTTTTCCGCTAAGGTGCATCAAAACAAAGGAAGGAGATATCAGAGTTTCAAACTGTAGACAAAGTGGTATATGAACAGAATAGGTCAGCTGAGATTATGTATAATTGTATGGTGGCAGACATTGGGGAGGGCAAAGAATATAAGTTCCCTATCTATTGAGGAAGTAGATTTTTTTGTATCTAACAAATTACTGCGTAACATAGCAAATGACTGAAATGACTTCTAAAAATGACTTCTAAAAATGACTTTTTTTCTGTACATACTCAATTTTAAAAATGATTTGCACATCAAGTGTAAACAAATATTATTCTAACCTCTGTGAGGAAGATGCAAAGCTCTTTAAAAGGCTGCAGCAGACTGACATCTTGGATCTTTTTAATTACAAGGACACTTTTGGGTGGCTTATTCCAGGTCAACCTCTGGCTTGCTGGGTCCTGAATATGCCTGAAAACAAACAAACCCAGACACATGCAAAATGGTTAACCGTGAACTTAAGTAAGGGCATTGTGGTTAGTGTCATTAACAAAATGACTCAGCATTTTGCTCTTCGAATCTTACACCTAATAGTTAGAAACGAGCCTCAGCACTCAGGGGCACACTTCACTGCACTCAAACGCCCCACATCACGCAATCTCGACTCGATTTCCAACCTCAAAAGGTAATTCTGCACCTTCTTCTTTTTTCTGACCCTAATTTGCATGGAACTGTTTGCAAATAATACTAGAGAAATCATGCTGACATCACCAGCTGGGTGAAAACGTTCCAAGTATGAGGTCAGTGTGTGGTGTAACTTAAAACTCAAGTATGAACATCAATGTATTCAGGCTTGATATAAAAGAACACATCTTATCAGCTGTCAAATTTTCAAAATAAAAGTGATTCATGAGTTTTATGCAAAAGAATGACAAAATGTCTGCATTTTTCTTTTGTGTATGTAGGCTCCTCTGGGCTGAACTGGAACACTTCCAGAACAGACAGCTAGACACTGATCATTTCCATCCTATTAAGACACTGTGGCTTAGGACACAAGCAGCTCAGCAGATATACAAGGACACGGACCTGACCATTACACAACCCCAATCCGTATTAACTCTCACTGAAATCAGATTTGAACCATACAAATAAGAAGTTATAATGATCTACCTAATATTCCACCATAAACTTTTGTCAGTATTTTGTTCCTTTATTAACCACAGAAACCAAGCCTTATAAATTATACATCTGCATAAGAGAGTAAGGTATTGGGTTAAAAAGTCAGTCCAGAAGACCCTAAGAGTGTTGAACATCACAAGTCTGCCAAATATGATCCAGAATAGCCAGCACTCTTTATTTTATCATAGGAATGCTGACTGAAATGGTAGTTTGCATGCCACAGAGTCCATCAATCTGTTCTCAGCACGGTTTGATAAAAATCTCAATGTACGAGGCACAAATGCATGTCCAAAGGCAAAAATGTATCATAATGATCAAAGCACGCTCCGTGGAACTTGATGTTTCAAGCCAGGCTGTCACAGAACATTCGGTCTGAGAAGAGTTTGAACTACTGCTCCCAGATAAAAAAGCATCATGATGTAACATCAATTTGATAAAATAGTTCCTCAGTCTAAGCTAGGGTTGCCACGATAACTTGATTAAACAATTACTTGATTTCAAAATATCCACAATTTTAATCTGACTTCATCATTAATTGACAATGAATATGACTGATGATAATACATACTGTTATTAATACATACAACAGAGTCGGCCGTAATCTAACTGTTTGTCTACATTCAGTGAAAGTAGACAAATTATTAAAAAACCTTGTCTCACCATTTCCATGTGCTGTTGTTGCCACCGGTGGGGGCTTGCTGTTGCACACTCTGGTTGAATTTCATGGTTTTCTTCATGTGATGGAGCCACCAGTACAAAGAAGAGCACAGTGGCTGGTAGCGCCAATTTTGCTTAGAGCAGTCCACGGCTGGTTTACTAGCTGCCCCAAATGCTACTGTCTCATTCTGCGGCTGAACGATGACAATAAATCTTGGATCATCCTTACCAGCTACTCCTCACACAGATTCAGAGTCCCACCTCTTCCACCTCTTGCTATCAAGAAGTGTTTTCGTCATTTTTCTTTTGGTCCCTTTCTTCCTTAAGCAATTCCAGAGAACAGGTTTAACGTCATTTTCCTTGTCAGCGACTGCTATCTGCAGTGAGCTGCTCTGCCCGGCTCTGCTGCCTGAGCAGACCTTGCTCTAATCTTTAAAACAAACCTCCACTGACCACGCCACTCAAGTCCCACCCCCACAGCATCTGGCCCCACCTACAACAAAAAAGGCATCCGCTGACTGGCTGGCAGTATTATGTTTCTTTGAAAATAGTACTTCCCCCACATGCCATTCATCTGCAGTTGCATCACTAAATCTCCCTGTGTTTATGTAATGAAACTGTAACTCGCTCCTGCAGTAACTGTCACTGTAGTTCATAAAAAGTCCACCAACTGAAACTCGCTTTTTTAAGCCAGGATATAACACTGGACTTATTTTTAAAATATTAATGAATTGTGGAAGCTTAGATAAAGAGAGAGTTCAGAGTCCAGATCTGATGGACAGCAACTAACTACAAACAAGAGTCAATCTGGATAAATCAGACATTGACCCTAAACCTCACTTCAATAAATAAAGCATTTGGAAATAAGAAAATAATAACAATAACAACATGAACAAACCTTAAATTGCCACATTAGTGTGTCCTGTGAACTATGTTTTGGGTATGAAACTGTTCTTTCTGTATGTCCACTCTCAGTAAAAACAGACCCAGTCAAATGCTAATATCTTTACCCTCCCACTCCTGAAATTATCACACTAAAAGAGGAGATGGGTGGGGGAGCAGTTTCATCAAAAGTCACACCCTTAAGATAAATCATAAGAGTAGGAGTACCACATGAAGTTTCATGTAAGACACAAGGGTGGGTGATATGGGAAAAATGTATCATCATAAAACTTTTTCCCTGAAACATTTTCATGATATAGGCTATGTACAGGGTTGAGATGTAACGGAATACAAGTATTCGGAATACGTATTCAGAATACAAGAATTAGGTACCTGTACTGTATTAAATTGGAATAGACACAAACAGCAGTGCTATGGTCAAACTGAATGAATAAGATAAAGGCATAATGGGCTGACATCCAGCCACTACTATGCATCTAACATGCAGTTACTACAAAACAGTTAGTTCCAATGTCACAATCTGAATGGTCGTGATTGAACCCGTACTGTTACTTGTGCAGCTTACTGTTAGCAGATTTCCACATTAGAAGATAGAAAAAAACAATACATACATTACTTTACAGGTTCTATAAGATAATATTTGATGCTTGGTCAGATACTGAAAAATAGTGGACACCAGGCCTACATCAAATTCTGAACCTGTTCTTTAAAAAAGGCTTACGACATATCTGCATGCCTTAGCCTTTGAGGTTGGACATAGCTAATGTTCTGTTTGTCTTGTTTGTGGGTGAAGCTGTACCGTCTTTGTTTTATGCTAATTTTTTTTTTTTTAATCTTCTTACACTTTTTAAAGCACTTTGTAACCTGACTTTGAAGAGTGCCATATAAATAAATGTTTAAAGTTTAAATGTTGTTGTCTCTGATCAAACTTTTACAACTAAACAAAGTGCAATTATCAAGAAACAAACAGGATACAATTCTGCAAATACAATGGGCTGCGAAATGGTTTAAAGACTCACTAGAATCACTCATACCAGTATTTGGTAAAAATTTAAAAGATGAACTAAGAATATTGTGACAGTGTGATTATTCTGCTAATAACACAAATGGTTTGTATTTTTCGAGTGATAATCTATAGTACTTGCCTTCATGCGACCAAACCGCAGCAGTGATTTTTTTCATGACAACAAACTCCCTTTTGTGTTCTTATGCTTAAATATACACAGGTAATATATGTAGTTTGAGGTCTAGAAATACTGACAACACCCATTAAAAGCAAATCATAATACAATTTATTTTGGTAACAAAAAAAAAAATTTTTTGTTCACTCTGAGTAAGACATAATCCTGTAGGCTAACATTTTTTCAGTGAGTCATTGATCTCATGGCAGGACAGGATAAGGTCAGTGTTGGGAGATGCTATGCAAGCAAGGAGTCACTGCAAGAGGAAGAATAAGATGACTCCCAACAGAGTAGGGGATTTTACACAGCTCTTTCACCGAATCACTTTGTTGGCATATGATGTCAATGTGTGCATCTGTTCTGTTCTGTACCATCTCTGCCCGTCAGAAGAAACAAAACAGAGCTAAAATTAAAGCGGCACTATAGCCAAAATGAAAAGCTTTTGAAAAACTACAAGCGCTTTAGATTGGATTGAAAATGTGCACTGCATTCTCTTATCTGGTAACCGTGTAAGAGTCCTGAACTTTTTATTTGATTGTTTTTGATGTAAAACTTGGGGCGCGATGTCACAAAAGCGACTAACATTTTAAAGCATTTTTATATGCTGGTATTTCCGTATTCCTCAGTAGTATTTGGACATGCTTTAAAAATATGAAACAAAATGCGTAATAATAATAAAAAAAAAAAAATATGAAGGACAGTGAGCCAAGTGATAAGTGATACCTCAGTGGATTTTATCACTTTATCACAGTGGGGAGATTTCCAAATGTTGCACTACGCACTTGCGTAATGCATGCTGGGTACTGCAGTGAGAGAACACTGATGGACGAAAAGGTAAAAAGTACACAAAATTGTGAATTCTCTCAAACTGACAAAGCTGAGGTACATAAAGCTGCATAACAGAATATTACAAAACATAAAAAATAGCATTAAATGCCAGTTTTGGACCACAGAAACTGTAATTGTGCATTGCCACGTTCACTATACCATACACAATGTGTTATCCTTACATTTCTGAACAGTGCTTACAGAATTTATAATGCTGTTAAACAAGTAAAAGAAACAGCTGAGTCATAATTCCTACGAACATTTATGAAGGCATGGTCATTTAAGTCAGGCTCTCCTTAAAACTACTGCGTACTACGTAGACCTACATTATCGACGCCAAACAAAGCCACCTGTAAAGTCATCAATCCATGATAACTCACCTTAAGATATGCAACGCCTTTTGCATTCATCAATGTCAACAAAAGGGAGGGGATTTCAGTACAGCTTTGCATCTTTGCAGCCAACATAAACACTGGGACAGAAGCACAAAGACATCCTTCCCCTCACTTGATCCCGTTGAATTAACCTACAATGACGAATCACTCGATTTCTGTGCAGCGATTCTACATTCCTAAGTCATGCTGACTTTAACTGGCACAACCTTTTGTTAGCAAGCAAACTGTACACAATGTGGGCCATGGTGATAAGATCAACCAAACTACATTACATAAGGAAGAGGTCTGATTTTACAATACACTATGTTCTGCCAACACACTGTATCTCACCAGCCAAAGAGGCTGCCATTAAATGCTAATCCATCAATTAGCATAGCCCAAAGAGGACCACATTTATCCTCCCATTAAATGAGCGTAGCACCCAGGATGGTTCTTTTATCAGCTGAAGAGAGCAAAAATTTTCCAAGGTCCTTTTCCAGCTTAGCATTGACCTAGAATCCTTGAACAGCCATGAAATAATTTCTCTTAGGCTCTGTTCTTGGACCTGATTCAAGTCATGAGACCAGTGTCTCAGTGAAGCATTTAAAAATCAATCAATAACGCTGCATGTCATGCAATAGTCAATACATCTTTAAACATCATTTTTTTGAAAACTAGGTCACATTTTAGTCAAACTATAAAACACCTTTCCACATAAACAAAGGAAATAATGACTGCCTAGCCATTTTTTAAAATACTAAGTAAATAGGATTTCCCCTGTTGGCAGAAAAATATGCTCTGTAAATTACTTCCTCATCTTTTTCTTCCTTCAATTACTTGCCCGTTTTGTTACTCAGAGAGTAGTTTTAAATAAACTGTGCAAGTCTTTCCCAGAAGGAAAAGAACATTGAGCTCATTTATGTCCTTTCAGTCATCATCTATGACATTTTAGTTTAGTATATATAATGAATCACTTGCCCCAGTGACACCTAGTGAAAACAGAAGCGGCATCAGAAAAGAGGATATCCCTTTTTCACAATACAAATCTAATTTATAATAAATGCACAGTTTTAAATTATTCATCATCACATATTGCACACTGAACTATACTAAACTCTTTTTTCACATAATCTCCTAAGAGGCACAACCTTGTCTTATTGGTACGTGTCTTCCATTGAGTCTACCATACAAAAACCTACACTGGGCAAGTTTAATGATGAAAATAATTAATGCTGAATCCAAAAATCACAGATAACCTTTCTCCTTTTTGTTTGCAACTATGTAGACTTGGCTGTAAAGTGGTTCCTTACTTAGATGCAATCATAACCATTAGTAGTAGTACACAAAGATCTGGTGGCAGCTACAGAGTACAGAACAATACTTCTTCCTCTAAAAACCAAACCCACCTTAATAAATGCATAGAAAAAACAACACAAAGCTCAATCAAGACAGTTTGACTTACATCACTGCTTTAGGGTTCTTCAGCATACAAGCTTTTGGCCCAAATGTTGTCACTGGGCTTGGTCCATGCAGTGACTGGGTTCGCCTAGAAAAGAAAAGAAGAAAAAAGGTTAACTTTTTTGCTTTTTACCACAAAATTGGAGGCCTCTCTTCATTATCTTTAAAAAGTTTTTTCCCCCACTGGCAACTGCCAAATTATAAAGGAGCATTAAGGAAAATTTCTGCTTTTCAGTTTGTCATGCTGTTGTCCCATATTGGGGCCATGTCACAATGCTGGCTAGTCATGGAAGAAGAGTGTAACAATATGCACCCAGACTGCCATATTGTACAGTAAATTTGTTTTTCATAAGCATATAATAATCCATACGATTTTGGCAAATGCTGTATCATTACACCAAATGGCATTCATTTTTCTTCACATTACGTATGTTTTACCATAAAACCCAGCTGGTTGCTGCTTCAGACACAATAACAGGGGACATTTCTATTGCGTTCAATTACACAAGCCCAGCATAATTCCTTTAATAACAGGTTGTCAGAGTAACACCCATCATCAGTCTCATCCTGGGTCATTACAGGGTACCCACACCACAAAAACCACAAAAGTCAGAGGCCAGGCAATTACTAATTTCTGCATGACTCCTGTATCCTATAGAACCCACTGAACCACCTAATATCTTCTACTAGCCTGATTACATCACATAAGGCACCGTGTGTGGTGGCAGCATGGAAAACATGACCGCAAAACACTCTCTCAACAGCCACACAAGACAGGTACTAATAGTATAATATAAAATATAATATAAAATATAATGTACAATTTATTTATAATAGAAGATTTATAAAATAATATTGATTTCTAAACTAAGATTTATAAAAATATCAGCAACATACTGCAGTATGTCTTTTATTTACCTGGAATGATCTCCCTAGAGGACATTTTTACAAAGAGATACTAATGAAAGAGTGTTAGGTATGAGCTTCCTCTTTGGCACTGCATCAGTCTGTGCCAGTGTTTGTCTATGAAAAATCAGATGCTACATGATTAAATGTCTATTTCTGTATTCCAGCACTAGGACAATGTTTTATGCTTGTGATTAACATGCAACAGAACAACAGGACACCTGTGGCACATGAAAACCTCCTTTTGAATACAAGCAGGATCAAAGACAGTGAATTTTAAACGGGATTGTGCTTATTGGGCTAGGCTGAGCGAGCTGGTTCTATAGCTCTATGACGCGCACAATGTTTTAAGCACTGCAGACTTTGAATAAAATGCTTCTGGTCATGTCAGAAACACTCCATAATTCACACTGCAATGGCGAATTCCACAGATTCTTTGACTCACATATGTTCACGTTTGCTTGTATTCAAATAGTTAGATAAGTAGGTTTTGGATTTATGAGGCCACCTGTTTGACACAAAGCAAACTGCCAGCTTAATGTTTTGTTCACTGGCAATCACTGGTGTAGCAAAATGCAACATCATTCAATTAAAATGACTAACTTGAGTGAAATCTTCCTTCTTATCAAATTAAATCCTAACCTACAACTCATCAAAGAAGTGTAAATTATTTCTTGACAAATCAGCCACTTGATACAGTTACAAACATCGGGCTTTATTTACCAACCAGTCTTAAGAAGACATTTCTTCTTAAAACTCTCTTGCGTAGTTTTTTTTTTTTACAAATTTGGGATCTGTTCTTGGGTAAGAACAGAATCGACGCACACTCGAGCACAAAGCAGTTTAAGAACACATCATGAATATGACAAAAAAAAAATTCTCAAGATCAAATGTAAGAAAAAATTTAGGAAGACATTGGTGAATCGCCCATTTTTTCTATAATTCTGTTATCACCTTGAGACACAATAAATATTGTCATATTGCCCACCCCACCTAATATTATGTCATCAGTAATTTTGGAGAACTATTAGTTACAGCTGATGAAGCCAATATACATTAAAAGCTGTGCTTAACTCTTTCATACAACACGTATAAAAGGGGTTTACAAAATAACAAAAAAAACTGCATGAAATACTTACTGGCCATTTTATCAGGTACACCTACTTCTAGGTTTACAGTTACTGACTGTAGCCCACCTTCTGCTGCACAATATCAGACACCCTCTACCCCATCCACCAATGTAAAGGGACCACTGTATGACCACCACAGACCGTTTTCGGCACAGTAGTGACACTGACAGGGTAAAGGCATGGTAGTGTTGGTATTAGGGATGCAACATATGCATCATACTGGTATCAGGTATCGGGCTGATACCATGCTCATTTATTCGTACTTGTATTCATAAAAATTCACCAAAACCAAAATTACGATACCAGCTGATACCGTGTGACATAAGCTGAGTGTAGCTGCCACACTAATGAACAAACATAGTAAAGGAGGCTCTGCTCACACAGAGAAGTGTTTCTGACTCTGTAGCAGTTGGCGACAAAGTCACTGGTCACTTTAAACATTCTGCCTTGGCATATTCCCACCTGACCTACACTGCGTGATTCTAGCCCATCTTAAACACACAATCACAGCCGCTTCACCAATATGGGTGGAGATGCACAAGCCAGCCAAATGAGGCAAAAAAAAAGCCAATATTTGCTACCAATATCCAAAAGTACCGACTTTGTTTGATTAAGTAAAATGACGAGGTATAAACATTGACAGTGATTTTTTTTTTTGTCAAATAGACTGTAGAGAGACTGTATTGTTCTACTGTGTACATCATTGCCTAGCTTTTAGCTTCTGTGTACAGTGTTAGCAGCGCTGCTCAGTACTCGGCACTCAGTGAGTTATTTTTAATGAAACAGCTTTATTTGAAATCGTTCATGGACAGAGCTGTCTGTAGGAGCTGCGTTTTACACAGCATGTCAATCAGACCAAGCTTTTTCGTACAATGTGACTATATAAATCTTTGGCTTTGTCTGTACACAATGGTCTATTCAAATGTACAACGTGAGTCACCAAAGAACAAGATTTCTAAAATCACATAGTGTACATCAGATCTTAGGGGACATTCAACTACAGCACAAACCAGCCAAACAAAATGCTCAGAGATGACATAAAACTCCACATGTGAACTCCTTGGATATGTTAGCCTCTGACGTGATTCCTGCTGTCACTAAGCTACAGAGATGTTGAAAGACACAGATGAGGAGCAAAACTACAGGTGCACAGAAGTGCTTTTCTTACATGGAACAAAACCCACTCTTTTCATCTGCTGACCTACTCAATCCGAGGAAGCATAGCTGGCGAATGCACTTCAAATCAGCAAAATTTGATGATTTAGCCATTAAGCTTGCACGCATTTACACTAACAACTGATTAATTCTACGTAGGTTACTCAGCATGGGCGAGTACTAAAAATATGCACTCGTATTCAGTATCGATGCATCCCTAGTTGGTATGAATGCATCAGGCACATAAATAAAAGTCCTAAAACTGCATCAAGACCAAGACTTTTTTCGTGTAATCTAAAAATGCGACAAAAACCCATTCTTTGCGCTGGCTTAAATGGTCCAAGAAATGGCACCATTGTATGGTAGAATGTTTTTTTCCCATATGTTTGACAGGAGAACAAGTGGGTGCAACATGAGACATTACTAATATACCACAGTCTCAAAACTGCTCAGGCTAACTCATAACTGGACACCAAGTATGGAACTGAGAGAAAGTACGGCAGTTATCTAAGCTATTACACTGTCTACTAGAAAACTTCCAAACCAGAGGAACAGCTTGTGAGTGCTTCAGAGATAGCGTCTGATGTAGCAGGTATGTAATACAACATAATCAGGTGAAAGGCCAAGGTAATGACTTTAACAGTATGCGCCATTATCATCTGCAACCTTTTCCCTACAATCTTGATGAAATGCAAACACAGCTGGTCGAAATGCTTGTGTTGGTAATTTAATGGTATGGGAGGGAGAGAATTATAGGAAATTAGAAAACAATAATATAAACCCTAAAATAAAGAGTAAGATAAGTGTTTTATATTTAATTTGCAAAATATATTCTTAAACAACCAAAAAGTAAGCTTATACCATGTTTTTACTCCATTTCTCTCTAAAACAAGGACACAGGAGACACTGTAATTACAAAATGGGTTGTAAGAGTCTAACACACAGCAATGTCTCTATTAAAGTAGATTTTGCCCCAAGAACACAACTTCTTAGTTTAGTAACCTTAAATATTAAAGTACATATAATGGTTAAAAACATAAAAACTAGTTACAGTTAGATTCTTGGGCCATTAAGAAGCTACAGCAACAGAAACATAGTTCAGCTTTCATACTAGACTAAAAGCTGGTGCCTCAAGGACTCACCATCCCTGTCAGTGATAACACCACTAAACATTAATTAAGATTTAATTCATTTTACCAGGAGACACCAACGGCCATTTATTTCCTTCTGTAACGGTTACTGTGAAAGACATACAGTGCCTCCACAATTATTGGTACAGTTCATTACAATAAGCAAAAAGCACTTTTGTTATTTATTAGCTTGATTTTACATTGAAAATAGGAGAAATCTAACGTTTGTTAGTATTTTCATATGAATTTTTATGTTTTTTTGGGGTTTTTTTTTAGATTTTCTAGGCTTTCAAACTGTAAGCTATTTTGGAAACTCTTAAAAGCACTGTCATGACATGTTGTCTCACTGGGGTTAAAGTATGAGGTAATAGACAGGTCAAACACCTTAAGTGATCTATAAACATGGAAAAGATCAAAGAATACACAAGTGAAAGTGAGACCAAAGGTTACTGACTTTAATAAACCAGGTGATGGTTATAAAAACACTCACACCTAAACATACCCACAATTACAAAAGGTGATCATTACAAAGCTTCAAACAATGGGGTTGTGATGAACTTGCCTTGAAGTGAAGCAAGTGTATCTTGCCCCCATGCACAGTGAAGAAGACTGCAGCATTTTAGTGGCTCCACATCTCCAAAAACACAGTTAGACACAAACTCTGTGCCAACAAACTATTTAGAAGGCCAGTCAGAGGAAGGCCTATGCTGACATCAAACCACAAATGTAAATGTCTGGAACTTCCTGGAACATTGACTGGAAACAGGTTCTCTCCGCAGATGAGACAAAACTAAATCTTTCTAGGAGCAAGTACCAAAAGGTGGTTTAAAGTAACAGTGTCAAAGTCATGGAGAAAAGAATCTTGTGAAGTATGGTGATGTATCTGTGATGCTGCAGGCTTGTTTTTCTTCCAAGGGTCCTGGGAATCTTGTTAGGAACTCTATCATGTACCTGGAGATTTTAGACCAATATCTGTCAGCGTCTATTAGGAGGAGAAGACCAGGTCATGGTTAAATCTTCTAGCAGGATTATGATCCAAAGCATATCACGGAATCCACATAAAAAACGTTTCGCTGACTTGCGTCCTCCAAGAAGGACCAAGGACTGGAGGGTCTGAAAAGATTTTCTATTGAGGAACGGTCTCAGATCTCAAATCTCAGATGCAGTGGCAAGGGGAAGAGAAGCAAATACGGGGCCAGAAACTTTTACACAGCACAAAAAATGATCCCTTTCGACTGATAGGTTAGGTTACTCCCATAATTTCAGTGTAAGATCACGCTGATATACAAGCTAATAACAATTACATGTTCACAGCCTTTACTGGTCATATTTACCAAGTGTGCAAATAATTCTAGAGGGCACTGTTTACAAGTTGAGGTCTCGAGTGCTGTTGCTATGATACATTTCTAGAGCACAAGACTGTGCAAACACACAAAAGTATATTGAGTAAGTCTGGAGTACCAAAGCACGCACGGAACTTGCAATATGATTTGCACAATGTTTTGTGGCAGGAAACTTAGCAAAACTGGAAGTGGGGAAAAAAAGAAAGTAGCCAGGATAGCTAAACTCTATAATATGCTTCAATTAGTCAGACACACTAAACAATGAAACAAAATTAGGACTTGTAGTGCCTGAATTGTGGATACTCGGGGTGGGCGATATTGAACACAATGTACATCATCACAATGTCACATTTAAAAGCTGCCATCGAATCCTCCAAGTACAGTGATTTTAGTGCTGCACAAATTCCAATTAAACAAGACTAATTCAACACCCTTTGTAATGAAACACAGTTGGTCAGTGTTCAAACATATATGCAAAAAGCCTACTAACTGAACTTCAGTCCTAAGTGACATCAGAAGCGTAATTTTTTGCATGTTATGCACATTACATAAGTAAGCTACAATAGCTTATGGAAATTACATAAAGAACCGTTAATTCCACTTCTACATTGTCCGATAAAAATCACAGTGATCTTCCCCCACTGGAACTTAAAAAAGTGAAAATAAAGTAAAAATAACCATGTGATCTCAGTAAGTATCTTATATCCAACAGATACCCAGTAATCATTAGTGTATGAAGTGCTAGTGACAGTAGAATCAAACTTAAACAGTAACCAGGTGGTCTAATCTTACCTGAACTCTGCACAACTGGGCACAGCCGAAGTGGACATGCTCCTGGCTTTAGGCTTCCGGAAGGTTTTCCCAGGAATGAGGCTCTCCCTGTTGTCGCAGGCCGAGCAGCAGTGCGGCAGCGACTCCATGCATGTCTCAGACTTGGGCGTCCAGCTAGCCTCTTCAGAATTCTCCATCTGAGGTGATGACAGGTGGGGGCAGGCCAGAGAACACAGCAAGAAAAGATGCAAGCTTTGTCAAAGGTCAGTCTCGTTCTGTGTTAAAGTATGGCTGAACAGAAGCCAAGCCCCTTGTGATGCGGATGGCAGACAGTTCCTTTATAAGCTGACACGGAATAAACCACAAACAAGGACTGGATTTGTATCTGTGCTTCTCAACCACGCTCAGTCATATGCATACTGTAATGAATTAACAGCACTTAGTTCAATTAAAAAAATGAAGTGAAATAATAGCCTGACTTAACCACCTATTGATCAGTATCACTTTAATGGCTCATTGTCCACAGACAACGGCTGTCACTGTGCACTGCACTGTTGCTCAAGCCCTCAGCATTTAGTGGATGGTCCAGACAGACTTGTTTACCAGCATGTCTTCATTCTTTTTCCCTCAATCCCATGAGTATGTAGCCTTTGTGGTAGTTTTAATGGTAAAGATCATGACAGGCTTAAAGGAATTAGAGGAAAGCCACCCACAATAACCCAGCCCTAACTGTAAACAAGAGATCACTAACTGATCAAAAGCTGGAAAGAGCTACCAAGAGTGCATATATAACTATAATGGTGAATGTTATGTGGATGAAGAGAACACTTTGCCTCCTATGTGTGCTGTGAATTTTGTACAAGAAAAAAAAATACTTTCATGAATTTCTCCTTATTTCCTACACACACAAAAGGAGGAATGGCGTGGTTTATATGGCTGGTGTTCGCGAACAAACTACAGCCCGCTATAAGAGTAGAAAGGGGCTACCTAGAGTTAAATAACAAGTTAGGGGAAAACATTTCCCCTCCCTGCAATCTGACAGAAGTTAAACAGAAGCCCAGTAGTCGAGCTGTTGGTCTGGCCGGCTTTACTCGAGACAACTGGGCAGTGACATGCTGCCAAATAGTGCACCACCAGCTAGCTGGCTACTAGCTAGTTTTAGCCAGAAATCTATCTTAGAGAAACCCTTTGCAACATTAACAACGTAAAACGACCAAACATTCGTTTAACGTGTTTTCTAACGGCAACTCTGGCGCTTCAACGTAGCTAATATAACACAGGCGAGGTTAGTTAGCGTTAGCTTGCTAGCTTCTCGCGTCACCTGCGTTGAGCATTAAGAGGCTACTTACGCTGTTACGCTAAACCCGAGCTACCTTCAGAAGGAAGCGGGGATTTCTGTAGCTAGCTAAGACGCTCGGCGGAATAACTGCACCGCCATAAATAAGAAACGAGTTGTCCCCATAGACGGCGATAGAGGCCAGGCTGCTCTTTCACGGCCACATTTCTTCCATTGCTGCACTTTGCTATCGCAGTCGCGCGCAAGCCGGTTCAGTGGCCGCCCGCGAGCTGTCTACTGCCGTTGCTGTAGCTACTAGCGACGTCCGACTCGTGAACGGATCTTTTGAATCGGTTCATTTTAACAAATCGAACGAACCGATTCACGAGTGAATAGCACTTTTTGTGGCATCTGTGTTACGTATAGGCCCGTATTATAGGACTTAAATCTTACAGATAATATTTAAGTAATAATATCTTAAAAATACAATTCAATAATCTAAACGAACAAAAGAGAATTCCACATTTTAAAAAAAACATTCTGAACAGTTCACTCAGATAATTCAGACGTAAACAGAATGGTTTGATGTGAAATGGTTCTTTGTAGAGAAACTTACAGACTCAGATTTCTTGTGGTGGTGATAGGAACCAGGGGTCACGACGTCTACAGCACAAATACAGCTATTTTATTTATTATCCACTGATGATCGTAAAATAGTGATACTTTGGGGACTATTTTGCCCTACAACAACCTGCATGTTCCCCTCCGCCATGAATAGATTACAATAAACAGATTCAAATTTTATGTCAGATCTTTATCACAAAACCACATTAAAACAATGTCAGACAACAGACAGGATATATAACCATTTAATGTACTAATTTTCTGTGAGGGAGTTTTTAGAGGCTTTAAACTCCTCAGACTTCTGGTTACTATCACCACCACTGCGAACAATTCTGACTCGGCAAGTTTCTCTAGACCGGATTTCACATTAAATCACTCCGAATGACTTTGTTTACATCTCAACCAGTTCGTAAAGGTGGAGTTCCTCTTTAACAATTGCGTTTTATTTTCCCTCCATTCCGTTAGAGTGTACCGGCTAAGTATTTGTGGTTTCTACAGTCCATTAGTGACTCCATTAGTGAATATAAGTAAAAGAAGCGGTTTATCATACATATCCGAATCTTCCTGTACGTGAATCAGTGAATAGAGGATTCTGACGTTCACTGAAACGGACCGTTTGAAAGAATCGGTTCGTTAAACTGAATCGAACTTCTTGTTACTCAATCTACTCAAGGCGCCAACCAGTCAGCTCGCAGCAGGATTCCCTCACCAACGCCGCGGTGCGCTGATTGGTCGAGGCGGACATATGCAGTTCTCGGCTCCTCCCCCCTGCCGGTGTGACTAGACTGTAAACGTTTCAAAACAATAAGGCAGGCCTGCGTAACACAGGGCCGAGTTACGGCGTGATGCAGTAGAGTTTGCAAATCTGAGAATGTGTAGACTTTTTTTTTACTTTTCCCATTTAAGGTGTTAAAATGTTCTCAATATTGAATTAAACCAAACTGGTAATAACCCAAGGATAACGTAGTTCTGAGACAGGGATGGAGACACGAGAAGAAATCGTTATTATTAATATTATTTTTATTTTTTAAAGTTTTTGAGATTATATTGTGTTTAATAAAAGTTTTATAAAAAGCACCTTTCTGCAACCCCAACATATCTCTTTATAAGGGGAACTGTCCATTGAAATTGAAGCACATCAATTCTGAAACAGCTTTGACTGATTCCCTGTTTTTAGTTCAGCTTAAAGGAGGAATTTCACTGACTGAACCTCTGCATAGTTCAGTCATTGAGATGTAAACAGTGTCATCCAGGGTGTTTTGCTGTGAAATGCTCTGTTGTAGAGAAACTTTACGAATCAGGAATATTCACAGCAGTGCTGACAGGAACCAAACACTCAAAGCGTTTATTGCCTAAACTTCCTCACAGAAAGTTAATAGAGGAAACAGTGATGTTTATGCTGCTGGTGTCTATGACATTGTTTTACAATAGTGTTGTGACAATCTTTTGGCTCAAAACATATTTTTAACAATACGCTCATGGCAGAGAGATGCAGGGCGTTGAGAGGCAAGAGTCCTCAATAAAACTCATGTTTTTTCCAGATTTGCATCTATTTTACCATCATCACTGTTACATTTACAGACTCGTGTAGGCTCCTGGTTCCTATCACCACCACTGTAAAGAAATCCAAGTCAATCAGTTTCTGTACAGTGAATCATTTCAAACCAAACCTCTTTAAATGACTTTGTTAATGTCTTGACGATTGAACTATGCAAAGGTTTTGTAAAATTAGTGCAGTTCCCATTAATTCCCTGTTATTTACTATCTTAGCTAACTAACACTTAGCTAGCTACATAAATACATATCAACTTAGCAGTATGTTGCAATCCTCAGTTAATGTATTATTATTATTATTATTATTATCTTCATCTGTCAACCCGTTTGAGAGAAGTTTTATTTCCATGGCTGTTGAGAATTGGGCTTAAACATATCCCTGGAAGCCCATTCTGGCTGTGCTTTTTTAAATATTACCCATACTCTTTCATATTTATTTAGCCATATATACCTATGCAAAGAAGTCACATTCCAATTTATTTCAAAGGAGAACAAAATATAGGATTAGCTTATTGGCAGAAGTAGGAAAATAGGATTAGCTTATTGGCAGAAGTAGGAAAATCTTGTGACTCATAAAGCTTTTGTGATATACTGTGAACATCTCACTAATTTGCTTTGAACTGACACATAGGAGGATATATAGCTACTGGCTGGTGCTGGCTCCAAGAGACTCTGGAGGTGGCTATATAGACGGCCACATGCAAAAAAAAAAAGATGGTATGTGTGTGCCCTCTGTCAAAGGGACTAGTGTTGTTTAGTGTTGGTTGTTGTACGTTTAAGTTGTGTACATGTGTTTGTTGTGTTGTTTTGCTTTGGAAAGTGAGTTTATTGTGTGGGTATTTGTGCTGGTCACTGCTGGGGTGAAACTAGTGGCTAATGGTGACCTACTCCACAGTTACAGTGCTCTGTATACCTTTTGTGGGACACCCCTCCTAATTATTAAGTGTTTCAGCCCCACCCATTGCTATCAGGAGGATAAAATGAAGCACATAGCTTTGCAGTCTCAATAGACAAACAGTGGCTGTAGAATAGGTCATACTGGTGAGCTCAGTGACTTTAAACATGCCATTGTCATAGGATGTCACCTCTGCCACAAGTCAGTTTATGAAATTTCTGTAGAACATTACCTGCCTGACTTCATTGTGCCAACTGTAAAGTTTGGTAGACAAAGGATAATGCTATGGGGTTGTTTTTCAGGGGTTGGCCTAGGGCCCTTAGTTCTAGTGAAGGGAAAATTTAGTGATTCAGCAGATCAAGATATTTTGGACAATTATATGCTTCCAACTTTCGTGGGAACAGTTTGGGGAAGAGCCTTTTCTGTTCCAGCATGACTGAGCCCCAGTGCAGAACGCCATAAGGTCCATAAAGGCATGGTTGGTTGAGTTTGGAATTACATTGTATGGACAATACATATTTGGTATTGACCTTGTATAATTTATTCTTTTCCTATCGTTTTTTAAAGCTGATCTGTCTTCAACAAACTCCTTTAAATTCACATCTCAGTCTAATCTTTTTATCGACCAGCTCCCTTTCGCATCTAGATCTGGACCAAATAAGGTATCACATAGTACCTATTAAAACTGCCTGTAGTCTCCTTATCAGTGGAATAGTCGGGGATTATGCGGCAGTTATTGAGTCTAGTAGTTATGTTATTAGGTTCTAGTAGGATTATTTTATTTTTACATGAAAATCTAATTCTGCTGTGGTACCACAACAGGGCAGTATAAGAACCGCATGTTGCCAGCCTGTGGTCTAGGCAAACTTTGCACAGTCATTTTTTAACATTCGGCTTACAGCAGGGGTGTTCAATCTCATCCACAAAGGGCCAGTATGGCTGCAGGTTTTTAGTTCAACAAAGCGGGAGATCACCCCGATCATCAGTTTGAAGACTGAGGCCAGCCGATTAAACAAGTGGTTATTCAGGTGTATTCCAGCTTGTTTGGAGTAAGAACTGACAGTCACACTGGCCCTTGGCGCACAACAGCGAATACCCCCGGCTTACGGTCATGGCACTCAACTTGCCAGCAACTTGAACACGTGAGCCCAGCAAACGCATTCTGTGTCTCCTCCAAAAGAAATGTTGTGAGTTGCCAGACTTACAACTTTCATCTGCAACTGTGTTGCGAGTGCAGCCAGTGTGGGCTAGTTATATGTAAAGGGCATAACTTAAAAAAAGGAGCTTGTAAAGCTTCAGCATGGAGCCCATGAGAATAGAGGTACAGGGGATTGAACCCTGGACCTCATATATGCAAAGCATGCACTCTACCACTGAGCTACATCCCCACCTTAAGGCTTCACACATATGTGCTGAAAGCCAGAAACAAAGCATAGCTCACTATGCGGAAACATTCTGCAACAAGTATGGGTACTCCTGTGTAACTGGTTGGTATTTTTGTCTTCCAGCAGCCTCTAAAAGGCACAAATGGGGCTCGTCATTTTCAGTTTAAAAGAACGACGCCATTCTATGCACGATGCACCGCTTTGTGTGCATCGTTTGATGGGATACAACACACAGGGCAGATTTGCCTGTGAGCCAGATGGGATAAGGCACACAGACCATCAAATGGTAAATGCTGGCACACGCTCAGGAATGTGAAACTTGCTCCCAGTCTATGATGTTTTAAAACAGAGCGTGCTGCAGCAAAGCTTACCACGGCAGCCTATTGTTAGCAGCTCAACAAACCATAACTGGCAGACAATGAAGTGACAGTCAATACCATTATAATACCATTTTCCCAACTACTGCCCCCACTGTTTTAAGTAATACAAGAGTTATGACTTCATGGTGGTCTCTTATCAGTTCAAATGAACTGCTTGTTCATGTTGTTTCGTTCGATTGATCATTTGTAAAATTCTGACATCCCGTTGACCTTAGCTATTGTTGCTACGTCCATCAAACATTCAGCTCGTCACATCAAAATGACATCATCTTATTTTAAAAAGTCTCATTCTTAATCACATTATTATTTTCTCAGCCCTCCAATCATTGCTTAGCAACTGCTGCTATCCTCAATTGCCTCAAGCCTGAATAACTTGCTTTCGGACACTGGGGTGGTGGCGTGCCAAGATGGCGGAGCGAGCAGTCAAACTTTTTTGCAGGCTCTGAGATTGGACTGAGGCTCT